TTGCTTACGACCTGACTTGCTGTTGGGTGTAGGGTCCGTGCACGGCGTTCGGGTGTGATAACCCCCAAGTATGCATATGATACGAGTGCTCGCTGTCGAGACTTCCGACGAAGAATCCGGGCGATGTAGAAATCGGCACCCTACCTTGGACGGTAGAAGAAGCTTTATGATCATATCAAGCCGAATACCACGGGAATGCTGGATTCCATAGTCACATGGATCAGGACTGTCGTTCCACAATCGCACTGTCGCTGTAAACTGGTGAAAAACCACAGGAAATGGTCCCAACTGACCGTTGCTGAGGCCCTTTCTGTTGCCATCTTTGTTGAGTCGTATAAGTCCTTTAAGAGATCAACGACTACGTGTGGTGTGCTTCGCTGGTGGCTATCGTGCTAGAGCATGCCCGTCGGTCTGCATGGTGTACATGACAAGAGACTGGGACCGTCATTAGCTCATTGATTTCGGTTTCATTGAAGAACGATCTTCAGATTTAGTTCTACTGAATGAGACCGTACATACCTGACAGGGCCCCTTTATCCAATGAATGTCTCCATCCCGAATGCACTCGAGCCAGTGCAGGTCACTTGCCGAGACCCAATTAAGCGGTCGTTGTGTCCGTTAATCATTGTCCTGAAGCCGTCGTTCCTAAGGTGTTCAGAACAAGCGGGGTTTGGAAAGACTATATGTCGTGATGACCCAACAACGAGGGACATATCTTGATTAGGATTTGTTGTCCCCGATGGGTCATGCTGTGTGCGTTCTGACGATCGATCCATGAGGGACCAGAATAATAAAGAGCGTGAGGCTTTCAGTCTCTCGCTGAATGCAAGCCCGTTCAAGGCCATGTTGGAATAGATCGCTGGGAGGCTCCCCGGTAGTATAGTCGCTGCGTTCACAGACATGTTTGGTGAACGAGGTGGACTTACCACAAGTTCTGTTCATTTCAGAACAGGAATTAGTTCGACTTGGCCCATCACAAATGGATATACGAGGACTACTAGACAGGACTGAACCACTCACTGGAAGCGACTGTATAGTCTCCAATTGGAGAAGGCGGATGCAGAATTATGACAAACTTTAGATAAGAGCGAAGGCTTCAGTAGGGCCGCAAGAGAAAGGCGACAATGTTTCGATGCCTCATCTTTTTGGGCATGGTCAGTGCTCTGGCTTTACTTGAAGCAGGCTTTGACTAGCCTCTATATCATTTCAAGTATTGTTTCGCTGGGTGGTATGATACTGTAACCTCCCGCTAGGAGACCCTACGCTCGCTTCGGCTTGCAGAGCTATAGGCCTTGGAAAGTTCTCAAAACAAATGAGTAGCAGATGTTGAGGCCCTGTCTTGAATAGTTTACCGAAAGCCCGTTTCAATCTGGTAATAAATCTCTCCAAGGGTGTTCTTTGGCTCTGGAAAGATTCATCTCCGTTGAGAAGCATGAGCGTTCGTCGGAGGCGTGAGAATGAGAATAACCGGTGGATTAGCATGCACTTCGTACGACCTGCGGCTGGCAGGTCCTTTCGGTTCAACCCATCGCCACAGGTATCCCCCATCACGGTTTAGGCATACGACGTGAATCTGCCTGTCCAAACCGATACTATGCCCGAGACAGTGCTTCGAGAAAGTTTCGTGGGAAACGCAGATCGATGCGAAGAGGCCACAACAGGCTGTGCCAAAATCGATCCCGATGTAGACTCTCCGCTTGGGGAAGGACGTTGTTGAAGAGCGCCAGTGAAATAATGGCTTGTAGACCGTGATGGAATCAGCCGTTCATCGACAATATGAAAAGGAACGCGAAGGCACTCCAAGCACAGCATTGTCTCGGGACCTGGTAATAACCTCCAGTGAAGAGTCCACCGTCATGGGATGTGGATGGGCATGCCAAAGACCTTCTATCCAATCGTTTGGATTGTCTTCCAACAAAATCTCAACAAAGTTACCGTCCCATAGATCTGAGCGGATCAAGACTTCCCCTACTCTTGACATCGAATGAAACTACCGTTTACCAATAGACAAGTTTCTCGCTCCGCAGATACCATTCAGATTTCTCATCTCGTACATATCGTGATCCCTGGGACGGTTGCCATCTTTTGCCGTGAACCGCACCTCCAAGTCGCTGGTTGCCTCGCGTCCGTTTTTTTCGTCGCCATTGTCGACACTTGAGCTGTTTCTGCAGTTGAATGAAGTGCATTTACTCTTCTGATTTTGCTTTTCGATGGATCTTCAGCGGCACCGGTACGGCTGCCTGCACCTCGGTCTTGTAGAAAGGTACTCAGATGAATGAGATGTTCAAAAGGAAGCGGAGTGTATGGAACGCACCAAGATTATGAAAGTTAGCTTCGCAAGGAGTATTTGCAACGTTATAAGATATACAATCTAATGCGTGCCAAAGCAAGTCCCAGAATCATTTCACTTGCTCCCGGTGCATCGGAAGATGGCCTGAAGCAGCTCTGCGCTCACTTCAGCGTTTGAATGATACGCCATTGGTAAGCATTCGTCGTGCCATTGTGCTGGCATGCTTCTTTAGCACGGCTGTCCGCGCGCACACAAGAAAAATCAGGAATAGTTCCAGCTTGATATAAGCTTGGAGAATCTTGAACATTCTTTGGAGTCTGTAGTTAGCTAGTCACCTAGCTGACCTGTCTTCGATACATGGGGTTCTGGTCGAAATCAGGGCCATGGACAGAATCTGCGACGGTGCTGATGCCGCGGTGTTTCCAGGTTAGGCGTTAGGATCTTCGATGAACATCATCTTTCGGTTTAGGTATGTGACCACTTCCCCTGAAACTGAGAGATGTCGCCTGAAGCGCCTGAATGAAGACGCCGTGAATTTGTAATTATGCAATTAGTACTCGGTGGATTAGGGGATGGCCCAGCAGCAACGCCCGCAGTCTAGAGAAGCAAAGCTTATATCACCGTATATGTGTTGCGGAGGCATGAGCCTTTCCACGGTCGTTTCTCTAGAATTCATCATGAGACGATAAAGGATAGTCATGGTCGAGTTGTAAAGATACCAAATAGACAGCTCAGGACTGCCGACCTGGGACGCGCCAGCCAGCTTTTTGAAGGAGTACTTCCACCCTTGACAGTCGGTGTCTTTTCGGTTTTTCGCAGCCCACCATAGGGTTGTGGACTATCTCATCCCTGTTAGGTGGGTTTGATTGAATCTCTCATATAGAGCAATTTCATTGCCCACGGCTATGTGCCTCTCTGCGAACCCGGCTCACTTTGCGAAATATAATCACGGTCCTTCCTTATCGCTGAACCGGAATGCCTCCTGGGATCCTGGATTCTCATCAATGTCGACAATTGTCCATATACGTGATTGGTTGTTGGACATCGACCAACCCGATCAGCTTGTTCAGTGATACCAAGGTCTGTCGCTTGGTTCTCTCGAAGTTGGGTTCGTAGAGCCGGGCCAATACTTGAGAAGTACTATTTCGGCAACATGATATCTCTTAAATTCCATCCACTTGCATCTAGGAAGCAATCAAGCAGCTTTCTTCACGTGCGCTACCTGTACTGCCCAGGATTTCACCTTGATTGGCATGATCATTGGGGGTGTATGTTACCTAGAGTAAACATCCCCCACCAGCATCGGATTTATAATGGCATAGTGAGTGCCTTGCCTGTGTAGTGAACGACTGATGCTAGAGGGAAGCTGCCTCAGCAAGCCCAGAAGCTCAGTTACTACTCAGTTCCAAGGAGGTACCAGGGAAGGCAGATCAGACTTCACTACCAAACTCGTTGTCAGATATCTGATGAGAGGTAGATCAAACGCCACTCCACTTTCCACACCTTTGAAAGGACTAGTTCATATATGCTGGCTCATGAGCTTTTCCATACGGTCGGAATCAAGAGCTGGAAAAGCGCAACTGCCTCTGGAAGGTCCATCCCTATGTGGGCCAGTTCCCGGTCAAGTACCAAGGGTGCAGGTTGGGGAACAGGTCATAAAGGATGCAATAGTCATATATGTTCATGACCATTGACACAGTCAAAGGACGGGAATGGATCTTCGATCCGTCGACCGGGGGCAGTAGGGCCTTGTACATCTGGGAGCAGATGTCGAAGTGCGGCACGTCGTTGCACAGAATTGATACGGACGGGCAGCAGTGACATTTATTTTCCCATAGCTTCGCCGTTGACAAACCGCAAATGATGCATAGAAATGATGTTGACTAGCCCTTTCCTTTCTCATTCCACAGGCTTCACAGACCTGCTACTGAATTCACTCGGGATTTGTGGCTGCGGTTATCCCTTTCATCAAACATCCCAGAACAATCTGACAGCAAAGGTTTGATCTTGGAAACCTCGATCCAAAGCAGTAGAGGGTCGTCGTCTATTCCAGGCTCACCGACACAGCCTGAGCAGTGGCTGAAGAGGAAGATACGACGCGTTCCACATCACCACACCTGCAGCACCGAGTCTTAAGGAGATCCCAGAACAAGACGGTCCGCTTAGCTCGGTAAAAGCTGGTTTCCAGATCCAGAGAGTGATCTCTTGGGTCCATAGGTACTGAATTGTACACAGTATCTGATGGGTGATGGATAAAGATGTTCATCTGAATCCCATGGATATAGGAAGAGAGAGGACAAGCTTCCCAAGCTTTTGTGTTTTCATGGCAGAGAGCGTGCGAGGAACCACTTCGAGTGTGCAGGTGTACCATTCTGGAAACGTAGCTTCTTCGGAACCCGGGGCGTACTTCGGAAGTGTCAATCCCAGTGCTGATCAGGTCGGCTGCGGTCCTGATATTTCGTGTGAAGGAAGAAATAGGTGTCCGTTCAACTGGAATGGAAGATAGCTCGCTTCCATCCATCTCCTATGAGGTCCTTCTCCGCGATCATCTCCCCGTGTCTACCAGAACCATCACTCACGATAACCCTGTAACATTGAATCAGAATAGACTGATAACCAAAGGATGAACTCCGTCGACTAATCCTGGTCCCCAGGTGTTCTGATGCTTTGAGGGGATGCGCATCGTTATGACAGACAAAATAGTCCGGTACGGCGGCGCTAGGGGATGAATGGCTGAAGGGTTCCAGACTAGCATAGAGAATACAAAGTAGGGGGGTAAGACAATGGTGGTGATATGCTGCTGCTCATTCTGTCGTTCCCTTCGGATCACAAGTGGTTAAAGCGTTCAGTATGCCCCAGTTTCATACATGATGACGTGTGTTAGATATCGGGTAATCTTATGCTAGGTCTGCTAGCAGACTTTCATCGTGGCAGGGGTAGGGCAATTTTGTTCCGATATCCTTGCACTGCCTTTGATACTTCGATTATTTCGTTCCACGTAGCATCACTAGAGGAGCGAAAGCGTCCTGGCCTCTCGAGGCTGCAACAGAATGCATCCGACACGAGTCATTCTTATCAAGAGAGGACGGTTGATCATCAGCAGCAAATGCCGACCGACCATATGGCACTCATCCAAATGAAACCATGTTCAGGAGTAGCAGTTGTGCAGGACAAGCCAACCTTGGCCTCTAAGACATGTGGGATTCCCAGGTTCACCGAGCTAGCCGACATATGGATCGTAAAAGCCGAAAGTCAAGCCAATGACATGGCGGATATGTTGACGATACAGACAATGTCGCAGTCAACCACCCCTTTGGCCTGTGGTAATGCTTGGCACACAGCCCACGATGGCGTGTTCGCAGGAGGGCTCGTAATTCAATGCGTAATTTGCGACCTTCTCACCTCTGTTGCCTTCGTCGTCGGTTCCGTAGGCGGAGTGATATGGTATGGATGTCCTTTCCAAATCGCAGCCTTCGTTTTATGAGCCACGTACACCAAAGTGGGTTATCGGATGAATTGATATCAGGACTAGCCACCGTGATGGTTTTTATCTTCGCTAAGGGGATAGATTCTGTCAGTTGATCCTTGGAATAGTAGCATGAAATATCGGTGAATGCCCTGCACATACCTCGCGTGACTTATTCGTGAATTGGGGGTGTCAATGGTATACTCGAGCAACGGTTGGATCTCCCGTGAGCTGATCGTTTTGTAGGAAATGTTTGTTGTTAGACTTTGGAGGCGGCAACATGATCGACCCTGCTAACTCGACGCGATGTTCATCTTGCATATGCCGACGGTTACTATCTGGCTCGTTGTCCGGGGCCAGCAAAATGCAGAGGCCTGCGATGAGGGGAGGCATCCGCAAGTTGAGTGGATGCATGAAGACCAGGCCACCGTGCACCCAAACAAGAAACTGGTCGCAGATATAGCTCCCGTCGATAGGAAAACGCGGCACGCGTTTGAGAGATAAAGACCGAGGCCGAAAAGAGGAAACACAAATGGACCAAGATATAGCCACGACGGTCCGTTCCGTATCGTCTCTTGGAAAATAGTTAGAATGACGTCTCTTAATGCCTGTGGACTGGTTTTCCATGCCAACAATGAGACCTCGCCAACTGCATGATGGTACTGGCAAAGTATGGCTCCCATCAACCAGAGCTATCACGCGTATGGTGTGAAAAAAGGATTAAATCCGTAAGCTCTGCGCGATGAAAGCTGCCCCAGGAGGTAAGAGCAGAGAATTCCTTTCCACAAGCGTGCTAGGACGGGTCTTCGGGGTAATGAATGGTAAGATCAGACGTCTGCATCCTTCCCGGATTCGAGGACTATCATACCACGGAGCACAAACCGGAGAGCCACACCGATTGACAGCTCTCTTCGGACGCCATATTTGGGTCTCCGGGCGAAGGATCCGATCCCCAGCTCACAACGAGCCTACTGAAGCAGACGACAGCTTGTCGCAGGCTATTTTTCCAAGCCCCAGTAATTTCAATGTCCGCCCCGGCATATCGCGCGCCACGAGGACATCCAGATCACGGCTCAGCAGCTGAATGACGCTTGTTAACCTATCGATTACGACATGGTGGTCATCCAGGCTATCCAGCGAAGGTTAGCCGAGTGAAGAATGGCATGGTTAGTGGGCTGCCAGCGTAACCCCAGATCATCCTCCAAGGACTCATATACATCGACTTTGACTATTGATCACCGACGCTGAGGAGGTGAGAACCCACGCAAAACCAATCATACAGGCCGGAGGTTATGCTTTTTGATGTTGACCTTCAACATCATGTAATGCCGACCCAGATCTAAGAACGCAAAACCATGTGGGTGAAGGGTGGAAGATAGAGCCCCAAAGGAAGCCTTCATATCTGTGATGATCAGCTATATGTTGAAGTTAAGCCAAGGGCAATAAGGCTTACGTGCAAAGAAAATACCTTTCAGCAGCTCGGCCGGTCATGAATTGTTGGATTCTTCTCACATTCTGTCTTCCTAGACTTCAGTCTGCTGTAATCGTCGCGAGGGCTGCCTTTCCTGATGGGAAACGTGATCATCATTCGCTTGTTGCTTTTCTGCAATAGGTCTTCCAGGGGCTTTCAGGGCAGGTTGAAGATCCGCTCCAAGGAACCACTGTCAGATCGGGCTCTCCATCGTCACCAAGGACTGACCAAGTCGTGCAAACCCCTGAGCGTGGAGGTCTCGAACATATCTACCGATAACATTCGATTTCGCCCTTTTAGAACTGGTTGTAAAGAGTAGAGAATAGCAGGAGTAATGCCACGCAATATGCTTTGATGACAAGCCCGTATCCAAGATGGCTACTCGCATTTGTTTCATGCGAGCCCCGATCCTGCACTGGTGACTCGGAAGCAAGCTTTGGGATATTTTATAACGAGTCGTATTCATTGCGCGTCTGCTGAGAATGTTGAATTTCGAGCTGAAGAACCCGTCTGCTGTCGAGTCCAGAAGTACTGCGCATCTATAGCATTTACTTAGAAAATCAACCATGTCGAGCTTGTCAAGTGTCCGAGAACTGAAATGAGTGATTCTCTACTTTGCCGAAGAGATGATGGTGGTTAGAATCATGCAGGAAGAACCGTAGCCTAGACAAGGCTCTTTCTGATCGGACTTACAGACAGATACATCTCGCAGCGTCATAGTAGATGACTTGTGATGGGATGATTGCTAACGGTCAAACAGGTATTGGATCGCTTCCCGCCGACGGCGACTAATGCAACTGGTGCGACTGCTACTTGTCAGTACAACCACGCCCGGCCGAGGCTAAGGCGCCTTGGTGTTGGATTTAGATATCTGCCGTAGGTGAGATACAATATAAGAGAGCGAAAGGCATTCCAGGTAATATTCCAGTTCAGATAATGCTGCGTGCCTTCACTGCCAGGTCGCTGGCGTGCAAACCGTAGAAGGGCATACACAAGAGCACGTCCGGTATTCAACGCCTCATGTGTGAAAGCCAATTTCCAACGAGGATCAGAAAGCGGAAACATGGTTATTGGATGAAGTCAGCGAACAGTAGCTGTTCTCAATCGCAAAAGTGCCGACTGCTGCGATTTTCGGACATTGGTAATCCTAACCGCAACCCAGGGCGCATTCATACCAGGCTGGGTACAAGACTATGCTGCCCTTGAGAGCCAGATTGACTGGATGCAAGCTATTCCATTCAGTGGGTGTTTCATACCTGTAATGAGAGTGAAGAGCCAACCTGTTCGGATAAGATGAATGACAGAGCACTGCTAGTGAACTGTTGTCTGAGAAGCGAATAGAACAGTGTGCTATTTGCAAGCTTGCTGAGCCAGATCTGTATGTTAGAATTGTACAATATCTGGAGCATGAGTACTAACTTGCCTTGGTCGTAGGTACTGTATCGGCATGTTGAACCATTTCCTTCGGGAAAAGGTGAGACAAAACAATACTTATGACGATCCCTTCGCAACTAAATTTAAAGGCCCTCACATCGAAGTCCCAAGTTGGCGGACTTAGGTCAAGATGAGCATAAAGCGAGGTCATTGTGGAAACATGGGCATATCCGAGAACTGTAATCAAGGCGCGGAAATCTGAATGCTGTCAACATCAGAAGTACATGGGTACTAAAGTCTCGATCCAAATTACCTACCTTAGAACTTTGTCCTTGGCGATGTGTGCAAAAGGCAGCAGCGAGAACATGAACGTATGCCCCTGTCCCTGTCATGAGAAATTTAAACGATATAGCACAGGTGAACAAATAGACTTACCGGACTTTGAAAGCTTTTCGGCAATTGCCTTGGTTGTTCATAATAGTCACAGATCACATGGTAGTCAGCTGAAGACTCGGTTGGGGAGGATTTAGTTTTGCATAAATGGGGTTCTTTCCCACCAACTCAGAAACAGGTCTAGGACCTTGAGGGAGAAGAAAGTGACAGAATCAGGTTGTTTGAATATGAGCTCGATCATGTTGATCCCAAATCTTACGACGAAATGGTGGTTGAGGTAAGTTAGTCGTATTCGCTTGGAGTATGGGTGCTTCAATGCATCGTTTGGCTCCGCCAATGTCGCCTTGATAGAGTCTGAGGACCCGACCAATACTTCGTCCGTCCGAGTGCCATTTTCTTTGTTCCTCGATGGTGCATTCATATATCGCAGACAGATCGACGGTATTGTTACGTATAGTTCTGGCTCGTCAGCTGAGCCAGGGGTATCAATTATTGTGAATGAGTTGGGTGCATCAGTTTCGCCGATGGACGTGTCGGCATCGCTGACACTGTCACTACGCGAGGAATCGACTCTACAGACTGGAGATAACCGCGACATCGCTCGCAAGTATATGACACTTGAGGAGTGCGTGCGTGGATCGGCAGCAATGAGTCGAGGCAGGTGCATCAACGTAGACTTTCTGGTCTCTCCATTTGCCGCAATGCTGGCCTGGCCTCTCCCAAAATATGTGGTTAATATATCGGGAAATCGAATGCACCATCCGCACATATGGAAGTGTCGAGGGGGTTCCTGTATTCTCCCAGGTTTGGGTGGAGGGTGACTAGGTTCCGTTATATTCGTAGGGTCGAGCGCTTCAATCGATCCGATGGTCTCCGCCACTCCACAAAAGAGGCGAGCCAACCAGACCGACAACCTTAAAACCAGGCGCGTACTCCTTGTGACACAGAGGTGCAGCCATCGTTTCGGGCCTGGAAGTCAGACAAAAGTGTAATCCCTTAGTATCTTGGTGATTTAGGCCATAGGCGGCATCAGATATCACAGGGTCTGGCCTAGTTGATGGTCAATAAACAGATCGCGAAGTACAAGAAACCAATAGGCATACCTGTTTCAACGAGGTATAATCGACCGATTTGGGTGTGCTAGGGTCTGCCTGGGACTGTTGACCATTTACGGTGCCTGGCTGAAGCCGCCCACGAAGACCACGAGGGTAGTGTGTGGCCAGTCTGCACGCTTCGCCACGACCGCTGATGAAAACTGAGAGGTTGGTTAATACGCTGCTTTATTAGGAAAGGACATCACTCACTCTTTGCGGCTGCTCTCACTGCAGGCGAATTCCAGGATAGTGATACCGTTCTCCAGCGTTCTCGACACTTTTCTCACCGAATCGGTTGAGGAGGTTGATAAACGTATCGGACAGCTATCCCATAGGAGCAGAAAACACGTGTGTATAAATAAGGGGGACACATCTTGACGCCCGTGATCATCAAGCCAGATCACGAGACGGTGGACTATAGAAAAATGACATATATAGAAAGAGAAATACGAGCAGGATGTCAAGAGGAAGACAAGAAAGATACCAAAGACATCATCAATGAGCGCGATGAGTGGAACCTGAAGCGCGATGAACCCTGCGTCAGCGCAGGCCTCGTCATGTGGCATAAGGCGGACAGAACTGTCGCCGGGAGAAGCACCAGAGTTGGGAGAGAAACCGGGCATTGCCATCGATTGCCCGCAAACGAGATGAAGATAAGACAAGACATATCAGCTTTTGGGCAGATCTTTCCCGCAAGTTGATTTCCGTGCGAAGGATCCAGCTTCCCACGGCAATGACCTTCGAATCGCTAGGAAAACACAACACCTGACATTATATATAGAACGAACCATTCATTAGAGAGAGAGGGATATATATGACTTCAAATCAGGCAAGAAAAGGAGAGAAAAGGGAACAAAAGAAACACGTATATTAGATGAGAAAAGAAGATCGTGAGTGAACCGAACAACCTTCGCGAAAGACCTCGTATATATCCCTCCTCTCGCAATACCACAGCGATGGCACCACCTCTATGACACATTCCAAAAACCCAACCCAGAAGCGACCGTCTGTCCAGACCCGGGGGCCCATCGCCGTATCCCAGCTGAAGCAAACGAGAGTGGTCAGAGGAATGCCAGACCACCCAACCATGTCACCAACAAACGGCCCTCATCCCGTACGACCCCGGGCAGCAAGGAAACAGAACGGACTGGCCCGACCTCGCGATCGATCGGTCGGATCGGACCTGTCAGCGACAGCCAGCGGCCCTTGCAGACTGGCGTGGCGGTGTGCCGACAGGGATGCCGGCGCCGTCGGAGCGGATACGTGCAGCGCGCGGCATTTCTGGCGGACAGCTGGGCCGGGCTGGTTGGCACTGGACACGGTCGTTCCTACCCATGGGGTCGTATTGCTGGGGGGGGGATGGGTTGCAGTCTGGCAATCGGAGAAATTCAGGATGTGAGACACCGTTGGGGCGGTCTGTGCGTGCCGGGTGTTGTCTGCAGACGGAATATTGGCGATGAATAAGACTGGAACCGGATACTGAAGAGGTTGACAGCCGTCGGGAGTGGACCGAGTAGGTACCTAATCGCACCTCCTTCCCTCAACTTCTCTTCACATTCTTGGTGCCTCGTCTACAATGCGCTCCGGATGTTTCAGTGATGGATAGCCAATAATCATCGGGCCCAATCCAGGCAAATATATATATTCATCGCAATATAAAACATTACGAATTAACGTAATTAGCTAAATACAGAAAAAAGGCCCATGGGCAGGTCTGGCTGGGCCCCAGGCGATGGCAGTATATAAGTAACGAAGAAAAATCAGGCAACCACCGGCCAACCATTAGTCCAGGTGAGCTGGTTCCAGCCGAATTGGTAGTCATCCACGGTCAGGCCAATGTTCTTGTTGGCGTAGTGGTAGTAGACGACGAGACCATAGGTCGTATCGTTCAAAACACCCCTGGCGCGCTGTTAGCATGCTTCCGTTTGACAGGAAAGTGGGGGGGCAAACGTACTGTCCACCAGGCCCGAAGACGTAGTCGTGGCTGGCCAGAACGGTAGTTCCGCCGCTGTTGGTGCATGCAACACCGTCTTGGTCGACCTGTAGGCGAAATTAATCCCTGGGTCTTGGATGCAATCGGACAGTCACTTACAAAGTCGCCCGTTCCCGTCCGGGATCGGCACACAACAATTCGGTACTCATCTCCCTGAGCGGGCGGGTTGGAAATGTAATTCTGAGCCTGACCGGACGAGAAGGTCAGGTAGTAGTAACCTCCGCGCTCAAACATGAACGCAGCCTCGATGGCGTGGTTTCCCGATGCGTTGTAGGCCAAGTTGGTGGGCGTGCTGCCGCTGCTCGTCAGGGAGTCGGTCATCTCCACCTGGTAGATGCCATCCCAGTAGGAGCCGAATTGGAGGTAGGGGGTGCTGCCAATGGTGATCCAGTTGGGGTCAATGGCATTGTACGGGGTGGACGAAGACGAGGTGACGCCAATCTCGCCATGGTCCGTCCAGGAGCCCACTTCCAGGGTGGTGGAGCTGGCAACTCCGATGGTGGAATCCTGGCTGCCAAGCGTGGAGCTGGCATAGTACATGTAGTAGGTGCCATCAACATAGTGCACGTCCGGAGCCTGCAGCAATGTTAGGACTGAAGATAGCCCACAGATGTGGTGCGATGGCAAGGAGTCTCACCCAGAGGTTGGAAGCATTCCCCACTGGAACATCCGATCCGTCTGCCAGGGCGACCCCGAGATCGGTCCAGGGACCAGCAATGGAGCTGGCAGATGAGATGTGAATGCCTAGCCCGGTCGAAAAGCGAAAGAATGTGCCGTCAGACTTGCGCTGGATGACATTGGGGTCATGGGCCCAGCAGGATCCCGAGCAGGCCCCCGGGTCTGAATAGGCGTTTGCCAACGCTACACAAAGCAGGAGAACAAACGAAAACATGGCAGATGAGGGGAAGATGAGGGGAAGGGAGGACAGGGGCAGGAGAGAAAAAGAAATGTCTGTTTTCGAATGAGGAAGTTTACATTGTCGTCGAGAGGAAGGGCCTTTTATGTACAATCGGTTCGGCCGGTGTACATCGGCAACTGTCACCGCAATGCTTGCAGAAGGCAGCCTTGCAAGTAAGGGCCACCTTCAAGATCCAGCTGAGCTTACGCATGCATTGACCGCGGGTCATTCTCGTAAATGAGAAGGGCTAATGTCGAGCGATACTCGGGGTTGACTCCCTTGCTGGCCCGGGACGACCAATCACGCCTTCGGAAATAGCTTTAACTTTAGTGAGGAGACTAGTTGGTAGTGACGAGGGGGACCCATGGATGTATCTGGCGGATTTCCATGCAGATTGTTTGCATCGACGTGGAGCCTGGCGTGGATGGATGGATGGAGCTGCCAGCCTAATCCGTCGTCCAAGAGTCAGGCAACGGAACAAGTCCTGCTCTGCACTTTCCCCCGCGTTAGTCTTAGCGACAAAAGCAAAATTGTCTTCCAGGCCAATGTATGCAGGCCGGCAAAAAATAAACATACCAATAAATTAAAACTCATTGCCTAGCCAAGGTGTGGGAGGATTTAGTGTTAGGCACCTGACCGATCGGCTGCTCTTCATCACATTACCCTATTGGGACCCCATGACTCCTTAACTCAAACCTCGGATTTCGGGTCGAAGAAGGAAATTCTCCTGGTCCATCCAGAAACTGCGTCTAGAATTTTGGGTAGGTTATCCTCGGGCCGCCTCACTCCCTTACAAAGTACGAGGTACGCCTTCAGCCTCTGTCTTTGTTTGCCGTGGTTCCCCCATCACCCCTTTCCACGCCAAAGTGTCATCCATCCATTCATTCCCTGCCACATCCACCTCCCCCACAAAGACTTGGCCTGACGTGTCAATGAGGTACCAAAGGCCAGAACTTGAGGTTGGAGCACCGGACTCTCCGCACGCGGTGATTGGGTGTCGGGATACAGATGACGGGCTGAAGGAGAGATTTGGTCGGATTAGTCTCCTTAGTTCTCCTTAGTCGCCCCAAAGCTCGGCCTAGTGGGCGCCCCCAAGGCCTTTCGGAAGGCCATCGGTCGATCGTGGGCCTGTCCTTCCCAATGGGATCGCCCCGTCGAGTTGGGAGTCCGTGAGCATGGCGGAGCGACGCCAAAGCTTGCCATTTACATCGGGATGTCGTGATGGGGATCCCCAGATCCGATGATTCATGGGGGTCACTTTAGCTTGTCTAGTGACTTGCTACTCTTTAGAGGATCCGCCGATAACGTCTCCCCCCCTGCTGAGGATCGCCCACCGGACCATCAGAGCCAGGCTATGAAGAATGAATGCCTTTGGGGACGGTGACTGTGATTACCACGTCGAAGCCACCCACCCCTTACAGGAAGCCGTCACGATGTCTGTTCTTGGGTACTGCTGCAGCTGTAGGATCGATCTAAGTGCCGCACAGCCCTCGACCAAGATTCTTACAGCCTTGCTGGCATTATGTAATCGGGGTTCCCCTCATCTTGGACCTGTCCCGATTGCCGTCCCAGCAGTCGGAACCCGCCGTGATGTGCCGAGACTGACCGGACTTGGAGATCGGATGGTACCATGATGGTCTCACGAGGAGGTGGATGGCCTGTCGGGATGGTGCGACCTGCGCTAAGGATGTCGTGACTCGTCCACGGCAGTCCTGAGGGGTAGAAAAAGCGCGAGAGCAAGCATCGCGGGTCCTTGTCTATAACGCGCACCCTTTATGGCCGAACAAAGTGCCGCTCTCGTGTTTTTTCTTAGCCGGATGCTGCAAGGAGGCCCAGGAAGAAGTAATGATGACCGCATGCAGCAGGAGTTGACCTGTGGCCAAGGGCTACGGAGCACTACTGACCGAATCTCACGGGGGACATCCGGATTGCGGTGAACAACGCGTTGCGGGATGGATTATTTGGCATGCGCAAATTCCCACTTCATTTATGTTGTTGGCAGGGCCCCATATCAACCGGGGGAATTGCAACGATAAGAGCGGATTGCGCCTTCTGGGGGATCTCCCACTCGTCCAGGGACGGGGGCGGATGGGACGCTTTTCCGCTGTGGAGAGGGGCGGTCATGGCATGCATGGCCGTCATAATTCATATGGCGCCAGACAATGGTGGGGACCGCGGAGGTTTAGTATTCTCCGAAAACAACATTGGAGAGGTGAGAGTTGAGTGTTCAGTAATCCGGGAGTTGCAAGCGGTTCCGGAAATTCCCCGTTCCAGGGGAACAAACAAGAACCAGAATTGGGCTGGCTTGATCTGGTTTTTGGGACGCGTCTGATCGCCGGATCTGCTGAGCCGTGGTACCTCCACTGGACGCCTCAGGCTGCCACTGTAACGGATATCGAACCCGCAGTCATCTAAAGATCAATGTGAAGGGAACAGCAAGCATATTCTCTAGCCAGAACTTCTGAGCGACCTGGCTTTTATTTTCTCCATGATCTCGACTTATTGTTTGGAGGACAGCGACTTCACCACACGCGCCATCACCAACTACCATAAACCCGTAAAACCTCAAGCCACAACGCAACATCACATTCAATACGAACCTGCCAGATCCAATCATCCACCGAAAACGACATTGAATGAACCTCAACGAATCCCACCACACATGGCCCGGTCGACCAATCCTCGCACGGCAATCTATTCTTAGCACAGGCAGACATCACCCAAGCAAGGGGTACACAATACACGAACTCAACTGTCACTTTGACAAACCCTATCAACCATCCATCCCATCCTATCCAGAATCCATCTAACCCGTACCTCAGAATAACCTTTGACTGATCCCAAGATCCCAAGACAAGTCTTATGCATCCTGCAGGGGCACACCATTTATCGTCGCGACCGAGTAATCTGCACCGACTCGACACGCGTCCAACACATGGCGGTGGCTCCTTCAAGCTTCTTGCCCCTGACGATGAAAACTCTGGCTGGCGCGTTCCTGCAGTAGTTGATGGGAAGGTTCGCCACCGTCGTACCTGAGAGGTGTTGATCCGGTCTATAGTAGATGGGATATCAGACTAGAATAGATCGTAGACCGATCCCATATGATATCACAGCATACTCCTGACTCCTGAGCCAGCAAAGGAGAAACAGGACGCGGTAGAGTACGCTATAGCTATTCCTTCTCTCAAACTTCCATAAAGCTTAACTTAACCAACGAGTATATGCACAATATACCTCAATATAACCCACCCACCACCCCAAACCATCCAAACAAACAACTTCCACATAAACACAACCCAACCTCATGCAATACAATCCCTAATCAAACACCCAAATATCCTAATGCCACCCCCCTAAATCTAGGTAACCTCATATCCCCAGAGGAGCGACACCAGACAGCCATGCAGCCGATGACGCGTCCCACCCGACACATCACGAATCATACCTATGTATGGCTCCACCAGGTAAATAAGCAACCATGATACGTTAGGGGATAAATGTATCTATCTACTTCTGGTCCGATATTGTCACGTCGACTTTTACATTTCATAATTGACTAGGACTGCCTGGCTTCTGGGTGTTTGATATGTTTGATAGTGGATGGATGGAGCACGGAGTATTGTATACCCAGTATCTAGTGGGAGGTTCGGCGAGGCGAGCGGAGTACGGAGGACGGAGTATGTATTTCAGTAGACTATCTTCCTTATACGTAATTTAATGGTTATAGCTCTGGCGCATTTCAATTTTAAGGATTGGTTGTTGTTGGGAGATGAGATGGGTTGGGTAGTATTCTATTGTGTAGCGGTCCCAGTCGCATCTTGATATAAACTTGATTGATGGCGTAGGACATGATGAGAACAAACCTCCTTTTTGGAGACTGAAACTCACTTTCCATGCCATGTGTTGAGTGTATTTCAGCTGCAGGGTATCTTGGTAGGTATCTGAGAAAGGCAATTGTGCCGGTTACTTTTTCGTTTTCTTTTTGGCTTTTGTCTTGGACGATGATGGCCTAAATATGACCGACGTATGCGATCGCGCATAATATATATGCATATATATAACCAACGCTGTGTGATGGAGATTCTCGTATAAATCCAAGGACGGTACGCTTGGAGCAATTTCATTGGTAGAAAGTAAATGCTCAATACCATGGCTTCGATGTACAATTTCTTTGCTTCATATGTCCACAGCAGCCGGATCTAGCTTGTCACGAGTTTTCATCTAATCAAGGACCACGACGTAGCATGTACCTGTACATAAGTGAGTTGGGTTCGCCGGAGGCTCTGAAAGACTCTAAAATGCCCAGAAAGCAAGTTGAGACAAAATACACCCGAAGCGAGAATGGATCTATACCTCGACCTTAGTCTTCCGGTAGGTCTGCGCAAGTGCGACATCCCTGGTGGTGCCATTTTCTGTCTTGATAATGATCAACTCGACCTTGAGTAGTCTCGGAAACTATATTTTCACGGAAAACGTTCCTGTCGGAGTCATACCAGAACAGCTTTTTCATGTTTGTAAATATGCTGATGATGCTCGGGAAGCATAGAGGGCATCAGCACGTCAGATACACCGTAGGTATTCGTCGCGCCTGTACTAGATCTACCCCCAGTTGACAGAATTAGAGAAGAGTTCTGCTACAACCTTCCCACCTTGGTTTGGAGCCTCTCGCTGTCCTATCTGCGCACAAAATGAAGCTAGAAAAGTTGGTTCTAGGCAAACGATGAATCCAATTGGACATGTGCGTTGCACATAGGAATGAAACATTGTCTCCATATCAGGGGCAGACTTCCTGCTCTGCATACTGAGTGCTTTGTCCTCAGATTGCTCCCATGTGGCATCGATATCAAGCGTGTCTGTTAAAGATCTCGAGAAGCATCCACATTCCCGAGCCACACCACAGCAATTCTTATTGCTTGTACTCATATCAACGGCTCCTGAATCTGCGCCTAAGGGTCGATACCTCACGCTCTTATGTGATGCTCACCACTAGAAAGATAGCCCAGGGCACTAAGATCAGAAATCGTTGAAGTTGGTCCTTCCAAAGACAGAAATTTCTCAACTTCTATGTAACTCTAGCACAGGGCCTTATGATCGGAAGAATCAAATCTTCATTAACATTATCCTATCTAGCCAACGATGAATGGTCGCTAATCGAATCGTCGCATCCCTGCCATTATCATGAAACAAACCTATAACCGTAGTCAACCGAACAAGCCAAGTCTTTTGCCAAGCATCTAGCTAGCCTGATATACTTTGAAGCTCTTAAATTCCCAGTACGCCTGCGTGAAATTGGCAGGGTTGCTGCGAACAAAGCTCTCGCATGTGCCCGGACAATGATACAGTTCGGTATAGAACTCCCGGTTGGCACCGAGTTGTCCGCACAGATCGATGTTTGCAATAATGCTTTGATTCTTGAAGTGTGAAGATATGTCGCAATGCGTGTTCGGGAAGTCAGCCAAAGCAGTTCCCCAAGTCGATGGGTCTGGGGTGCTACTCGAGTTCGAGACGTCGTCTGGAATGGAATTGCGTGCGAAGTACCAAGCTCGGATGCCAGCATCCCGCAGTTCCAAAGCGTAAACCTATCACTTGTCAACATCATGAACCAATGACCCATATTTCCTATATCAGGTAAGACTTACTCCGCCCCCATCCTCATTCATCTCTTGTCCATATGTGTTGGGCGGACCTTGCACACCACATCCAGCGTTGCCATGCGTGCTGTTGTCGCAGGTTACATAATTCGGGGTACCGGTCTCCTTTCGCTTAACATTCATCTTACAACCGCTGGTTGTATGCAAGGTGACAGCGTTTCCTTCCGTCGCTATATTGTTCGTCTCCACCACGTCGATTTCTCCATTTACTGGCCAATTGTACGTATCAGTCAACCACAGCGCAGGCCACAGTCCACAGCCGTAAGGGGTATGGAGAATGTCAAAAATAAAAAGGCCGGTATCATAGCTCGTTTTGGACTCCAATCGCACGGACTGTCGTCCGTTGGTTGCGTTCTTGTTCGACGTGTCCACCCTCATCACAACAGATTCGTCGGTTGCATAGGTCAAATTCAAGGAATTCGATGTGGAACGGTTGACATATCTATGAGACATTAGTCAAGATCAATAACTTCGGAACTCCCAGCCATACCGAACAAATCCATCGGTGGGATCCTCTCCAGAATAGTAATCAAAACGATCGAAGAATGACGTCCCCGAGTACGTGTCCACCAACTTGTAATCGAGCTTAGAGTAGTTGGGATATTTGCTCTTCTTTGTGCCCTCGACCGCACCAACAATGACTGCGATGATGATGACCACAACCGCAGCTGCTATAATCAACTTTTTGCGCAATGACCAGCCGCGAGGATGGTACCAGGGATAAGAGGCGGCTGTTTGTTGCGCAGGTATAAATCGCTCGGCACCTGGAGGAGGGGGTGGTCCTGCGTGCCCCAGATCATCGTCTAGCTTGGGAATTTGAGCAGTGGCGCCGCCATACCTGCTGTACTCGCTACCGGGTACATAGTACTGCTTATCGGCCATTTTGGCCAGAGGCTCCGGATCGGAGAGAGGGTGAAGTGAGCGAGATAAAATGGAAAACAATATGATTATCGTATGCTCCGGTTAAACGAATGTAAGTAGATGTAGCTAGTGAATTGATGGTAGAAGAGTTGAAGATAGGCCAGAGCAGACGGGACGGGATGTTGTCATCGAGAATGTGCGAGTCGGAGGGCCGTTACCGTAACGATCATGGCCTGATTAGGCAATCAGCAGTCACCACCGTTGAAGCGATCATTGAACAATCAGTAGAGGTCATCGTCTCTAAAGTGCCATATGAAGTAAACAGCGATAAGTGCAAGGAACGATTGTTTCAAATTGAGACCAACAACTAGCCGTATTCATCCGATTTTGAGAGCTTATTAGCACTGCGTTGCCTGGCATCTCCCAGTTGAGAAGAATATGTTCTGTTTGCATGGTCCCTGACAGCGCTAAGCTGAGTTAGGAAGGTAGCCCCTGAACCCTGGAGAGGATTACTAATCGTTAGTCACTTTGACTTTCGAGATGTGGCATTAATATTTCAAGTGTTAGAACACTGGCTGATAATAATCTATGCAAAAAGAGCGTCGTCTGCCTGCATTCCTTCAAAAGATGGATGGCTTCAAATGAAGCAGTGGAATGCCTTGGCCGGCCTGCCATGATGTTCTAAAATTAGCAACTGACACGGGCGGCCCCAACGAGGAACCCACAATCGGACAATAATGAGGGAAAGCCTTTAACGGTTGAGACATCACACAGGGAGATTGAATGGTCTATCATATATGTAGAAAGAGTGCTTAGAGTTGTGGCCTGCCTTCAATATATAAGCAAAAGCTGGGTTTATATCAATGCACCCAACGCTAAATAGAAAGCACTGTAATCTGTCACCCACATCTCACCCACATCTGGATTCAAACCAACACTTCATCTGGAAGAAACAATATCTAGCAAGTTCATTCAAAATATCATCATCATCGCGTGTCGATTAACAAAGCATACGTCCCATAACATCAAGCAACTTAAATCAAAACGGCCAAGCATAGTGCGAAATGACTAACAGTACCACTAGTGCCTCTGGAAAGAACGCTTTAAACCTCCGTGGACTCCATCCTTCATCGTACGGCAGACGCTCTTCTCCAAAGACAGCTCGTACAAAGTCGTCCGGAATCCCCTTTGTGACACCCTTCCCGAACACACACCGCAGAGCTGCCAACTCCGCACATCCAACGTAGTGTTCGAACTTCCCAAACTGCAGATCCGGATTGTCTTTCTGCTGCTCTTCATACCGCGTCTTCCGATACCGTCCCATGTCGGCGGTGCGAATCTTGCCTTCCTTCGCAGATCGAAGAAACCGCCGGCATAGTTCTGGATCCAAGTGGATGCAGTCGCCCAGTTCGCGGTCCTGTCGAGTGATCGAGACGTCATGCTCTAAAGCATGAGGACGGCCAACTTGGTCTAGGTTGAGCACAGGGATGCCGTCTTTATTGACTTGATTTGGGTCGCGTAGTCCGGCTCTCGAACCTCCTCGTGGTCCGCTCTTGGGGTCGTCAGAGTGAACTTGAAAGACACGGTTCACGAGGGTGGAGGCTATGTCCAAGCCGAGTCCCACATACTGAACGGCGGCTTACAGCTCCGTAGCGGTGATATTCTGTCCGTCGCGGGCGATAAAGCCATGGTTAGCAAGGGAGTTGAGTACGGGGCATGGAGAACGTAAGTCGCCTGGTCCCGCAGGATGGTATTGACCCTTCTGGAGCGCCATATTGCGATAGTGAAGATGGAAGGGGGAGTTGGAGGAGGCATGGTTGTTCTGGTAATGCACATCAGCATCATGACAGGGGAGCTGAGACTAAGATGACAGGTGACTGCTACGCCTGAGGGGCTGGGTCACGAGTATCCCAGATCCCCTCGTCTTACTTCCACGCATCCCTCCCGCAATCCAGTCAAGGTGAATCAATTCTATTGTACAGTCGTCTACTAGCACGCGCGCGATGACTCCAGCAATAATCTTTCAACTGCATCTACCCACGAACTCTTCGAGCATTTGGTTCAACTCCTGCTCCCTCTCCCAGCCCAGCATGTGGCCGCTCCCTTCAAACACCTTCCATTGGATTCCCTCCCCAATCTCCTCGCGTATTATTTCCCCGTGACGGAAGGTCAGCATCAGGTCTTTGGTGCCGTGACACACGAAGATCCGCTCCCTCCCCACTTGATCCCCCAAAGACTTGAGCTGCTCTGGTGACTTTTGATGGAAATAGCAAGCCACAATCTGCATGAGAAATCCCTTCTTCGTGTGCGCCTCCGTGTCAGCACGCTTCTGCAACATGCCAGCAGCAAAGCGATCCCGCTTGGTCGGAAAGTTCATGGCCGGGTCCTCGTTTTCCGTATCTGGCTGGGCGAGGAAGTCATCCGCAAAGGTACTCCTCGCGATCCTCTCGAGCTCTATGTCGACATGGCGGGGAATAAACATGCTCGCCCGTTGGCGCAGGTTCTCGAAAAATGGGCCGGTCCGGACCAACCGCGGAGCAGTGCAGCAGAGGGTTAGACTGGCCAGACGATCGGGGATGAGCATTCCAATCTCCTGCGCGATCATGCCGCCCATACTAGTGCCGATGACATGGATCGATCGTTTTGGAGGGGCGCTGAGGTCGATCCAGCCCAGCGAAGCGACCAGGTCTACGGCGTCTTGAGCCATCTCCGATGTGGAATAATAGCAGACCGGCTTGTCCGAACGACCAACGCCACGGTTGTCAAAAATCAGACACGAATATTTGGAAGCGTGCTGGTGGCCAAAGTACTTGGTCTGACGCTTCCAGTCTTTGAGAGATCCATTCAGGCCCATCACCCACTCGAACCATGTCAGTACAACCACAACCGGACGGATTGGAAATCCTGCTCGGACTTACAACGAGCTTCACAGGGCCAGTGCCATGGATCTCATAGTTCATTTTCAGGGGCCCACCCCGCCTGTCCTGGGCCACCGTACATGTTCCCGATGTGGTGGGCTGGAGCTTCCAGTCGACCGTATGGAAAGCGGGATGCTTGATGACCTCTTCAGCCAAAAGTGGTGCCATTTTCTAGTATCTGGATTTCTACTCTGTTCAAGGGTGAGATCACGATGGTCGCCGCGGGATGGCGTGGACAAACTCTAGGCAGCTGCTCACATGTCCCGTTTTTCTTGGCAGGAGTGATCCTCGGTCGCCCTGTGGTCCAGCCGTTCCTGGCGATGATTTCATTCCCGCCTTGGTGCCTAGGTATGACTCGTCAGCTGTCTGAGCACTCATCGACACGACACCCCGGCTCTTTAACGATGAGCATGGTGCCTAGCATCCAGATAAGGTCTAGACTCGCTCTAATAATCTCTCCCCAATGACTTTGGGACACAAAATGATGGCGAATACAGATTCTGTGAACTTGTACACGTAGGCAGGCATGGACAAGAGCTCCGTATGCTATGCGATTCGTCTAAACGGATACACAACGTCCCTGCCCCTGATCCATAATTGCCAATATGAGTGCACTGTGCTGGCTAGGGGTCGGTTCCAGGCCCTACCTGATGTCTGATTAACCCCTAGACGCGGGTACGCGGCCCATTCAAGAAATCGCGGGGCTCATTGGGACATGATAATACTGCGCGGGAGATACTCTGAGACACTAGCTACAGCCCAATGGCAATGCTGTGGAGCTTTGGAGGTGACAAAAGAGTCGACCGATCAAGTATTTCTTTCTGGCAAGTCAAAAAGCAAGATCAGACATTGAAATAATTGGTCAGCACGATGAAAGAACAAATATACTACGTCCCAAAAAACTAATTCCAAGGGGCATATTGCTGCCTACACCCATGTTCGAATACTGACGGATGGCGGCGATAGCGGCGATGCTATCGCTGAAGGGCCTGCCCAGCGCCAAAGGAACCGATGTCGGGAGTATACACCCCACTGGGAAGTAAAAAAAAACAAAGTGATATTCAGGGTAATATGAATCTGGCTATGACAGAAACGAGGGTGGGAATGGACGCTGGGTATAAGAGCTCCTGCTCGGTCTACAAATTGAGACAGCGACAACAGGGCTCCTTTCATAACACCCTGTCTATAAGCCGAATTCCAACATGGTGTGTCACTATAATATTCAACAGATCTGCTTGGCTTCGACGATAAGTCCGGCAAATCCGGTGCCGCCCAAAGAATCCCGGCAAGAAATCCAGTGCCAGCAGAAGGAGACATTCAGCTCGAGGTTCAAATACCTCACGAGTGGATGCCCAGGGAACATCAAGAATAGCTCTCCGAATCCACTACTAATCCCTGCGAAGCTTGACAGAAGCGTTGCTAAGCTACATGAAGCGCTTGTCGCTGGACTCAACAACATTGTCGAGAGATGGTGTGCAGATGAACAGGCAGCATTCCCGCGCCGTATGCCGCTGGAACCGCATGAGGAGGATCTTTTGCATGTATGCGATCTCCCATTTGCAACCGGGGTATGCTAACGCCCATATCCTAGTGGCTACATGGGCGAACCTGTGAGAAGAACTTGCGACCCTTCCGGGAGTGTCAGGGACATTGGCGGACCGATCTTCTACTGTCCGCCCAATGGCCTCGAACTGTCCGGATTTGCGAGATCAACGCACGATTCGCGATCAATACCCAGCTTCTAGCCGCGTATGGCTACGAGATATATGGGGAGATGGCATCGGATCGAGGTTGTGTATTTGCAGGGGCAGATGCTCGGAAGGTAAGCCATTGCGGTTGGTCCCTTCCCTCGCTGGCAGATCTGATGTCCATAGTTTGTCCAAAGCCAGCTCGACCTGTTTGATCCCCGGCACCCGGTGCACATTATTAAAGGTGAACATGTCAGTCTGTACGTTGAGGTGTTCCTTTCCTACGCCGAGCAGAACACGGGGTTGCAGCCCACCATAGTCAAGCCGTGCGACCTCCGACTGGTGCAGGATCATGCGTCAGCAACGGGCTACTCCCTTTACTGCAGGTCAGTTCGCGAATGCCCTGATCTTATTGAAGATGGCGAACCTCTGGATCGGATCTATCAGACTTGTGTTCACCTGCTTCCGCATGAGTTCCGCTCCATGCCAGTGGGGATACTACGCCAGTTGTCCTTGTGTTGTGTCAACGACATGCGAAGCGTACTTTTAGTTCACGACAAGAGGATCCTGGGCGTACTTCTTGAGGAGCTCGACAGCCTTGTCGATAAACATCGGGTCCTCACCGTGGAGCAGGCCGAACTACTTCGGCAAGGAATTGTGCCGACCATCAATCCGGGGTCGACAGAGCTGGAGCAATTGATTGACAAGAGCACGGAGTCAAGTATGGCCAAGGATTCCTACATCATCAAACCGGTGCGAAGCGCTCGAGGCGACGGGATTCTGCTTGGGAGAGACTTATCTCCAACCCAGTGGGAGGATCTTTTGATAGACCTGCGCGACCCTAAGCTAACCCCTGACCGAACGGTATATATCATCCAGCCGTTGATCCAACAGCCAGTATTTGAGCTACTGGACCATCGTGGCGAGTCTCAAGTCAGCCCCATTGTCGGTGCTTCTCACCTGGCAAACGGAAAGTTTACTGGTCTCGGATTTTGGCGGGCTGGGGGGGCAGAGGTGTGCAATCTGAGCAGCGGAGGATTTTGGATGATGGGGGTTGTTGCACGTCCTAATTAGATACTGTCAATGCCAGTTACTGGGTGAGCACACACTGGAGTGAGGGATATTGAATTACATTTACTATATGCTGTCACCCCTGCGCAGTATTTACACCTGCTTTCCTTCACCTTGAGGTCAACTTGGATGCCATTGGATGCTATCGCCGAGGTTTCAGATGGCGTAACGTTATCACTCTTATCAGGCCGAGCGACTCCAACAATGCGGGGGTCTGACCCACCCTCTCCAACTCTGCATCATAATATCCTCATCGCAACTCCCATGCAGTTGAATCCTCAATCCACCTCTCGATCACAATGACACCCACTCACCGCGTCGCCGTCATCCAATGGAACATCAAGGTATGCCTCAGCCCCTGCTCATCGTCTCCGAACTTCATCTCCTCTCAATGAACTCCCAACTGAACAAAGTCAGGACCTCGCCGTCGACGAGAACCACCAGACAGCATGCTCCTACATCCGTGACGCCGCATCCCAAGGTGCTGAATTGGCCGTCTTGCCTGAGTACTTCCCCTCATCCCTTTCACTCTCCCATCAGCCACCTCTAACTCTCCAAACCAACAGATACCACCTAACCGGTTGGTCCCCCTCAGACCCCGAATGGACCGCCCTCGCCTCACAAACAACCCCCTACCTGAAAGCCTACCAGGCCCTTGCCCGTGAGCTACACATCTGCATCGTTCCTGGGACCATCGTCGAGCGCCACTCCTCCGTACAAGACGAACAAACCCTCCTCTACAACACCGCCTACTTCATTTCCAACGACGGAAGTATTCTGGGTCACTACCGCAAGAAGAACATCTGGCATCCGGAGCGTCCCTACTTGACGTCTTCGGGGACAGACCCGCACGATGTATTCGATACCCCGATTGGAAAGGTCGGGTTACTGATCTGCTGGGATTTGGCGTTCCCGGAAGCATTCCGGGAGTTGATTTGCAAGGGGGCGGAGGTGGTAATTGTGCCTACTTATTGTGAGTATTCTTACTTTCTGATCACTTCTCAGGGAAGGGGAAGGGTATGTGAGAGATATGTAATACTAATGATGTCAAACTAAAGGGAGTAAATACGATGCCTCCCCAGCCGCACTCCAACATAACCCCGACTCCGAGAAACTCTTCCTCGAGACAACTCTCACCGCGCGATGCTTCGAGAATACCTGCGCGATCATCTTCGCCAATGTGGCACGCGGTGAAGAAGAAAGTGATCGCTTCCTGGGCCTGTCGAGAGTCTGTTTACCCGTTGTTGGCCCAGTAGGGGCAATGGGCCCTGAAGAGGGAGTATTGGTGGCGGATATGAATATGGATGTTGTTCGGATCGCAGAGGAGAATTATCGAGTGAGAGAGGATCTGAGCCGTGAGGGGTGGTACTATACCTATCGGCATCAGAGTGCTTAGCTGAATGAGGGGAGGTGAGGCAATATCAAATGTAAATTAAACTATCCCCATTCCTATCCCCATCACCTGCAGTGAGGGCTAACCACCACCTCTCAGATATCCTTCCCGTTCACCTCCCCATCACTCCAACCCCCTAAATCCCCTCACAAGACCCTCAGAACTAATACCAAAGTGACGTCAACCCGAAGCCCCAACCGGGCCACTTTATCCTATCCCTACTGCCACTCCCACTCCCACTCCCCTTCCGCAGCCTCAACTCCACAAACCACCGAACAGACCATCTCCGGCTCACTCCCCAACTCATCAATCATCTCCTGCACCCACGGCGGTCTCTCCTGAAACACCTACCCACATCCCTGTCAGCCCACATCCACACCCACCTCACCACCTCGCCACAACGAAACGACGTACCTTCGTCGAAATCACCCCAGCCGGAATCTCCCCCTCGCAGACCGGACAGAGGGCCGAGACGGGACGTCGCGGGGACCCGAACACGCCGATCGACTCCCACGCTTCCTCGGGGCAGAGGCTCGGGGCGCGGGAGAGGACATCCTCGAGGGAGGAGAAGGGAGAGATCGCGAGAGAGACGAGCAGACACGGCCAACATTGATATACGAGGGTCGTGGGGATGACGTGGCGGTAGGAGGAGGCGCAGAGGGCGTAGGATTCGGTTGTGTCGATCGTGTAGCACATTCTGAGGGATGGGTTAGGATTAATAGGGTTGAGGGGAGATGATGGGGAGGAGTTACGTACTTGCTACGGTGAGAATATGGCTGAATTGAGGGAGATGTGATTGTGAGATGAGATAAGATAGATGTATCTTTGCTTGTAGAGAGGAGTAATGTAAAGCAAAGCAAGTCAGTATCAACTGGGCATTCAGAGTCAGATGAAGAAACAAAAAAACAAGAAGTAATCCCCTCGAACACAGACACTCTACTCTATCCTCAATACACCATTCACCTCACTTCACTACACTACACTATACTACACTACACAATACTCTACTATACAATACTAAACAACATCACATAAACATTAACATTAACATTCCTTTACATTCAGTCACCTTCACCTAGCCCTGCCTTTCCCTTCACACCACCCTCAATCAATACTCACTCACCCCACAATACAACAATTCTATTATGCACTGCCAGCTCTATAGAACTGTATCCCAGGTGAAACAAATCACAACCGCTCATTGGTTGAGCTGATGACACTAACCACGGGATGATTAGATGGGATCCACTCTGTGAGGCGCTAGGGACGGATAGGGGTTAGTGGGGTGATTATCGGCACATGTGGGAGGGTCAGTGTATCATTGTATTCAGTATCATATCTACTATCTGCATGGGATCTGTTCATATAGTACAGGGGTCATTGGATTGGGAGGTCATTTATTTGGGTGGATGTGAAGGGTTGTTTGTATCGGTAGAGGGAGGGATTGTATGGTGACGTGAATGTGAAGTGTCTGAGCATCAAACTACATAGCAGGTAATATTAATATAGCATATTGCATATTAAGCCATCGGCTATCTACAGCTACTATACATGCACTAAGCTGCAACTGTCTGAATTCTAAAACCGCAATCATCCACAATCATTAGGCGATACAAATTCGTGAAATCTTGGCAACCTCATCATGCCGCCCAGACCCTGGCAGAAGAAATATAATCAGGATAACTCCTCCGACAGACCCAAAAGACTGGCTCCAGCAGGTCAGAAAGCACCGGTGTATAGATCAAAACTAACCATCCAACCTTCTCACTGCACTTGGCTGACGATCTCGCTGGCCCGGGACAGGCTCTCCACCATCTGCTGGCACTCCTTCCGCCGACGCACCGTGTAGTCGCTCTCCTTCAGAAGTTCATCCAGCTCGCTGTTGCGGTACATGTTCTCGAGGAGCTCGCGCTGCATCTCGTCCTTGGTAAATCTACATGGGTTAGCAATACAGTCCGGGTAGGCAGACAGGTAGGCGGGTACATACTGGACAAGGTTGTACATGATGGCTTTCGGAACCATGTCGATCATAGTCCGCTTCACGATGTTGTAGTACGATGTAATCAGGAGCTCTGTTGATCATCAGCATCGGTTCCGTGACATGCCTAAGTGCAACACTTACTGACGACCTCAACCTCCACGCTTTCCCGCTCCGACAAAGACGCAGACGCCTTAAGGGTCGGCGGCGGCGGCTCCATGGCAGCCATCTTCTTCTTGTTCTTTGAAGCCCAGAAGCTGCCAAAGAACCCACCGGAGTTGCCGTTATCGACGGCAACCTCAACCGACGGGCTGTTGGCCCGCGGAGGCAGAGGCTTGCCCGTCTTCGGGTCGACCTGAGTAGGCTTTCCAGCACTTTGACGCTCGTTGACAATTGTCATAGCCTATGCAGTCAGCACATGGCAGGTAAGGTAAGATATGGTGGCACTTACGCGGTGTCCGTTCAGGAAATCAGGGTGTCCCGTGTTGATATAGCATGCCTCCATGGAGATCAGGTCGTGAACCAGCTTGTTGGTCGGCTCCATGCACTTCTTGAAGAAACCAACAACCACCGCATGGAACTTCTCCTTCAGCATGGGATACCTCCGGAACAGCTGCTTGTTCAGGAGCTGACCCAGAATGCGGACAAGTTCGTCGTAAACCAGAGAGATACACTTCAAGCTAGGGTCCTCCAGGCGCTTGATCTGCTGCTTCACAATCAACTCGAAGGCGGTCGTGCCAACGAACAGTGCGGGGGAGGGACCAGACGAGTTGTAGAGGATGGTTCGGATGTCAATGTCCTTGACGTGGTCAAATGGATCGACCGCCTTGACACCGTTGGCGTAGAGCTCGTGGAACACAAAGCTGATACGAGCACCACCCGACAGCTCGATGCTGGACAGCTCCTGGTTGCTTCCCTCGAGCACCGTCCGGTACTCATTGCTGAATTCTGTAATGATGTTTAGGATAATATTGGCACTGTTTCCGAGCATCGAGTCGCCGAGCTGCGACAGCTCTGAGGTGTACTTCTGGAGAGAGGAGGAAATGCGCGCCTTGATGTCCGGGAGGGTTTGCTTAATATGCATCATGAGGATCTAGCAAGGTTAGCCCGAATGCTCCTCACCGCCTCCAACTCACGTACCAGGTTCAGCTTTCTGGCAAGATAAGGCGTTCCGCAGTATGAGGCCTTGTTCCGGTAAGCCTTGTGGCCTTCGAAGAAGTTCTTCTCGTGCTCCAGGGCGTATGTGATAGGCCGCTTGTTCTCGATATCACGCTGACCACGGTTGACGACCGGCACGTATCCCAGACGCAGAGGGATAATCCTGCCCGCAAGAATATCCACAACGTCGGTACCCTCGTCCATCAAATCCACCTTGGTCAACACACCGATCGTGCGTTGACCCTCCGGGTCGACTTCCCGCGCCAGCTTCAGACCATCCGAGTTGGCCAGATCCTGGTTGGCCGAGGTGACTGCCAAGATGATGGCGTTGGGCTTGCTGATGTACTTCAGGACCATGTCGCGGATCTGACGCTCGATATCCTTGGGCTGGTCACCCACAGGGACCTTGGTCAAACCGGGCAAGTCGACCAGCGTGAGGGTCAAGACATTGGGCGAGTAGATGCGCAGGTTGATGGGAGCAGGCGAGATACCGGCGTTGCGACCGACCTTGGACTCGGTTTCGCGGACAATCTCCTCGCGGATCTTGTTGAAATCGTAGAACTTCTGGCCGGGAATGTGGAGGAACTCGCCGTACTCGTCCAGATTGGCCTCCTTATCCGTCGTCTCCAGGGGCTCGTCCTTGACGCCATTTGTTTGCGAACCAGCGGGCTTGTTGATCAGTTGCAGGACGAGGGGTCTCCGAGTGACAATTCCAGAACCACGGGGGAGGCTAGGCAGCGATAAGGCTCCGGTTAGTCGGCAGCCACCAACACCATGACGGAGACAACAGAAGCACTTACAAATCCCGACCGACAATGTTCTCTAGGACGGAACTCTTTCCGCTGGATTGCGAACCGACGACGGCAATCTGGGGCAGATCGATGGGGTTGTGAACCTAAAGGGAACAGGCGGTGTCAGTCGGCGGAGGGGTTGGTTGCAGCTCAGCTCCACGGCCCCATGACTTACCCCGACAGTCGCAAAGACATCCTGCAGCTTGTTCACCAGCGAGATCAGGCTGGGATCGTTGACGTTTATCCTGCGGGCACCATAAGGTCAGCCAGGCGAATCGGAGGAGACAGCACGAGGGACCAGGGGTTGCGCACGAGAAGCCAGTCGGGCTTGCCATGGCTGGCAACGGGAAACAGGGGACGGTTGCTCCAAACTAATAAAAGAGATGATTATAGAGGGACGTAAGCAAGTAGCTAGACAACGTCCGGGGAGCGATTGTCCGGTCAGGGGGATATGGAGAGGAGCGAAGAGGATGTTTGGGGGGGTTGAAAGGGAAGAGGGCGAGCGAAGGCGGGAAGGGCCAAGTGGAGAGTTTCGCTTCGGTCCAGATCAGATACTATTAGATACCGGAGTACCAACGGAGGAGATGCGCTGCAATCACGGCCTGCCACGGCGTTACCCACCCTAACCGGGGACCCTGACGGTGGCAAACCGACGTCTACAATTGACTGGTTTACAGAAAGAGGTACCCAATGAACCACTCACTGGGACTCCGTACACAGCAAACGGGGGGCCGCGTCATGTGGATTTGGCCACCCAAAAGCGGCCAGACTATGGCACCAGTTGCTGAATGATGCTGCCTGACTGACTCACGCCCGCGCACACCACAATCGGAACCTTCTCGAATTCAACAAGGCAACTGCAATAACTACATATACTGGGAATTTGCTATGCTACAAGCTCGGGATATAAAATAGACAGCTCGACCCCGGTCCACCGTGAATGACCCCTCTACTCATCCGACACCGAAGCAAACCGCTCCGTCATGGACTGGAGGACCTTCTCGTACTGCGGCACAGTTAGATAAATGCATCATGAGGAGCAGCGCCGTCGGACTTACCTTCTCGGAAACTTCGGCCTCGTTGGTCGGCACCTCGAACTTCATGCTCCGCAGTGCGCTCTGAATGTCGGTTGTGGCGTCGCGAACCTTGGCCCAGTTCTGACCCTGGGCCACAGCCTTCTGGGCTTCGTCGTGGTAGCCCATAAAAGCCTTCATCATGTACTCGGTCTTCCACAGGGGGCAGAACTGGTCGTAGTCACTGTAGCCGTTCTGCTGCAGGAAATCATCCTTGACCATGGCAGCCACGTCCAGGGTGATCTTGTCCGAGTCACCCAAAGCGGCCTTACCGACCAGCTGCACAACCTGGTCCAGATCTTCCGACTTGGTCAGCAGCTCACGGATCTGGTCACGCAGGCGAGGGAACTCGGGGTGGTGCTTCTCGTAGTACCGGTCCAAAATCGTCGTGTACTTGCTGTAGGAGATCGACGTGTTGATCGAAGGGAAATGCTTCCGCTGGGCCAATTTCTTGTCCAAGCCCCAGAACACCTGGACAATACCCAGGGTACTACTGGTGACAGGGTCCGAGAAATCACCACCCGGAGGACTGACGGCAGCGACAATACTGACACTGCCGATTCTCTCGGGGCTTCCGAGAGCGGTACTCTTGCCCGCACGTTCGTAGAAGGAAGCCAGCTTGGCACCCAGGTAGGCCGGGAAACCCTGGTCAGCGGGCATCTCACCCAAACGACCGGAAATTTCACGAAGGGCCTCGGCCCAGCGGGAACTGGAATCCGCCATCATAGCCACATTCTTACCCTGGTCACGGAAGTACTCGGCGATCGTGATACCGGTGTAGATGGAGGCCTCACGGGCAGCGACGGGCATGTTGGAGGTGTTGGCGATCAGGCAGGTACGCTTCATAATGGGTTCTTTGCGGCCATCGACTTCAATGGAGAGCTAGCGAGATCGCTCGTCAGTACGGGAGGATCTTGCCATCAGATGGTTCACCTACCTCGGGAAAATCCATCAAGACCTCAGCCATCTCGTTACCACGCTCACCACAACCGACGTAGACGATGATATCACTGTTGGAGAACTTGGACACACTCTGCGAGATGACAGTCTTACCACATCCGAAGGCACCGGGAATACACACGGTACCACCCTGGACACTGGGAAACAGGGAGTCCAGGACTCTCTGGCCGACAATGAAGGGGGCGTCGGACGACAGCTTCTCGTTCACGGGTCTGGGCACACGGACGGGCCAGGTGTGCATCATACTGTGTTCCGTCTTGACGCCATTGAACTCGATTTCCAGCAGCTTCTCCTCGACCGTGTAGCTTCCAGCCTCGGCTATGCGGGTGATAGTACCTCTGGCGCGGGGAGGGAGGATGATCTTGTGGTCGTTCACCAGGCTGTTCTCGGCAACGGTACCCCAGATGTCACCTCCGGTAATGTGGTCGCCGACCTTGTACTTGCCCGGCGTAAAGTCCCACTTCTTCTCCCGATCCAGCGCGTTGACCGCAATACCACGGGGGATGTAGATACCCTTGGACTGGTCGTAAATCGCCTTCAGAGGCCGCTGAATACCATCGTAAATTGTTTCCATCAAACCGGGGCCTAGCTCGACCGAAAGGGGCTTTCCTGTCCGCAAGACCGGATCGCCGACCGTCAAACCAGCTAGAGGAAGATGCAGTTAGACACTGGGGCTGTCGATGGCGGGACTGGCGGTGGTGGTGTACCTGTCTCCTCGTAGACCTGAATAGTGGCCTTATCGGCATCGATCCGAATGACCTCACCGACGAGCTGATCATGACCGACACGGCACTACGAGCATTGCGATGTGTTAGCGATTCAACTTGATCGACTGCTGAGCTTGAAATCCCAACGAATAAAAAGAACCAAGGCATGGGGGCATACCAACTCGTACATGGCACAGCCGATCATATGCTCGGCCACGACGACGGGACCGGAGACGGAGAAGACGGAGCCATGCTGGGACTCGCCAGCATCAGCGGAGGGGGCCATGATGCGTGGAGTAGGGAGGTGGATAGCAGGAGTGGACAGGGCGGGGGAGGGGGAGGGATGGATGGGGGAAGGAGGAGAAGAAGAGGAGGAGGAGCTGTGGCTGCAGGATGATGAAGTGGGCGAGACGGGGAGCGGTGGCAGTTGCGGGCTGTCCAGGTAGTCTAGTCCAGATAGTTCAGGCGGTGATGACGACCTCGAACCAACTCCCTCGTCGTGACGCGCGATCAGTTCCAGCAGCGAAGGGCGGGCTTTAAGTCGTCGCACGCCGAGTCCTAGCATTCCATCCGGGGGATCATAGTAAGAAGTATCCATTTATCTAGAGGATTGACCATCTGGGGCATCAATAGATCGTGGCCCCTGATGAGCTATTGGCTGTGTGGCCCTTGCGGTGTTGCGTGTTGACTCAGCCGGCTTATCGAAAGGTGCCGCCTAACTACCTACACTACTCCCTCCACAATGAACTAAATCAAAGTCCCCGAACGTTGAGTCGGAATGGGCTGGTAACAGCTCTTGGAGATGCTGCACTGCCTCAAGGCCTTGGTTCACTGCAAAACTTGACCCTCCAATGATAACGGTTGCCATGACGGGATCTTGAATCATCCCCTCACAGCGACCATGCCAATGAGTATCCATCAGTCACCTGTAGAATACAGGCATGGGGGCTTTCTTCCCAATTTCCAACCATGGTAGCATACATTGCAACGGATCTCAGAATCACCTAAAAATCGTCCCTTGATGTGATCGTTCATGTGCTTTGACGATATTCAGGACTTCCCCGCAGATCTCTTTGGCAGTCTAAATCATCTTCCATCATAGACCCACAAGTCTTTGTTGGGCTTTTCGAGCTCTTGATCTATGAACCTTTAGCAGTTAAACTACTATCTGGGACTGGTTCATCGCGATGAATGGAAGATTATGCCTTTTAGTCCTGATTTGTGATGCACCACTCACGCAATATATATAAATTGCTCGGCGGCACAGAATCAGATACCTCCCTCATGTTTTATGCTCTTCGAAAACCAGATCGAGATAGCACAATGTCGCCATCGAACCTTTGGGACCTCAAGTTTGTGTGGACTGATCTCCACCAGACTAAGGAACAGTTGCGACCAAAGATTTTCACCTATGACAGGCTTGCCGATGAGTGCATCGAACGACTGGATGTCCTTTCTCCTTTGAATACGGTAGGAAATGCTCAGAATAACGATGTGGGCCCGAAGGTGTCCCAAAGGGACATGTATACCTTGCTGAAGGATCGCGTAAGTAATGACTCGAAACTTCGTGAGCTCTGGACGCAGGTCAACACCGTGCCGGAATGGGTCGACTGGCAGCAGATCCAACGGGGACAAGATGTGTTCTTTCGCTATGGCCTTCCTATGTTGAATGCGGTAAGTCTATCATACAATAGGTCCCATCGTTGCGAAGCTGACGAGGACAGCTTAACTTTGCAAGTCTTCTCGGTGGCATGTTAGTTTCTTTTTACACCAATGTTTCTGATTCCAATTAATAACTCTTCCCAGGGGCTCTGCACGTGTGGCCGAAACCCTGACCCGAACTGGAGGTTTCTCTGCCGACGTTGTGCGGCGCAGATTGCTGGAGACCCTGCAGTACGTCCTCCAGGTGTCTGAATCTTTGGACGCAATAAAGCCAGGCGGTGTGGGTCATATCGCATCCATCCGTGTACGGCTGCTGCATGCGTCTGTTCGTTCGAGGATACTGAGTCTGGCAAAGAAAGAGCCAGGTTATTATGACGTCGATAAATACGGCATCCCCATCAACGATCTTGATTGCATTGCGACAATCAACACTTTCTCAACCCTGGTGGTCTGGATGGGTCTCCCTCGACAAGGTATCTGGCTCCGAAAGCAGGAAATCAACGATTATCTCGCACTTTAGAGATTGGTGGCCTACTACATGGGTACTCCAAACGCGCCATTCGCCAGCCAGCAGGCCGCGCGTGCCATGATGGAGTCACTGACCGTGTCTGAGATTGATCCTACTGATACTAGCAGGATATTAGCACGCAATATCATTTTGGGCTTAGAAAAGACCCCGCCCACATATGCGTCGAAAGAGTTTATGGAGGCGATGGCTAGACGACTCCACGGGAGTCAGCTCTCTGACAGTCTCGGTATCCCTCCAACCACCATATACTACCAAGCCCTGGTATTCGGGTATTGCTTCGTCGTCATGGGATTATCATATGTGGCCCGATTGTCTCCTAAAATAGACCAGGCCCTTATCGCAGTACGTCTATACACCATGCTGTCATTCTTAGGTGTAATGCACTGACCTATCCTATCCAGTTCCGTCGCAGAAAATATCACACCATTATAAACGACCGAGAGAAAGGTCTCGGCGGTGAAACGCTCTACGCGTTCAAGTATATTCCATTCTACACGAGGACCACAAAACTGGGAGAACGCCGGACATCGAATCCAGCGCCTCATGGCATTGAGACCGTGGCGCTGCTGGGTCTTATAGCCGCCTTCCTTACTGCCGTGATTATGCTCAGCGGAGGTATATATGCGTTACGCATATTGAGCATGCCTTTTTGACAGGTTATTCAAAACTCCGTATGCGATTTACCATTCTATCTTCCTTTCAGTGCACATTTCTGGCATTACAGCCATGTGATTCTCCCGTGTATATAGATACGATGTGTCCGCGTTCCACCTTCCCCACAATGACGTTATCGACATGGAACTGAAACAACATCATCTGCATCCCTCAGCTTCAGCCTCACTGACATGCAAATGGCACTTCTATCATCCATCACCCCACAGAAGCACAATCCATGAAGCTCTACGTCTACACTCTGCAGTTCCCACCACCGAAAATGAACACTAGTACAATTCAATTTGCACATCTACACATCCAGCACCACAAATATAAATCAATAAGCACAAAAGAATAGACTTTCATTCATACAACTTCCATCTCATACTCATTAACTTGATTATCCACCAAAATCTCCCTTCACACCCTATACTCATTCATTCAAATCACACCCTCATTCCCCAGATCTTAGATCTCAAATTTACTTCTACACAGCAACCAATTAGCTCAATCTATCCCAAACAAAACAACCAAGGGAAGAAAGGGACATACCCCACACTCCTTACAAGTGCACCCCTGGCCACAAGAGCAGGTACTCGGGCCACTGCAGCCACACGTATTTCCTGATCCGCAACCGCAGCCCATATTGACAGGATTAGATCGGATCAGATAGGATGAAGATGGTGTGATCGATGAGTGGAGAAATATATATCTGGTTTATGTCTTGTGAATGGACAATGAAGATGAGAACCTTGGGGGTGAGGTGAAGGGGGGGAAAGTTAGCTACTTATACCATGGTATGTAGGATGGGAAGGCTCTAATTGGGGAGGGAGATGGGTGGTGCATCATTATGAGGTCAGGTGGGAAGGGGTGGTATTGGTGGTATTGGTTATGTCATTGTGAGGGGGGGAGGGATGGGTGGGTTTATTGGTATTGGATGTGTACTATGTATGTGGGGAAGGTTACGGTGCATAGATACGGGTGTATGTAGGAGGTAGGTTGCATGTTTGTTTCTTTGTGTTTGAGGGTGGGTTTGGGGGTGGTTGAGATGTTGTTGGTGTTTGTTGGGGTGTCTGCCTCTTCTTCCACTTCTCCTTGTTGTTTAGGGATTGGTTTGATGATGGGTTGAGGTGTAATTACTGTATATCAATGGTCTGCTGTGGTCTAGTCCCTGAGGAAGGCCTAGGTTGATATCAGGCCCGGTTGTTACTCGTTCTAGATGGCCGTGGCCTGATTTAAGCATGTCTCTCGGATCTTGTTGCCGGTTACGTGGAGTCCAATAGACGGGCTCGTTCAATCTCGGCTCTCCGGGCAAAGAGTCTGATGAATCAGGAACATATCTGAGACTCCTGGGTAGGGTATCCGGATGATCCATAGCTATGTCAAGGCATCCTCATCGTTCAATCGGAACAATAACAGGCGCCCCTTGTGCACGGTACTGTATAGGTAACGACTATCTGCCCAATAGTCCATTGAAAAGTCATTCAGACCCTCCATCAGGGGCATATCTGCTGGTAGAGAGTAAATCGATCCCCTTCCAGGGACATGTGTCGTGGAAGTCTAGAGCCATGTTCGTAGAGGAAACCAAGAAAGATGACAGGATAAGCCCTGGCGCTGTGATTCTAGCCCACTGCTAGAATTGGCCCGGCAGTCATACTTTCCGAACGTAACTCTCGATTATTTATTGTCAATATGCATGGTGCAGAGTCGAAGTACATCTCTCGGTTAGCTGCAGGCATACGTCCACGCTCATAGAAATGAGATCGCGGTATGAGACTACAATCGCAGTCAGCAGCATATGTGTGTTGTGAGCAGGCGGACTCATCAAGGCCTATTGAGTTGTAGCTCTCCTTATTTGAGAGAGATTCGATACCAAAACCTTCGTGTTGATGTAATGTTTGATGAAGTCCAACACTTTCGGATTGATCGCCCGCTGTTCGCCGGAAGCAGCGGTGAAGAACGCCGGGCGTTTGGAGTAAACTTAGTATCGCATCGGGACCATCTCAGGAATCAGGTACTAGCAGCATCCGCCAATCCAATTGTTTCTCCGAGAACAAGAGGGGCTTCGTGCCCGAGCATGGCTAGCCAGAACACCAGAAGACAGTTTTAGATGCGCTCATGCAACTGCGGGGAACTGGACACCAGTAATCTGTTGCCGGATTTCCATCCTATGAGTTTCCGCCCTGAATGATGGTAGGCGAGTCGTAGCCTCTGAGCTGCAGTATTACAGCCACGGTTCAGATGTAAAACCATAGATCCCGGATCACTCATCGGGAAGCGAGAATGTGCAAGGGAATCACATCCGATCAAGTCTAGCAAGGTCTGGGGCCCCCACACCCACAGCAGCGCCTAATCGAGTCATCGACATGCCCACTTGGGTCCACGCCAGTGGTACCAGATGGCATGCCTCCACAGTGGGCTGTTGGGTACATGTACTAGTAGTAGGCTGTGGCGTTATTGGGCTGCATGGCAGGCCGTGCTGGTTGGAAGTCAGTGCTGAGATGGAGATGGTCGATGGAGGCCAAGCCCTGGTACGGAGCAGATAAGGATGCTTAAAGGAAGGAGTATAATGTATATGGTCCAGGGCCCGAAGCGCCCCTGGAACTGACATGGGAACAGCTCATTTGGTGTGCCCGAGCGGGAGGTGCAGGTGATAGGCGGCAGTGATGATCTGAGACCCAGTCGGCCAACCGTTTGGCCATGCCCCTTGAATCACCCAGGATGGTGTCATATCGGGATCTCCATGTCAGCTGCTCTTCCCTTCAGGTGATGCGCGTGTAAATCGAAGTACATTCAGATCAACTGGAGGGGTGGTGGTGGGAACACCCTCCGTTCTACGATGTACACCTGGAGACAGGAGCCCAGGGAAGGAAAGTCGTAGGGAGAAAAAGAAATGAAACAAGTAATTCGAAAACAGATATAATCAGCAAAGACAAAACCTCGAAGCGAACGGGGCAGGAATCGAAGGTGCCTTTCTGGCTGCTGGCGATAACCTTTTTCAGTATCGTCATACCGTATTGTATCATCGTCATCATTCATCGTCGGGGTCGGCAATCGCCTCGCCCTCTGGCTAGACGCGTACGAAGATCTCTTCCCCCAAGACTGTACGGAGGAATACTGCAAAGGATCCGAGTAGAACCAGCGATCTACCCTTAGGGTTTGGGCAGGCGCGGTGAAACCGTGCACTGGGGAACTGGATTTCACTGGGTGTTGGTGGTGGATTGTCGGGACTGCTGGGCCCCACGGACGCCGTCAATCAATCAGTCAGTCAGACCAGCCGCCGATGTGCTTCGACCTGCACTTCCGTTCCTCCAGCTTTCCTCCTGCGCTCTGCTATCTCTCCACTTCACTCACCTGCCATACTTCCTCGGTTGACCCGTTGCTGAAACTCCCTCGAACCGCTTCTTGATCCGAGTTCCCTCCCGAGACCGTGCGTGCCATCTGTCCTACTGCTGTGCTCCATCCCCAACACTCGGTTGTCTTTCCCCGGACTTGACCCTCCTAGTCCGATAAGACCTCCGCCCGGCGACGGTACGAATTCCCCCTCCAACCTTCCAACCATCCCACAGAGCACGGGCTGACTAGGAGCTGATATAATAGACTCGCCACCGATATTCGTCACCAGACAACACCGCATTGAACGGCCCTGGAGCTGTTCAACGAGCTCCAAAAGGAGGATCGAACCTCGGCGAGTATCAGTGAGCCGCCACTGATATAGGTCTGCTCTCCTGGTTCTTCTACAGAGCCAGGCGAAAGGGCAGATCTGAAAGTTTTCGATCTGGCAGACAATCCCCCCTCCTACACACCCTCCTCCGCCGCTCCCGACCACCCCGACCCTCCTATCCCCCTCGATCCTACACCGTCACACCGTCAAGCCACTTCCGCTACGGGCGGCCCCTCTTCGTCATCCCTCCAAAGATCGGCAGTCGGCAATCGTTACGGTACAGCAGGCGCTCTTGGAAACTCGTCTGCTCGTCGACGTCGTCGCAGTAGCACACCCGATACGCCCGGACGTACTACCGAGGGGTCTGGAGGTTTCGCGGAGGATCGTACGGCAAGCGAGGCCGGGTCTCAGGCATCCAGCAGGATTCAATCACGCGCCCCATCCGAGGGCTACGAACCATACCCCAAGCGCAGGCGCCTGGCAAATATGCGGCCAGATGGTATCTCCAATACGAACGGCTCCTCTCATGCGTTAAATGGCTCGGCGGCGTCTCCGTCCCAGAAGGCGGCTTTCTCCCACACCCTGAACGGTCAAGGCGCTTTTGCCGCATCCAACAGAGGCATACGTACAAACGGATCGCAAAAGGCGTCAGTCAGCCCTCCTTCATATTTTGGCCATGACCGAGAAGAAGTTACTCGGATCCTCATTCAAAGCCTATTTGAGCTTGGATATGATGGGGCGGCGACATTGTTGAGCAAGGAGAGTGGGTATCAGCTGGAGAGCCCAGCCGTTGCTACATTTCGGAATGCAGTGTTGGAGGGACGGTGGACGGAGGCGGAGCATATACTGGTGCAGTCATTCTATCCAGATGGGGTTGGTCGGGGAGGCAACAGCGCCGACCAAGCAACGAATAAGGAGAAACTGGTATTGGTGGATCATGCTCAGAAGAACGAAATGCTCTTCTATCTACGTCAGCAGAAATTCCTCGAGTTGTTGGAAGCTCGCGATTTGGCGGCGGCCTTGATCGTTCTGCGGCATGAATTAACGCCGCTGAATTATGACATAGGCCGGTTGCATGCTCTGTCCAGGTGAGTCTACCATAACATCCCCTGAGCAGCTTGAGATGTATCAAACTGACTGCTTCTAGTCTTCTCATGTGCCCACCAGAGCACCTCCATGACCAGGCCGGTTGGGATGGTCCCATCAGCTCCTCTCGTGAGCGTCTGCTATCAGAGCTATCGAGTGAGTCATGCCTGTGTCCGAAACTTTATTCTGCATATTCTTAACACAACAGCAGGATCAATATCACCCTCTGTGATGATCCCCGATAATCGCCTGGCGATTCTGCTAGATCACGTCAAGCACAATCAAATCAACCAATGCCTATATCATAATACTGCATCTCCTCCCTCATTATATTCAGACCACATGTGTGATCGCAAGGACTTCCCCCTGCGGACAAGCATCGAGCTAAGTCAACATTCCGACGAGGTTTGGTGGTGCCAATTTTCAAATGACGGGACGAAATTGGTCACGGCAAGCAAGGACCAGAGCGTGATCATCTACGACACCAGCACCTTTGCTGTACTGCAAAGGTTATTGGGCCATGACGACGGTGTTGCGCAGTGTTCGTGGAGCCCAGATGATTCGAAGATCATCACTTGTTCGCAAGACAAGACAGCCCGTGTTTGGAGTGTTGAGGTACGGTGTCCCTTTCTTCTAAATTGTCATTGTTTGTACTGACCCTGGGTAAAGACTGGTCGTTGCCTTCTGACCATCAATCAACACCGTCATCCTGTGACAGCTGCGGCGTGGGCTCCTGATGGAGAGTCCTTTGTGACGGGCGCTCTTGACGTAAACGCGCAGCTGTGTCACTGGGGCATGCGTGGACAGACTCTGTACGTGTGGCCTGACGGCTTCCGCGTGCAAGACTGTGCCATCACGCCCGACGGGCGGCGCCTCATCGCCGCGGATTTGGATCAGAAAGTCCACGTTTATAACTTTGCTACTCGCGAGGAAGAGTACTGCCTCGCCCTTAAAAGCAAACCAACCTCGGTCGCTGTCAGCAGGGATTCGCGCCATATGCTTATAAACTCTGCCGATGGTCAGATACAACTCGTTGACATCAACTCAACCGACGTAGTACGGCGTTTTTCAGGGCAAAAGCAGGGCCATTTTGTCATTCGCAGTGTCTTCGGTGGAGCCGCTGAGAACTTCATTGTCAGCGGAAGTGAAGGTGAGAGGTCACATTGCATCCACCGCCGTCTTTAGCTAACAGTCAACTAGATTCACGGGTTTACATCTTCCACAAAGAAGCTGGGACGCTTGTGGAAGCCTTGGAAGGGCATATACGAGGATGCGTCAATTCGATGTCCTGGAATCCTAGAGACCCCGGAATGTTTGCTTCCGCCGGGGATGACTGCTTAGTTAGGATGTGAGCTCCCCATTCACTTTCTCATTCACTCGGCCCTTGACTGACGTACCTTCAGTTGGACACGTGAACGCGATGTAAGACCTAGCGTAGCAGCGGGCAAGCACAGGGCCGTGCCGTCGGGTGGCTTCACTCGCACCAGCGCCCTACGGTCCACATCAAGTTTTAACTGAACCAACCCCTTTCATAGGAGCAGGCAGTCATACATCATTTCTTACAATTGGAGGCTCTCTGACCCCTCAAGCCAAAGTACCCTCCTCTCCTCCCCTCTCTTATCCTCCCCACCCCTTATCCAACTCTCCCGTTTCTTCTCTCCACCCTGCATATACGCATTTTCTGGCCCATCAGTGATCCATTAATACAGGTTTCCGGCGCCACTGTTTTGGTACAGATCAATATATGCTTTGTATTCGTTTTTCTCTGGGCATCATCATCATCATCATCATTATCATCATGCATTGCCGCGATAGGCCCTGCATAGGTATCGACCTATCCATCCATACCGTGTACCCCCGTTTGCTACATATAAAGACGACTCCATACTTATGTTCATGGTTTGTTATTGGGTGAAATCAGGAAGGGTTCAGGGTTAGGTCGGGCGGAGTGAGACTTGGCTTTTTGTGTCTTCAAAGTATAGTCTGTACCTTCTTTTCGTCTGAAATGTTGCTTCTGTCTCTCTCTGAGGTTGGACACTTGACTGGTAGAGCTTGCGTCGGGTAAATGAATGGATTAGTAGTTAATTATATGAATATGGGATCAACTAGTGAGGAACATGATAGCGCAGCTACACTTTATTGTGAGGAATTTCACTACGATGATGCCTCCCAAAAAGATAGTTTTCGAAACAACATAACACACGTGTCCTGACATAGATTGAAATTTTGGCTTGATCATGATATAACTCCAACTATAGCAATCCCGAAAAACATATCAAACGCCAGAGATATTCAGAGAAGATAGTGCAAAGATAGAATAGCAAACGATATCCTGAACGGCTCCGCCACTTGGTCGATGGTTACGCCGCAATATTTATTCGGACATCACTAAAACTGTGTTAGATGCTGTGTTTTGGACGGAATAAACAGGCAGTGAGTGAATATGTGGACTAACCAATTTGATTATTTTCCCATTTCCTCCACACAATTTAGGACCCAGCGCACCGGGGACGGTGTTCTGGCCTTCTCCATCTTTCTCGAATGCATGAAAAGGAAGTGAGCATGGTACTGCTGGTATGCTCGAAGTCTCATGCTAGGAGACGGTTGTGACTTTTCAAATGGTAGTAAATAAACCAGACATGAAAGATTGTTTACGACAGGAGATCGGCGACTGAGGAACTCGTTAGTTGAAACTTGGTTATCGGTATTGAGAAAGAACTTACCGTTCATGGGCATCTCGTCGATCTGAGTGGAATAGTACAGCTCAATATCACGGAGGATCCGCACATCGTCGCTGGTAACAAAGTTGATGGCAACACCCTTACGTCCGAAACGACCGCTACGGCCGATACGGTGGATGTAGTTTTCACGGTTGGTGGGCAGGTCGTAATTGATAACCAGGGACACTTGCTGCACGTCGATACCACGAGCCCAGACATCGGTGGAGATCAGGACGCGAGAGTTGCCCTGACGGAAGTCCTGCATAATACTGTCACGCTCCTTCTGGGGCATCTCACCGTGCATGCTGGACACGGTGAAGTTGGCTTCGCGCATCTTATCAGTGAGCCAGTCGACCTTGCGACGAGTGTTGCAGAAAATGACTGCCTGGGTGATAGTCAAGGTGTCGTAAAGATCGCACAGGGTATCAAACTTCCACTCTTCCTTCTCAACTGCGATGAAGTACTGCTTAATGCCTTCGAGGGTCAATTCGTCACGCTTGACTAGGACGCGCACGGGATCGGTCATGAACTTGGTGGTCATGTCCAGCACATCGTAGGGGAGTGTGGCGGAAACGACGACGACCTGGGTGGCAGGAGGAAGATAGCGGTAGACATCGTAGATCTGTTCGCGGAATCCACGGTTGAGAAGCTCGTCGGCTTCATCAAGAACCAGCATCTTGATATGACGAGTGCGCAAGTGGCGTCTGCGGATCATATCTGCGACTCTGCCCGGTGTACCCGAAACCACATGTTGACCGTAGTCAAGCTTCCTGATATCCTCTCCGATATTTGTACCTCCGATACAAGCGTGGCATTGGACGTTCATGTAATCACCGAGGGCCATAATGACGGACTGAATTTGGGTGGCAAGTTCGCGAGTGGGGGAAAGAACCAGTGCTACAATAGGTGAGCCTTGCCATAACTAGACAACGGGATCGGGAATCAAGTATACTACGTACCCTGAGACTCGCGAACAACAGTATCGATGACCTGGAGGATACTGATCGAGAACGTAGCGGTCTTACCGGTACCGGATTGCGCCTGGGCGATGGTATCGCGACCTTTGCAGATTTGGACAATGGCACGGGACTGAACTGCGGAGGGAGACTCGTAGCCATAGGCGTAGATACCACGGAGGAGACTCTCCTTCAGGTGCATGTCCTCGAAAGTAGGAGCAACCGTGACCTCCTTCGAGGTGTTGAACTCCATCCGGTCTGGGTTTGCGCGATCAGCACACGGGCGTGCGTTAATGAGGGAATTCTTGTCCTACCATCAGCGCGTCTGTCAATTCCGTCCGCCATGTTGAATACACCAGGTCTGTAAGCTGTGGAAATTGGGTGAAAGGGAATAGCCTCAAGTCGGTGGAGGGGAGCTGGCCTGGTGGAGCAGAAGAATCGCCCAGCTTCTCCGGCGCGACTTTTCGCTGCGACCGAGGCTTCACCGCCCGCCGCACGTGATGATATCTCGCCGCAAAGCTCTCATGGATGGCGTCGACTTGCCCGTCAACTTCCCCGTCCTCAGAAAGCGCTATTCTCGGCAGAAGACCGGTGGAGACTTTTAAAAGTACTCACAATGATTTTTGAGGAGCAACGGTTCATCCACGAGGACCTTGAGCGGCTGGAGCAGGCGATTGCCGACCGCGTTGCTGAAGAGCCCCGTACGGTAAGTGGCCTCCCAGTTTCTCGCTCGTCGCTTCTCGCTAACTCGCGGTCCTAACGTGTAGATTAGAGATCGCCTGGCTCGCGATCATGAGGTCGCTCATTTTCTGAATCGCATCGAAGATCAGTCCAAGAGGTTGCTCGATATCTACCAAGATGCCGACGGCGTGCGTGAGAAGGAACTCCAGGCCGTCTCGACCGGTGATCAGTTCGAGGAGTTCTACAGACAGCTGGATGAAATAAAGGATTTCCACAAGCGCTACCCTAACGAGCCAGTGGAGAACCTCGAGCGCGCCTATAAGCGCCGTCAACCTGGGGAGGGTGAGCCGACCGGAATGGAGATTGACAACTTGTTCACGGGTGAAGAGGGTTATGGACAGTACTTGGACCTTACGACATTGCACGAAGACTACCTGAATTTGCCTGGGATCAAGCGACTCACCTACGTGCAATACCTGGACGTGTTCGATGTGTTCACCCCCCCGCAACTTCCTATTAAGCGAAACAACAAGCTCTCCGACCGGTATTTCAAGTACGTCGGCGAACTCGCCAACTATCTCGAAAGCTTTATCAAGAAGACGAAGCCGCTACAAGATCTGGACAAGCTTTTTGCCAGCCTCGATGAGGAATTTGAGAAGCAGTGGGCAGCTAACGAAGTCCCCGGTTGGACCGAGGAGGTTGCTGAGATTGGCACTCAAGTTCCCAAGACCGAGGGTTCCGGAGAAGGCATCTGGTGTGCGGACTGCGAGAGGGAGTTCAAGAATGAGAACGTCTACAAGAACCACTTGACTGGTAAGAAACACATCCGGGCCGCCGAGGCCCGCAAGGCTTCTGGGGATTCCGGTGTCAGACCAGCACCATCTGCAGGCAGCGGCACATCATCTGTCGCCCACCGTCTCAAGGAGCGTGCGGTGGCAGAGAGAGAACACCGCGCGCGTTCCTTGACGCAAGTGCTTCAGCCCGAACGCCAAGCAACCAAGATCAACGTGGAGCGCAGACAGGGTATGACTGAACGGGAACGCCAGATGGAACTCGAGGCCTTGCTTAACGACGCTGAGAACCCTGGAGGTGATCGCGCTGGCGATCAGTCAGATGAAGATGACGAAGATCGGATCTACAACCCCCTTAAACTGCCACTTGCTTGGGATGGCAAGCCGATCCCGTACTGGCTGTACAAACTGCATGGCCTGGGAGTGGAGTATCCTTGTGAGATCTGCGGTAACTTTGTGTATATGGGTCGTCGTGCCTTTGACAAGCATTTCTCCGAAGCTCTGCATATCTTCGGTTTGAAGTGTCTGGGAATTACGTCTAATACCAACCTCTTCCGTGAGATCACTAGCATCGAGGACGCAATCCGACTCTGGACCAAGCTAGAGCAGGACCGCAAGAAGGACAGAGACGGCCGCGACAACGTGGTGCAGATGGAAGACGCAGAGGGCAATGTGATGCCAGAGAGGATCTACCTCGAGTATGTCCCCCACCCAACAACCCCTAGGTTTTCTACAAGATGTGCTAACGAATACCAGTCTCCAGAAACAGGGTATCCTGTAACGGCAACTTCAGTTTCTTCTCTCTTTCTGTCATTTGCATCATCTTTCTACATTACTCATATTCAAAAGCCTGGAGTTTGGTGGGTGTCTTTTCTCAATTTCCATAATGTTGCGTGAATCCCTGGGATATCGTTGGTTGGGCACGACTGTATAAGAGCAGGTCAGACTCTGAGAAGATGCAGCCTGCGTTTCATGTATTCTACTACACCCGACTACTGCCATCTCTCGAAGCAATAGAAGAAGAAAAGGTGACCGCAAGTCACCTGGTCACGACTATCCGCTCAATGCCATATAACTAAGCAGCACACAAATAGGTGACGAACATCAACGGACGCAAGAAACACATCTATATCTATCAAATTATATCTATTCAAAAATTTGATATCTCGGCGCAGTCGAATGCCAATAACAACTACCCCCCACATACAACTCAATAGCCTCAAAATACTGCAAAATGTCCTGCGAAGTTGGGCTCTTCAGCCTCTCCTCCTTGAGCTTCGCCGCTCTGGACTCCTCATCCACGATAATCCCCAGAAGCATCATCTTTGCGGCCTCAGCCGTAACACGATGCTCCTTCATCAGAACCATCACGGCGTTTCTCATCCGATCGGTTTCTTGATCCTTCTCGATATGCCAACTGAAGTAATCATTCGTTAGACCGAGGACATTTCCCATCGCGATGTCGTATTGCTCGATACTGGCGTAGTCTGAGTCGCTAAGGTCCATGTTCATGCCCCACCGGATGAAGTAGGAGGACATCCTGTGTGGTGGGTATTCATTATTAGGTTCTTTTCTGGGAGGGGTATAAGATGGGGATGGCATGGGGGTGGGAACAGACCAGTATCCGCAGTTCGCGATCCGATGGGGCATGTATTCTTCCAGTCGAGTGAAGTTACCCGCGACGTTGTCGAATGTAGCGAGGTAGGTTTTTAGCATTTCGATCATGGCGGGAGCCTTGGCAGGGTCTATGTCGATGGTTTTTCGGAGCACCTCGGCTAGGGCTTTCAGGCGTGGGTTGTTGTTCGAGTCGATGCTCGATGGGTCGATGTCGAGGCGTAGAATCGCAGCTAGTTCGGCGTGTGCTTTGCAGGCCTGGATACGATTAGTGTGGTCGTCTCTTCTCTGCTAGAGTTGGTACCTCGGTGTGATCCATTTCTTCTGTTACGTCTATGGAGAGTTTTACGGTTATATGTGCATCTCTCTCTTTAAAAATAGGGTCGTGGACCTACCATCGTGAATCCACATCACCTCGACCAAGCTAGATAACAGAACCAGCCGGTCCGGAAAGGCAGTGCAATGACACACAGCAAACGGGTCTCCGTAAGGGTTGGTGTGTCTGATCCGTGCTCGTCGCCTTTCCCGGGAGCCCTCCGTGGAAGCCAGCTCTCCGATGGCATGCATTGCGGCTTCGACGTCTACCGCTGCAACGCTGATCCCAGCAGGGTAGCGCGAAAAGAAAACAGGTACATCGTGACTTGCCACCGTGGTGAAGACGGAAGGAAGGTAGGAATTGGGGGTGATAGTGGAAGGACGGGAAGTGACTTGCATTTTGGTTCCAAAGCTGTTGATCACTGGGGGGATGAGGGGTCACTTCTACAAGGGCAACAGGGGCCATCTTATCTTGGGTTGGAATGACGATAGAATACATTCTGAGCGCAAAGGCTCCGATCAGATAGCCCTATTTGTGCAGATACATTGGCACGTACCGGAGGTGGTCCGTCGTATAGAGTAGAACCTACCTATGGCGTGGGGATGCCGGACACTGTCATGGTTGGGCGGCCATTGGCAACGGCTGCTGAAGAGGACAGATATGCAAGGCTATCCTAATATCACACCGCTTCGTAGTCGTCTGACAAGGGACAGCAGCATGACAGGAGGCTTCTGCTGCAAGAGGACGACTTCCTAGCGTCGACATGCCGCATCTGGTATCCACTCATGGGATGGATTTGGCATCATGCGTAGCACTAGATGCACTGCTCAGTGTTGGGGTCAATGCTGTTCGCACCCTCACTCACTGCCATGGATTCTGTTTGTTGAGGAGGAATAGGTAAAAAGACAATGGATCTTCCCTTGGTGCTTTCTCACCGGTGTCTTCACCTCACCCCTCTGTCTATCGCATCGATTGCGCACTGGCAACCGTGATCATGTCTTGTTCATTCAGCAGTTACCTCGGCCAAGGGCAAAAGCTCGCTCTGCTGGCCATGGTGGTCTCCGCAGTGTTGATGGGGCGCTTCGTGATGCGATTGTCTCGGGCGCGAATGACATTTAGGAGACTACAGTCCCAACGCATCGTATGTTGCTGATCTCTCCCAAGCGAGTATCCCGCTGAACATTGCAGCCAATCATGCCCCATTCCCTGGTGTTCGGTCATCTCCTGATTGTCCTCCGATTCTACCGGGATTGGGCTTTCGACGCAAATTTTATCCAAACCTTCGGCTTCTACATGAGTAAACACTGGATCAAATTCTTCCCCGACGAGAAGCAATGCCCCCCCGTCATATACGTCGATGTATGGCCGATTTCCCGGCCCATGGCGTTTTCCATGAAGGCCTACGTATCAAATCAGATGGAGATTGGTAGCAGCCTGCCAAAGTCCCCCATGCAAGGAGAGTTCTTGGACCCCATTACAAGTGGGAAGGACCTCAACTGCATGCACGGTGAGGAGTGGCGCATGTGGCGCTCGAGATTCAACCCGGGCTTCAGTCGAGGCAACATCCGGACCTGGATCCCGGCTATCCTAGAGGAGGTGGAAGCTTTCGCTAATGAGCTGAAAAACCTGTCTGGTGGGACCGGTGAATGGGGTCAAGTATTCCCCATGGAGCAAATATCCAGCAATCTCGCTTTGGACGTCACGGGGAGGGTTGTTCTGTGAGTTTCGACCGATCTCACTCTGTTACCGATGAGACCGTTCGGCTGATAATGCCCAGTAACACTCGCTTGAACTCGCAATCGCCGTATCCCTCTCCCTTCACCGTCGCCTTTCGAGAGCAACTGACCCGCATGGAAATCACCCTCAGCCCCCGCAAGCTCCTGTGGAGGGCGACTCCATGGTTCAAGCTCCTGGTGCGCCGTAAGCGACAGCAGATCTTCCAATATATCCGGCCATATATCACAGACAGCATCGGTGTGGCGAGCCCCGGGCCACGCACTATAATTCGATCAGCAGTGGAAGAATACTCCCAGGAACTTGCAACCAAGGCAACCGGCGCCAATGTCCCCGACGACGAATTTGTTGAATATGTCTTCAGCCAGCTGATGATATTTTTCTTTGGTGGCGATGATGCGCTATCCCTTACGATCCCTCGTGTCTTCAGACAACTGCAGTTGAACCCGGAAAGTGTGGCCAAGTTGCAGGCCGAACACGACACAGTGTTGGGTTCCGACCCCAGCCTTGCTGCTGCCAGAATCCGGGAAGTGCCTCATATCCTGGATTCGCTACCGTATACCTTGGGTGTCATCAAAGAGACCCTGCGCATGAACCCCGCCACCATCACCATCCGGGAAGGCCAGCCTTCCTTTACCTTTCGTATCGACGGTGCGGACGAACCATGGCCGACGGACGGGTTTGATCTTTTCGACAGCTCTATCACCATTCACAATGACCCAGCAGTCTTTCCGGACCCTGAAAAATTCATTCCTGAACGGTTTCTGGTCCCAGAGGGTGATCGATTGCATCCAGCCAAGGACATATGGCGCGGGTTCCAACTTGGACCTCGGCGATGTATCGGCCAGGAACTGGCGATCGTGGTGCTAAAGCTCGTCCTAGTATTCACTGTCCGTACCTTGGATATTGAGATGGCTTGGGACGAATGGGATAGATTGCGAGAGCTGCAGGGGTTGAAAGTAGATCGGCGGATGGTTGAAGGCGATCGCATGTATACGACGGGTAAGGCAACGGCCCATGCCAAAGATGGTGCGCCGATGCACGTTAGGGTCCGGACTTCCTCCGATGAGTAGACATAGCACATTGGGCAGCCCTTGGTAGTCTTTCCGTTATATCGGTCAGGTCAACTAATGGCCTAGAAACGTTGATATGGATATAAGCAGGGCCCGTTCACAGCACCTCTTCCTAGGTGACCTAATAGTCAGGACCAAGTTGGGTTCAATTGATTGATTCCACGGTTGGTTAGCATCACGTGCTTTCGCGCTTCGCTCGCGTCGATCGAGGCCGATTTCCCCTGCGCCTGCCTTTTCCCCTCCAGTGGACATCAGACATTCTCAAGATATCCTCCGCAATAGCTTGTGCTTTGCGCATTTCCATGCGTCAGGCTGTCGGTACGCCGTCTCGGACCCTCGAAATTGAGCGGGATTTTTCAGGAATTGTGCCCTCCGTTACTACGTCTATATGGGGTTCAAATTTACTCACCTGTGCGATCTACTATCGACCCTCGAGAGTAACAGGATCGTGAAAGCTCCTCATGAGGCCAAAGCCACGGATCCCGATGTTCAGGCCGTGACCCGATGGTTCGCCCAGCATGATAAGCAAATCCGTGATAAGAATACCGACCAGTTGGCCCTCTTGTCTTGCATGTTCCCAGAGAAACGCATGGACCGTGTTTATTGGCTACAAGCGGCATCGTTGGAGAAAGTGATAGCACGCTGTCTGCTCCTGGGGAACTCCCGGCGCCAGGAGCTTGAGCGTTGCTGCGTCTCCGGCGGCATAGACCTGGGGCAGTCCGTGGAGAAGGTCATGCGACAGGCCGAGAATCATGTCATCAGTGGCCAAGAGGTCACGGTGGAAGAGATTGATTATGCCCTGGCGAAGATTGCTTCACGATGCAAGTTCTCCGGTCCTCAGGTGCGAAGACAGCGTACGGCTGTCAAGGTAGATGAGGAGCTGTCTCCACTATATCGACGACTGCGTAGCAGAGATGCCAAGTGGCTCACGCGAATGATACTCAAAAGTTACTTTCCTGTGGCTCTGCCCAAACAGGTCACGCTGAAGAGCTTTCATTTTCTGCTTCCGCATCTACTTATGTTCCAGGACTCCTTTGAGACTGCTTTAAGCACGCTAACCTCGGGCCCAATAAGCCATTTCCCTCCACACCCTGAACCGGATTTAGCCAAAGACCTGGGACTCATAGCCTTGCAGTACATCAGCCCTGATGTTGGAGTGAAGATAGGACGCCCGGACTACTATAAGGCTAGGAGCATCAAGCATTGCTGTCGCATGATTGGCAGCCGCCGTATGAGTATAGAGAGAAAATATGACGGTGAATACTGCCAGATACATATTGATCTTTCCAGGCGGTTAAATCCCATTCAGATCTTTTCCAAGAGTGGCAAAGACTCGACTAAGGATCGGGCCGGCATCCATCAAGTTGTCAGCGATTGTTTGAAGCTAGGAATGCCGGGTTGCAAAATCTCCCGCCGATGCATTCTCGAAGGTGAATTGCTCGTCTGGAGTGACAAGCACGCCAGGATTGAGGATTTCCACAAATTACGTAAATTTATCGCTCGATCTGGCACCTTCATTGGGATAGGAAATGATTCGCCGTGAGTGGCATGGAAATACAGCTTTAACGTTAGTCTCTGACTCTGGCCAGGCCGCAACCGTATGACCACTTGATGATAGTGTTCTTTGACATCCTGCTCATCGATGACAACGTCTGTCTGAAGCTTCCCCATCGAGAACGACGGCTGCTCCTTAAAGATACCATTCAACCCATCCCAGGACGCGCCGATATCTCTGAGCAGTGGGTTTTGGACTTCTCTCATTATGACGGTCAGTCGCGACTCGAAAGTATCTTTCAGAAAGGCATACATGAGCGATGGGAGGGGTTCGTGCTGAAAGGATGCGAGGACCCCTACTTTACAATCTTTCCCCGCGAAGTAAACGGTTCCTCCGGCCACTGGATCAAGTTAAAGAAGGACTATATACCGGGACTAGGCGATACCGTGGATCTTGCAATTGTGGGTGCAAGGTTCAATTCTCGCGATGCCATGGCCCTCCACCAAATCAAGAAATTGTTATGGACGGAGTTCTTCATTGGATGCCTCGTCAACAAAGCAGCCGTTGTACAGTTCGGTGTCACACCGAAGTTTCGGGTGGTGGATTCCATCAACTACAACTGCATGAATACGAAGCATATGCAGATACTTAATCGGTTTGGAGAGTTTTCCGCCTGCAACACAGACTCGGGACATGGGTTCTTGCTTGAGTACGGGGAGAGTATCAGCGCAAGCCTGGACGTCGTCTTCAAGACCCCCTTTGTCGTTGAGATGTTAGGCAGCGGCTTCGAGAAGCCGTCAGGGGCCAGATATTATGTACTTCGCTTTCCGAGGATTACGAAGATCCATTCCGATCGATCGTTTGAGGATGCAGCATCATTCTCGGAGTTGCAGGTACTGGCGGAAAATGCCCGATCTGTTTCCAACGACGAGTTGGATGGACTAGAGCACGATTCCGCCAAACGCCTAAAGCTGGGAGATCCCGCATTGGACTACGGTGCGGATCAATCACAGAGTCTTAAAAATACAGAAAGCTCTCTTGTCGACTCTAGGTCTATCGGGGCTAGCGAAAGTCTGGGTAGGGAGGGATCTGCGCCTCCTTCAAACAGTGTGTCTGCTTCTCAAGACACTCCACGTGATTCTATGAGATTAACAAAACGTCGTCACGAAACCAGCGCCATGCAACGTACCATTCCCATACATGAGGACAAGGACAAGGACTCCTCACCACCATTGAAACACAATGTTCATGGCCATTACTTGACGGACAATGAGAATCTCTCTTCCCATACAGCAGGGCAAAGGAAAGACTCGGCCCCAACAGACGAATCGTCTCACAAAGAGAAATCTTCTCGAAGAAGTGGAGAGTCTAAAGTCATAAATGACCCAGATGATCTAGACAAAGGCTCTATATCACTACCTCACCCTTCACAAACCGACGCCTCCCAACCAGACTTCAATCATGGTCCTCCTGAGAACGAAGTCGTCACGGCTAAGCGCTCCCAGAAACCAAAACCACGCATCCAGTCACCACTGAAGCACATTCCTATATACCTCCACCACTCACCCCCAGAAGAAGGCCCTACCACTTTTCCCATCCCAGACACATGGCAAACATCATCCACTCTCGACACCTTTCTCCAAACACTGCTATCCCCAGCTTCGTCATCCCTTCTCAAGAAATCCAACCCCCACGCCTCCTCCCAAAACACAGTCTACGGACTAATCATCCTCCCCGGCAAGCAAAACGCCCTAGGCACAATCCTCCCCAACCTACGACGAACACTCTCCAAAACCCTACAACCCTATAAGCCGGGCCACCCTCAAACCGGCAAAATCTTCATCCTCGACTCAAACTTCCTCAACCTCACCACCACAACCCACGACACGCGGGTTTGCCTCCGCCAGACCTGGGAAAACATCAGCAGAGAGTCCTTCTACGCTTGTGTGAAGTGGAGCTTCCGGGAATCTTCGAGGCGCGCAGGAGAAGCTCCTGACGTATCAAAGGAAGCTCAGCTCCGAAGGCTCAGGATGAAAGTGAGCTTTGATAGACGGGAGCTGGGGAGCTTGGGGGAGTTTAGCTCCCTGGAGCCTTTGGTTCATATTGAGATGGGGTTATCTATTTCTTGAGTTTTACACTAGTCTCCTGTCTTGGAGACTAGATTGCATATACAGTTTAGTTGTTGTTGTGCAGAGTGTATATACGAAGTAATTGAAGTTCCTAACTTCAAGTCCGGATTATATCCCATGGTTCTGGATTGTCGAATTAGAGATGGCAGGGGTATCTATCATTAATATCTCATCCGACTCGACTAGTATGCATAATTGGTACCACAGCACAAGCACATGAACTTGAGACCTAGTTATGACCTCATTCCATCATGACTCCCCAGAAACGCCTCGCTAGCCCTGAGGAAATGCAGGAAGATAAGAGATAGTGTACAAAATCCCAGATATAGTTAACTAGTTAACTATGATGCTGATGCTTATTCATCTCCTTCCCTGCGTGCACGGACATCCCTCATCAAAGCCTTGGCCTCTTCGACTTCCACCCCATCTTGGCATAACTCGCCTGCTAATTGGTCGGCGCGTTCCAGGTCTCCGTTGCGCAGAGACCACCGTGCAAGCCATAGCCTTGCCTTGGAGGTGGTGGCTGTCACGCCTGTGCCGTGCCAGGTGTCTTCGTCGTCATCTTGTTGGGTGGATGACTTGCGGGCTCGTCTGGAACTTCCTTGGGCTTCTGTTCCGGATTGGTCGTCGTCGTTGTCGTTGTCGGATGATGCGTCTTCTTCTTCTTCTTGTATGACTTGGCCTGATTCTTGTTGGAGGGTGAGTTCCATGTATGTGGCTGCTTCTTCTTCGTCACCTAGGCGTTCGTAGAGGGTGGCGATCTGGTGGAGGGTTTCAGGGTCGAGGATCTTGCGTTCCGGGCCGCCCATTCCTACTTGGGAGGCGTCTTCCGCGTAGTAGGAGCCCGCAACGAGGGCTCGTTTGAGAGCCTTGATGCTTTGTTCGATGCGGCCCATCTTGGCATAGCAGGATCCGACGGCTTGCCACATCTTCGGGTCGTATGGACGTAGAGCTGCGGCTCGTTGGTAGTAAAATAATGCGTAGAAGGACATATCCAGTACTTCGTAGGCTTGCCCTAGACCGTACCAGGCGCGGTAGTCTTTGCGGTTGACATCGACGGCGCGGCGATATGACTCGATTGCTGCGTGTGTATTTTTCATCTCAATGTACTCGTGGCCCATGAGGGTCCAGGCTGAGAGGAAGTTGCGATCCAATGTCAGGGCTCGTCGGAAATACATGACTGCCTTTTCATGTTCGGATTTGAGAGAGTAGTAGTTTCCTACGACACAGCATGTTTCTGGGCGGAACTTGTCGGTAGCGGTTGCGATTTGCGCGACGAATGCAAGCTGCGGGCGAGCGCCCATCACGTATAGAATATTAGAGTAATGGTCGAGACTGTCGAGACGGTGAGGAGAGGTAACGAGGATGTCTGTGAATATGCGGGACGCTTCTTCAAAGTCTATGTTCATTGTTAGCACAGCGTAAGGGCATGTTTCATAGGTTACATACCTTTCGAGTGATAGTACAGTAGAGCTCTTTGAGTCTTGAGGAAAGCGCTTGCAGGGAAGATCGTCTCCAGCTCAGACAGCGATTGGTAGGTATCATCGGTGGCCTGATACAGCTCCTGGCTGCAGTATACGCGGAAAATGAGGGTCATTATATTCAGCGGAAGGAGATTGACCACTTGGTTCAACTGCGACAATGATTAGCAAGTCGCGACACCGACGTAATTTGGATCGACATACGTCTTCTGTGCTCGCAAGCAAGTCATTCAGCTCCTGCCACGCGCCCCAGTGGAATGGGTTTAGATGCAAACTCCGTATAAGCCACGTCTTGGCATCATCCTCGTTTCGCCCTTTAAGGAGTATAACACCATAGAGATATTCCAACCAACCCTGGCTCCGATCTTCCATTCCCTTTTCCTGCCGCTCATTGAACCATCCTTCTAGGCCTTGCGCAAGGTCCGGTAATTCTTTGTTGACCGTCGAGCCTCCGTCTGCGGGGCCCAACACCATTTCAGTCTCCTCATCCTTCCGCTTCTCGCCTGCCAGATACTTGGCGTACAACGCGAGGAACAGCGATTTCTGACTGAGCCTGGGATACGGATTCCTCGTCACACTATTGTCCTTGACACCTGCATACGCCGAAGCTTTGGATTTTCCCTTCTGTGGGGTCAAGGACTGTCTGGATTTCGGTTTCGGCGGCGACGAAGTAAGAGGAACGGGGGAGATGGTCGGGGGGAGGAAAACAGCCGCGCAACGATCATATTCGCGGGTATCGAAGTAGGATTTCGCGAGGAGGTACTTGTACGACTCTTGCGCTTCGAGAGCGGCTTCGAGTGGATCTTGCGTTCGGAGATAAGGGTTCTGAGTACTCGACGGAGCATCGGGAAGGTCCATGGGAGAATCCGGATCGGTATCATATTGCTCAACTGGAACGATAGAATCCAGCATTTCCGCTGCCCTAGCGCGCAAGGTTAGTCACCGTCCGGGGTGTTGAGCCAGAGCAATGCCTGCAACTATACCATTTGGCTGACTGGTATAAACAGCGTTCGGAGCATTTCATCGCCGCATCTTCCAGCCGGAACCTGAGCTCCTTGATGTTCTCTTCCGTGAATTGGGCAGCCATGGTGGAGAAGCGAGTCGCAGCCGCCTATGCGCAGGCGTAAAGCAAATATATCGTAGAGCAGCTCTATGACTTGACGGTAGCTAGTGACGCGCCAAAACCATTGCTACTTCCCGGGGACTAAGCACAACAAACACAGCGGAAAGGCCTCACACAGATGGATTTCGGTGGGGTTGAGATTTGAGCAAACCGCGTAAGCAGCGCCGTATTCCAGCGACAGCGAAGCAAACCGACGACCGACCGACGTATAGGAAGCTGCGGACGCGACGAAGGGCAATGGATCCATGATGGATTCTGGGGAATCGAGAATGGGGACTTGCCTCTTTGGGCCGCGGCGGGCAAACAGAACAAACAGCGGGGTCTTTGCGGTATTACCCCTTTGGGGGCCGCCGAAAATGAAGGTATTTGAACTATTGGGATCCCTGCTCGCCGGCCATTGTTCTTCTTCACGCCCCTCCCTCATCCCTCTGTCCTTTGATTTCTCCCCCGCCAACTCTCCCAGCCTACGTGCTTTCCTCCAGGATGTCCACCACCACTGCCCGCGCCGACTTCGAGGCCATCTTCCCCTCTCTGCGCGAAGACCTCCTGGACTATGCGAAGCAGTACAAGTTGCCCCAGAACGCCGTCGAGTGGTTCGAGAAGGTAGGTGCCATTCCCTCCCCCCCCCCCCCCCCTCGACTTACTCCCACTCAGAAGGCTTACTGTTCACTTTTCGTGCCCCTCAACAGGCCCTCAATGTCAACGTTCCCGGCGGAAAGCTCAACCGTGGTCTCTCCGTCCCCGACACCGGCCTCGCTCTCCTGAAGCAACCCCTGACCGACGAGCAGTTCAAGCACCTCAGTCTGCTGGGTTGGCTCACCGAACTGCTCCAGGCTTTCTTCCTGGTCAGCGATGACATTATGGACGGCTCCATCACCCGCCGCGGCCAGCCCTGCTGGTACAGGCACGCCGGTGTCGGCCTGGTCGCCATCAACGACGCCTTCCTGCTCGAGTCCGGTATCTACATCATCCTGAAGAAGTACTTCCGGTCCCACCCCGCCTACATCGATCTCGTCGAGCTCTTCCACGAGACTACCTTCCAGACCGAGCTGGGTCAGCTCTGTGACCTGATCACCGCCCCCGAGGACAACGTCAACCTCGACAACTTCTCCATGGAGAAGTACATGTTCATCGTCACCTACAAGACGGCCTACTACAGCTTCTACCTCCCCGTCGCCATGGCCCTGCACTACCTCCAGCTCGCGACCCCCGAGAACCTCCGTCAGGCTCACGACATCCTCATCCCCCTGGGTCAGTACTTCCAGGTCCAGGATGACTACCTCGATGCCTACGGTGACCCGGCCGTCATTGGCAAGATCGGTACCGATATCCAGGACAACAAGTGCTCGTGGTTGGTCAACCAGGCTCTTCATCGTTGCAACGCCGAGCAGCGCAAGGTGCTTGATACTGCCTACGGTCGTAAGGACAGCCAGCTCGAGGCCCAGGTCAAGGCCATCTACAGGGAGTTGGATCTGGAGAAGGTCTACAAGGAGTACGAGGAGGGCATCGTTGGCGAGCTGCGCACCAAGATCAGCAGCATCGACGAGTCGGAGGGACTGAAGAAGGAGGTCTTCGAGGCCTTCCTGGCCAAGATCTACAAGCGCACCAAATAGACATTCAGCCATCTTTTGGAGGAACGATACCCCTGCCATTCTACGCGTCATCATGTCTCTACATAATACATAGCCTACATACCCCATCCAGATAGATTAGCTGAATGACTGAGACGAAGTGCATTGCACGGCTGTATTTAATCAAAACCCCTGGTACCCCTGTGGATTTAGCGTCCCGGGTGGCTCTACTCCGTTGGCCACTAGCATCTGCCACACTCACAACATCCGCCCAAACCCCTCAGCTTGGACTTCCCACTGAGCCGGGAACCCCGGCGCAAAACCTTGCTGACTGGTGTTACTTGCGGCGTCCCAACCGCCAGTCATCATTGCAACAGCAAGCAACAGGGCCGCGCTGCCTGGAAAATAGGGTGTGGGCGCCTTGGTTCCAACGGGCATGCCGACATCGTCAAAGTCAAAATTTGAATGCACTAAATATTCCACCGCCGCCTCCACGTCTCCCAGCCTTGCCGCGTTCATTGCCAGCATGGGGAAGTCCCAGCCCCAGCAATCCGTGAAGTTCCAGACATTGGCGACTTCAGCCGCTGTCGCAGTGACGATTGTCTTGTTCACGACTGCCGAGGGCGGCAAGAGTCCGTAGATTCCAGTGAGTGCTGGATGGTCAGTCACGGTGTCTGAGTCTGTCCACATATTCGGGATGCCTTCATAGAGGGTGTATGTGAGGACCTCATCACCCGAGCTATTCGTCGTCTCTACTGTAGGTAGCGACGCGAGGTTGTCTTTAACATGGCTCCATGATGAGGGGGCTTCTTGGCCAAGCCGGGCTTTCCATGATATGGCAACATCGAGACCAAAGTGCCAATATGCGAGCTCGAACGTGGGGTTGCGGGTACTGTTTGGCGGGGTATTCTCCGAGACGGGGTACATGGGAGGCCCGAGGTCATAAACATTCGTGGAGGCGTTCCAAAAAGCAAAGGATGCCATAAACTCCGCTGACTCGGTCAATATGTGATCCCATTTCGCTAGAACATCGTTTGTGTTTCCCCCGGCGGAGCGTATAGACTGGTACTCGCTCTCTGCGAAGTAAAACACATGGGGTTGTTGCCATATAAGCAGCGCGTTGATCTCCCCTGGAGCAGATCTCCCGCTTGGATCGCTCATCTTCCCCCATCTCAAGCCTTTATACCCCTGATTTGCTGCCCGTTCCAGCGATGACGGAAGGAACCGATCATAGACACCGATACTCCGCTCCAGTAAAGGGAGTTTGCCCCATGGGGTCCAGTGAGCCGAGTGCCATAGGTACATCTCCATATGGAACTTGCCATACCATCCATTATTCACCAGGCCTGATTCCTGTGGCGGATCATACCCGGCTTCATTGACCGCCAGTAGGTATTGGGACAGAATTGCACGTCTTTGAATCTCTACTGCTGTAGCATTCCCAGTTGCCGTCAAATCCACAAAGGCTCCGGTTTCCCAGTAGGTCGACCACCATTGCCGAGATCGTGCGATGATTGCATCAACAGATAGTGATGATGGATTGAAGGTCCCATGTTGTGAGAAGTTGGCTGTGAATTCAAAAACTGCCGTGCGGTTACCATTTGGCTGGAGTACATACCGATGGGAATGGTCAACCCTGGAGATAGACGCACCACTACCACTCCACTGTAATGTGGTGTAGTAGGTAGTATTGTCAAGCGTGTGTTGTATCTGAGCGCGACTGTCATCTTTTCTAAAGCGCAGGATGGTGGTGTGATTCGAGACAGCGTCCCAATCACCAACAAAGGGGGCCTCGAACTTGTTCTGGTCCGTAGCATACGGGTAATCGAAAAAGATTGCCAGACGGTCCAAGGCCAACAGCTCGGATTCCAAGCGCACCGCTATCGTGTCCGATAATGGATCAACGCATGTCCATACGGTGGTTGCATGCCCATCTAGGGTAAAATTGGACTGCAGAAATCCCTGGTAAATATCTAGTACTTGTGACCTCTCCTGCAGGTCATCTTCGGTATAGTTCGCGTAACTTCCTCCAAATATGAATCCGATGCGGCCTAAGTTGATACGGTGTGGATTGGCAATCAACCACTGAGAGATGGCCGCCTCTGCAGGATTGGGCATGTCATAATTCACTAGCCGACCATGAGTCCACCAGTCTAAACCTGTGAAATCCGACGGCGTGGAATTTGCAGGTAGCGACGAATTATGCCAACCCCAGGACGAAAGGATGCCATACGGCAAAAAGGTCTGCAGACCGGTCACATCAGCCCCGAATGCGAAGTTCCCATTTCCCACCTGCATCGGGGTGCTTGTCGAGCTGGCATTGCGGAAAGGGTTGAATCTGGAAACCACTTGGGACCGATCAATGATGGGGGCTGGTGGGGACTTCGGAGATAGCCTAGCCTCGCCGGTGCTTGATAATAGATAGGGACCCAGTGCAAAACTTGTCAAAGCTGATAAAGGTCGCATGATGATGATGCAGTGTTAGTCGGTCACTTTCCATCCACAGTTCCGACGAGTCCGCGTCCATCCTGAAAAGCGTCTTATAAACCTCGCTGAACCCCTCCAAACTGTTCACGCGATGGTTAGAAGGGAGTTACAGCGTTTGCACAGTGCAGGTGAGATTCCACGAATCAACCTGGGCAGCATCTCATCGACACCCGGCAAGGAGATGCCGGCATCGATCTCCGCACGGAGTCTCGGGCCAAACACTGCCGAAGGAATCGGGTCTGCAGCTCGGTCATTATTCTCGGAGCCAGGTCGTTAAATAATGAAGCGGGGAGAAGAGAGGAATGATCGGCGATCACTTGATGTTGATGGTAGATTGAACGACGGAGAGACTCCAAAGAGGAAAGAACCCCTCCTCCGTCCACGTGGGCACCAGCTGATGTCCTCGATATTTCGTCCTCGAGCGGCTTTATCCTCTTTTCCTTTCTCCCTTCCTGCCCTCCTGTGCATTCCAGCAATATTGACCCCGGCTTATCCTCGGAAACAGTCCGTACCGGCGTACAATATTGTCCAACACACTGGAACACGCCCATCCAGGGGTAGGGCTACCCCTCAACCGGACTGCAATCTAATTCAATCTATTTGGGAGCCCGAGGCGCCAAGTGGAGTTGGACTTGTCCAGCGGCCACCATTGGCATTGGCCAACCGGCTAGGTCGGCTTAAGTGGGACACTGCCCTTCGTTGAGAAATTCCCAGCTAAAAAGGCTTAACTAGAATCCCATAGCATGATTCCGAGAGCACGAATCATGCCAGAGCCATCTCACTCCCTTTCACCTCCAACCCATCCTCGATCCATCGGACTTCCGTGTCCTAGTGACAGACACGATGTGATAAGGACCAACTACCGGCCATACAGGGCAGGCCTGCCAAAACGAATAGCCGGCAGACCTGCTTTGTCTTCTCTGCTTTACCGGCCCCTATCAGCGCGTGTCCAAACTTGGCAAATATACCCGGCGGTCTCAATCATCCCCAAAGCCAACCATCGAATCGCTGCCTCGATCACTTCGATCGGGCTCAACGCAATAGTCAGTAGCCATGCACAGTAGTACTCAAGTATGCCACTTTATTTTATCGAGACGCTTAGCCTGCCGGCATTCCGATGGTCCAATATTAGATACTGGAGGCCGTAAAGCCACCGCAGATGCCACGGTGGATCTCCCGCGCACTTGTCATCGTTCGAAAATCGTGCCGGCTACCTTCTTTCCATCGCCATGCTTTTCTTCCTCTGATCCTCCTGTCCTGTTCTCTCGGGTGTGGCGCTGGATTTCCCTCCTTGCTCGCCCCTGTCAGCAATTCAGCCCATGTCTCCTGAGCACTTGACGTCTCTGTCCCTGCGCCATGATTCGGGTCACTCGAACCTTCGCGCTAGCGGCGTTCTTACTCCTAACCTCTGCCTTGGCAGATGAAGGGCCGTATTATGCCTCCGATTTGTATGAGAAGGGTCGGATGGGACAATGGCCCATTGAGACCTACCGTTCGACTTCCACTGTAGGTGCAGCCGTCAATTTCATGGAATATAACCCCCAATGCAGAGACGACCAATATTATTTCATCTCTCCCCGCGGGTATAGCGTCCATAAGCCCGGGCCGATGATCCTAGACCAGGACGGCCATTTGGTCTGGACAAAACCCCTCGGGCATACCTACAATCTTAATGTCTATCAATACAAGGGCCAGGATTACCTGACGTTCTGGCTGGGCGACGATAGCAAGGTGGGACACGGGGAGGGGACATATTACATGGTACGTTATCCTCTATCACTCCTACCGGCATCGAGTGGCCTAGCTAAACTCTCCGGTAAAGCTGGACTCGTCCTATAAAGAGGTTTATACCCTCGGTGGCGCAAATGGCCTGGCAGCTGATCTCCACGAGTTCCATATCACCCTCGATGAGACTGCAGTGTACACAATCTATGACGTTCGCCCTGCCGATATTCGCCTCGCAGGCGGTCCTGAGAATGGCTGGATTTGGGATGGCACATTCCAAGAAGTCGATATCGAGACGAATCAACTTCTCTTCGAGTGGCGAGCATCGGAGCACTTTAGCTTCACCGACGTCTATCGAGGTCTCGACGATACGGGTGATAGCGAGGAACATCCATGGGACTTCTTCCACATCAACAGCGTCGATAAGGACGCAAAGGGAAATTTCCTGGTTTCAACCCGCTACGGTAACTGCCTGCTCTACATCGACGGGCGCACTGGCGAGACTATCTGGACGCTGGGCGGCAAGCACAACAACTTCACAGATCTCTCGGGCGGCGCAGCCACCAATTTCACCTGGCAGCATCACGCTCGCTTCCGCGACAACGGGACAGCGATCACCCTTTTCGACAATTCCTCTCGTGGCAGAGGTGCTCCCTCACTACCGAGCCGAGGCCTCTACCTCGACCTCGATCAAGAGAATATGACTGTCCAAGTCCGACATGAGTACTGGAATTCGCACCCTATACGCAGTCAATCCCAGGGCTCCGTCCAGATTCTCGACAGCGGCAACGTCCTCGTCGGCTATGGCTACAGTGCCGCATGGACCGAATTCACCATAGACGGCGACGTTGTGTGCCACGCGCATTTTGCACCCGGACGGGATTTCAGTAGAGGCAAGGTCGTCTCCTTCCGCACGTTCAAACACCCCTGGGTCGGCAACCCCAACACTAGGCCCGACTTCGAGGTATACAGCTATCACGCCGCAGTCAGCTGGAACGGCGCCACCGAAGTCACAACCTGGGCCCTGGAAGGCACTGATAGCAAGAAATCAACCGACTTCAGCTTCATCACCGCCGTTCCCAAAGACGGCTTCGAAACCGTCATTCCCATCCCTGAAGACACAAAGCACCACTTCCTCCGCGCCCTCGCATTAAACTCAACCGGTCACACCCTTGCCTCAACCAAGCTTGCAAGATGGGACCCCTTCGCCGAAGAAGCAGTCGTAGTCAGCGGCGACAGTGATGATGACGACGATGACACCGAACCCTTTTACAAACTCCGCACGTTCTTGTTTGTTCTGATCGGCTGCTTCTCGGCCGGTGTACTGGCCACCGGTGCATGGTTCGGAAAACGCCTTCTCGCGTCTCGGAGGGCGAGCCAAAGTCCCAGCGATAAAGAACGAGGCGTGTTCAAGCCCTTGAGTCGATTCAGTGTCAGTGAGGATTCGAATGATGCGGACGCGGAAGATGGCGTGGAGTTTTCCGCCCTATTAGGAGACAGGAGAATGAATTCCCGATCGGATTTGGAGACAGGGAAGGGTATGGACGAGGATTGTCGATGATAACGAGACTTTAGTCTATCATGCAAGCATGCTTAGAGCATGTCTGCTGTTGGGCGTCTCAATGTACTAGTAGTAGCATATCCTCCGTGCATAGATGGCATTATTCAGCTTCAGCGTGATGAATTCCATTACTTGGTGAACGACCAGTGTAGTAATTGGTTACTTCGAACTCTACAAAGGTTTCATGACTCAAATGATCGTACCGTTGATTGCGTAGTCATACTAAATGAGTGCATATGCTATCATGTCAATCTGGGCCGTCAAAGAACTTTCGCACAGCATCTGTGTCAGCGAGTGAGAGCATAACTATTCGAAACTCAATGACATCATCAGCCTTAAGCCGAAGAAGCCACTTCCAACCGCTTGTAACCACCCTCGGCAGCGACCTGCTTCTGCAGCTCCGCCATACGCTTCTGATCACCCAGAGGATCAGTCGAGTCCGCGTCGAGCGCCCAAGAAAGGTAGTCGTTAGTGTAGTTTGACACGAAGCCCGCATCCAGAATACCCAGACGCTTTCCATAGTTGGTGACCTTGGCCCAATCGCGACTGACGTTCTTCAAGTCACGGCTGAAGTAGGCGAAGGAACGCTCAAAGATCTTCCGGTTGACCGGGGTGCCCATGATCGGCTTCATGTCAACGTACTCCTCGAATGCCCGGGCCGGTTCGGCAAGGACGTAGTCCGTTGCGCGCTTCACGGCATTCATAAACTTCTTGACCTTCTCCGGGTTGGCGGCTAGGAAGGCATCGTTGGCGATGTAGAGGATGGAGCAGAAGCAGCAGCAGCCGAGCTCGGCGAGCTGGTCGATGCGGAGCATCTGGACATCGTCGCGGGGACGGTTCTGGGTGGCAAGCCATTCGGCGAGCTCGACCATCTGAACGTTTTCAAGACCGATGCCTGCATCGATGTCACCGCGGATGATGGCTTTGGTGACGTTCATGCCGCAGCGGACGGCGGTGTAGTCGTCAGCAGTCATGCCGTAGTACTTAGTGAGTTCGTCGATCTGGATCTGTAAGTTGATCGGGTGAGTGAGAGCCTTTATGCTGATTTTATTGATGGGATGACGAACCTTTCCGAACTCTCCGACGTAGCCAATCTTCTTTCCCTTCAGGGAGCGGAAATCCTCAGTGATCCCACTATCCTTCAGGTAGACGACACCGGTGAAAGGCTCATCCAACAGAGAGCCAATCGAGGTGACCGGGAAGTTGCGAGCCTTGGCCTGATCCACCGGTCAGAGGATGCTTAGATAAATTCATAGAAAGACAGCTCGTACAGCAAGAGTGTGAATCATGGCCTTGAAGCCCATGTCAACCTTTCCACTGCCAATGATCTCGGTGACATCGGAGGGGTCATTGGGCTCCAGAAGGGCGACTTTGAGACCCTCCTCCTTGAAGAAACCTTTGCGCTGGGCAAGGTACAGGGGGGCGTGGTACGGGGTCGCGTGCCTTGAAAAACATCACTTAGCAAACATTCTAGCCTAGCTCATAATTCCCAATCCATACCAGTTGGTGAGGAAGGTGATCTTGTCAGTAGACATCTTGGCACAAACTCAGGTCACGAGTATTGCAAAGGTCTGGAAACTGTCAGCAACAGAGGGATGTGGGATCCCTCGTCTCTGTAGGTTAAAGTGTAGGGGACAATCAATGCCACGCATGTCCTTTCGCTAGTATTATCTAGATCAAGTTTTGACAGTATAATCTCAGAACGACCGAGCTCCTGTTCTCATCGTGGATGGGTAGCCAGCCAAGCTGAGAACAGAAGCTCGAGCCGAACACCTGTCATGCGCGAGCAGTGACTGTTATACTATTGTACGATACCTTGACCCATTTCATCCCCTAGCGAAAAGACCCGGAGGTTGGTCCTGCCTGCGCGGCTTCATTGTGAGTCGTACCGAATGGACGAGCGGTTTCGAGGAAGAGTTGAGCAGAATGCAGGAAGTCAGAAGTGAGTTGGTGAGAGGAATTGAAGTCGGAGAAAGTGGGAGGGGAGGCACGGCATAAATAGCTGGGCGGCAGCGGGGAGACCCTGGAGGAGGAACCCCACCATTCTTGCTTCCTCTGCCTCACCGAGAACACAACAGGACCCTCACGAAAACCAAACCACCATCCGATTGGTGACCTTCCCACCGGACTGATGTGCTCCTGGCACCTTTCCGGTTCTCGAGCAGCAACCACCTCATCGTGAACCTTGTCTCACCCTTCCCCCGCTCTGGACCCGCCGCGGTTCCCGATGGTACGATGTCAATTGACTCAATCCAGCTTGGTTGGCCCGAACTGCACCACAACCAGCTCATGCCTGGCGGGTCTAGATCCTCTTGAGGAAGGATCGGCCCCGTTTTAGCTCGCGTTGCCAGCTGTCTCCCATGGCTTAGGGCTTGGTGCCGGCTGCACATCATCCCATCGCAGCGAGGTTTTGGGGGCTACGTCGGCGGCCGGAGGAATTGATAATCTATGGATATGGTCTTCTTCGTGCATGGGACTATCTCAACCTGGACCTACTAGGGTAGAATCCAAACAGAAGATACAACTCGCTGGCTACAACGTAGATGACATATGCAAAGAAGGAATAGAACAATGCAAGAATAGAGAGATTAGGTAACGCGAAGGAACAGAGGCAAGGTGAGGCGCCATGCGAGCTAGGAACTTGACGGGCTAACTCAACTTGTGAGTTCAATGATAGGGGCAAGTGACCAAAAGCATGATTCCACAAACATACGGTTCAAGAGGACAAGTAGAATGTAATGCAACGGCTTCAACAAGAATGGTACCTTGGAAATGCAGGTCAGGAAGGTTTTGCGGCTGTGAGGCCGGCACTATCTCACGGTCGATCAAGGGTCTTCCTTCCCGTTCACCGGCAGCTGGTCAAGTGGCGACGGCGGACGATCGGCGTTCTTCTTCGTGCGGAGAGTGAGCGGGAAGTAATGGTCTTCGGGCTCTTCTTCCTCGCTAGTACTGGATATCGGACTCGGTCAGCAATCCAATTCCTGAAACACATTCATGGGTGGTGGTTGACTTACGGGAGTCGCCATGCAACATAGTCTTCTGTACTCAAGCCCTCTTTCACTTCCTGGAGTGAGGCAAAGTCCCCAGGGGTCATCATTCCAGACCGATCCCGTGGCGAGCCAGGCACGGATAATGGCCGCGATATCTTCTGTTCCGTACCCCCGATAATATCGTAAACATCCTCGGGGCTTCCAAAAGACGAAGGATAGGCTGTGTACAATGTTAGCATCGAATCAACAGCCGCTTGAGTTTGCGCATACCTCTCCGTAGGGCCAACTGCCGAGCCTTGACATACTCCAAGCCCATCCGCTTCCAATCCAGAAGATCACTCAAACGCTCCGTCCGGTTGCGCTGGTTGATCCGTTGACGCCGACTCTTCTGCGTGAAGTTGAACATGAAATCGGTCAGCTGGTTGACGGAGTCATCCACACCCTTCATGCGACGATCCACGATGTAAATCCCGTAATCGGACGAATTCTCAATCAACTCCTCCATGTAGCAACCGAATCCAGAGAGGTTCGTGGTAATGCTGGGCACGCCCATCACGGTACACTCGGCTGGTGTATATCCCCACGGTTCATAGTACGAGGGGAATACCCCAAGATGTGTGCCACGGACGAAGTCGTCGTAGTCTAACGGCAGCACGGGGTTGGATGAGTTAAGAAACTCCGGGTGGAAGACGACCTTGACTCGGTCCGACTCGTGGTTGAAGAGTTGAACACGACGAATCTGGTTCAGGATCGGGTCCTCATGGTCGTTGACCATATTATGTGTGACTATCGGAGGCAGAGAGTGGCGTTTCATAGCAAAGAGCCTCCGGCGCAAAAGCACGCGGTCCTGGCTAGCCATCAAGTCCTTCTCATCTGGCATGTTGTCGCCTTCCTTCCATGCTAGGCACCGCTCGTACATTCGCCTTCCGATACCCTTCTCAATCATCTCAATTGTTTCCCTCAGGGACTTTACGACTGCCTGGCCCTTGAGCGACTCGACTGTAAGGGATGAGGTCTGAGCGGGCATAATAATAAATGCGACGACAGTCGTCTTAGACCCCTCCGATTTGAGGCGGTGGTTCAGACGCGCTAGACCCTCGATAAACATATCAACACCTTTGTTTCGGAACTCGTAGCGTCCAGCAGTAAACACGTAAAGGGTGTTCTCCAGGTCAAAGTTGTTATGACCGTAGAAATGCCCACGAACGAAGTCATTGATCTTCTCCTTGGACTGCGAGTGGAGGTTTTGGAATTCATGCACGGCAGAGAACTTTTTGACATTCAACCCGTTGGGCAGCACTCCATCAGGTTTTCTCTTGAGAAGATGCTCACTCTCAAAAGCGGTGATATGTGAGACGGTGGTGAAGACATCTGCGGTATGTGCGGCAGCTCGCTCAATGCAGTACCTGTGGTAAATCCCTCGTTTACCAGCTTCCGCATCGACATCAAAGTGTTGGAGGTTGTTATAGAAGTCCACGGATCCGGCGCACAGATACCGACCGAGCAAAGTCGCGTGGGTGGTGAAGATTGTGGTCAGGTCCATGTGCCTCTTCTTAGTGAGCGGCAAGGCGACACCAGCAAGCCATTCGTGAAAGTGAGCAACAACCGCCCGACGACGCTCGTGCGCGATGTACTGAATGACCACAGTTAGCATATGCACGCGCGCAACCAGTGTTCCATGCGCTCAGGTCACGTACTTCACCCAAGAACCACGCCACCAAGTAGCCGAAGACAATGGCCTCGTTCGTCTCGGTATCGGCAGCCGGGGATGGGATACCAGCTGCATTCCACAGATCACCTTTCCACTCGTCCAAGTATTTGTATCCGGTCCCCGTGTCGATGAGGAGCACCCGCGGCGCACCCTCGATCAGCCAGCGACCGTAAACAATTTCGATTCCCCGCTCCTTCATAGACCGGATGGTCTCGATCAAGCGGGGATTCGACGGCGTCAACTCCTCGACCTCCACGGCTGCCGAAGCACGATTGAGAGGACCGATCAGAGTATAGCGGTCGCCATACTCGGCGGTAGTCACGGGCGCTTTGGACTTGAGAACCGAGTAGATGCCCCCGACACGGTTGGCCACTTCGGTGGCTACCTCGAATAGAATGTGATTGCGAACGTCTCGTTTGAGAGGCTCCTGGCCATTATCCTCACTGGCCATGATTTTAGCTCTAGCGCTCACGCAAATGCAAAACGGGGACTATGAATAACTAAAAGAAAGGAATGGGAAAGAAGAAAGACGCAGCTAGACTAGAGGCAGAGAAGGTAGGAAATAAACGAGACACGAGCAGAAACCGGGCTCAGCGCCTCTTTAGGGGGGGGGGAGGAAGCTCGAGGAAAGTTGAGAAGGTGACGTGCGGGGGAAGGATGAAAGGGCCGGTGGCGGGGAAACGAGGAATATCAATCAAACCGGGAGGAGGTTGGACCTCGCCGTCGTTGAAACAGGGACCGCAAGGAGGGGTGCAGATTCTTCTCAATTCACTCCCTTTCCTCGATTCCCCCTCAGTTCAAGGCTGCGAGACGTCTTCTTTCGCGCAATTGCCCGACCAGGGTGCCGGGAAAGCTCACCGAAGGCCCCCGTCCTAAGCCAAGGTTGGAGTTGCACGGACGCATCCCCGGTTCTGGCGACGGCCACCAAGGGATCCCCCGGCAAATGACAACCCCGGTTGGTCGGTCGATTGCAGCATCATCAGACCAGATGATGATGGTTGCAACGTTCCAGCTGAAGCTCGGGCTTGCACGACCTGTTATCTGCCCCCACGGCGCCTATGACCCCCCGGGCATTACGTTGTTTTGGAGCTAATCGAGCCGCCTCCCTACAGGGGGTCTAGACACCCGAGCGGACTGTTGGGGTGGCACAGTGGGAAATGGATTCCCACCAGGAGATCCTGAAGAATTCCCAAGATCGATCGCGACCGGAAAGGGCGTCGAAGATAAGGCCCCATTCAGCGTTCTCAATCCCTGGGTCTGGACACGTACCAGAATGTATCTCCGCGTGGCTCCAGCGCCGGCTTTGGGCAAAATCGGGGCAAATCTGGGGAAAGCTGCCCGGAACTGACGTCACCAAACCCGGGCGCCCATGTGACCCGAGCACCGATAAACCCCCGGGCCTCCAGCTGCAGTAGACTGAGATACAGAGTGGTCGAACCCATTTTTCCACCGACACACCTTCTGATCCTACTGGCCCCGGTTGTGAAGATCTTTGCTGCTCCCTTGTCGGATTTCCCAACAACCATTAGTGCTCGCTCGACTTGAGTTTATGGCTTCGCTGCTGCAATGGAGCTATCCTGGCGGGTCCTACCAAGCTACAGCCATTTTGAATCATTCTCTACTATCCTTCGAGGTTGTATTGAGACTTATGGGGCCTCATGAGAGGGGGTGAGTGGACCCTCAAGCGCATACTACATAGCACGATAGGGACCGGACTTCCCGAGACGCAACCTCGCCTATCGGGCCGACCGATACGATGCGATGCTTCGAAACACGTTGATCATCTCCAGCAAATTCGCCGATTAGACCTAGTACTAGACACAGGGGTCTATCTTCCCACTCGAAATTTAGAAGGCATTCTCTGATGACTTTCTAAAATTTTTTCTGAGCATGAATAGCAAGCTGACATCTTCTCGTGATTCCAGTGGCGTATTTCGAGGATTCCCCTCGTCTTTGAATGGCACTTGATATATGGGCAGATCTTCGAGTTTTCGACGCAATCGGGCACACAGTGAAACTCAGGTTGACATGGCATATGATTTCAGAGCTCGCCCACGGTCGCATATTATACATAGGCTAGGAATCATTTGCCGTTTGTTGAGAATCGTCCAGGAGGGAGGGAGGGCACGACGATATGACCTGCTCTCATCTCGTTCGTCACATATACATGGGTTCGCACCTGTGAGGCTAGATCCATCTGCATGTCAAGTAATCAAGCAAGCCATTGGGTTCCCAAGTCGAACTTCCGATCGCTGTCACAGTTTACATTTGCAGGTTAGATGGTCGATAATACCTCTATGAACATGCTTCCAGGAATTCCCTTGAAGTGATGGTAAGATAACATATAGCAGTGAGCAATTGCTAGATCGGATGCTTGACGAACAGACGATGACTTGATCTAATAGCTGTTGTTTACGGTGAGATTTTTGCCACGTAGGCTAGAATCACACAGGCGAAAGTTAACAAAAGCGCACCCCATATGTCCTAGTGCATGAGCTGTGGCAAGTCTATACATACCAGCAGAAGGTCCGAGCAGATAGAGACGATAGGTTTCAGTAGTACTAACATTGTATTTGGACCTACCCGGGAAGAAGCTGCAGGATATATATACAGCGTGGAGATGCGTTCAACAGCACATCGAATATTTATCCAACTACTAGAACAATCTGAATCCAAGTAATGACGGACTCACATCTGTATCTTCTACCTGATATTGGATCCGATACGCAATTGCTTGACATTAAGAAAGAAGAGCATGTAGGCACCCCCATCAACGGAACCAAAGCAGTGTCTCTTTTGCCTGTCCCCAACACAACTAATCGACAAAATCATCAAAATTCGTATTCTCCCAAACAATAAGATTCCAATTACAATGATACAATCCCTCAAAATCTCAAAATAACCTTCCTCAATAGTACCACCCACCACCCCAGCAAACAGTGGCACGTAAACAGCGGCACACAACCACCACACCCATTGAAGTTCCCGCCGTTCCCAATAACCTTCCCGCCGCCCACCACATCAACCCCGAGCACGCGACATCACCACCACCACCACCACCACCATTTCTAAGAATAACCTGAAACACAATAATCCCCCCAACTATAGTACCTATCCCAATGACATCCAGACATCCCAGAAACTCCCTCAGTCGATTGGTATCTAGACCAAACCCGGTACCTGATTCCACCTCATCTATGAAGTCATCCATCCCCACAATGACTTCACAATGCTGTCAACGGCCTGGATCGATGAACACATCGATTTGATGTGGGATATAAGTAGGGTGCTGGGACTGTGTTCATCAATCAATTAAATCAGATCACAGGGATAATTCACTCTTCTTCACGCAACAAACGAACTACTTCCTTCTATCCATCTACTTTATCCAGAAAACTAAGGTACGCACACCAACTCCAACCCAACCCAACCTAACTCAACACCACTAACACAAACCAGCCACCAACACCAACCAAAATGCCTCGCGGAGCCGAATACGACAACGGAGTCCCCCAGAGCGACAACGCCATTGATGCCGGCGAGACCAAGGTTCACGGCACGAACCCTGACGTATGTCCCTCGTCCCACTCCTTACTCCTTTCTATCACATCCCCCAAAACAGAAATACATGCTAACTGGGTATATACAGAACGACCACCTAAACCGCGTGCAACGCACCGCTCCCCTCCCTGAAGCCGCGCACAGCAGTGGCGGCACGTACAGCATCGGGGGCAGCGCGGGCCCGAACAAGTTTGGAAGTGGAAAGGGGGGTCATGAGCCTAAGACGTTGGGGGATAAGAAGGGATTGGGTGATATCTAAATCTGAATTTACATCTAGATGAGTTTATGATGTTTTCTTATGTGGATGCCTTGTGTGTTTGGGAGTTTGGTGGTGATGCATGGGTTATGAGAGATATGTGACTATTATTATCATATGGACTTTTCCGGCTGGGGAAAGGTGAAGGCTTCCTGGGTGAGGCCTGAAATGAAATTGAATGATTGAGATGATACAGGTGTTTTCTTGCTGCAGCTGTAGTTGTAGAAGTGTGAGAAATGTTTATTAGATCTATATAGGTATGGCTACGCTCGTAAGTGCGCCGACAATGAACAGAAGGTTGGAATGACTGTACAGTCTTGTACCATGCGGTACAAGAGGTCTCGGGCGATCCACCCTAAATTTTTATACTAGACCGTCAAGGCTAATCACGGATCGGGTCGTCTAGGTTTGATTCTTCGACGTGCCGTTTGCATCCGAAGACGACTTCCGAGAAGAGTCCGTGGATACAGGCTTGGATTCGGTGGCGATCTTCTTTTGCTTGGCCAATTCAATGAGACGCTGGCCCAAATCGCCAAAGCCGTCAATCTTGCTTAGCTTCGTTTGGAGATACTCCGCATCTCGTTCCAGTCTATAATGATTAGCAGAATTCACAGTCTCGGTAGCACGACACTTACCGTTGCTTGCCAGTCTCCGAAGTCACAGCTACCTCTTCGAACGCCTTCGTCCACTGCTCTCGGTAGCTGCTGAACACAGGATCCATGATCATCATCACTGTCATATCGGGAAGATGCTTGCTTAGCACCCGATGCAGCGTGCCGGTTTCCTTCGTCAGGGTTTCCATGTACGGGCTCACCCCACTACCTCCTGCGGGCGCATTCCAGTCAATCTTTTTCATGGCATTGACGTGGATAGCCGATCGAGATCCCATAATGTCCACAAGTTTCTCGTGGATGCCAGACTGATGCTCCTGATACAGCCGCTTCACCTTATCGAACTCTCCCATGAGCGGGCTGGACGGCGCATGACGACGGACGAATTCTCGGATATACGGGACGAGGGCAATGACAAAGCTCAGCGCCTGAGACGACAGGGCCAGGTGCTTCGTAGTGATATTCTTGAGCCCCGCACTTCGTGTTGCTCCAGCGCCCAAGATCAGTTGGGAGGACCGTGAGTTAAACAGCTTCAGTGACTCCAACAAACCAGGCGCAATGTCTTGCATCATGCTAGGTATATTCGCCATGATGAATTGATATTCCTCGATACTTTTCATCATCGCCACAGCCGATTCTGAGAGAATATACTTCTGCTCATCGATCATGGCACTGCGCAGTTTCTCTTTGCCAGAACCATTGACAGCTGTGCTTGCCGGTGATGGTTGGCGTTCATCCTGGGGCAGCCAGATCTTAGATGCACCCACCCAGGTGTTGATGTCTCTAGTGCTCGCACTAAGGATGCGGTCTAGGATAGCATTTTCAGTTTCTCCAAAGTCCCTCGCATCCCATCGGTCCGCATCCATCACCTCAACTATGCGACGCCGTTGTCCATCTCCGAATCGGTTGATGTAGTCTCGGATCTGGTTACCTACAACAGTCTTCAGTGCGGTACCACTTCGCCCAGAGATGGCCTCACACTCATCAGCAAAGAGCCGATTGAGAGTGAAGTACTTGAGGAAGTCCTCCTTTTGGAGCTGAGATGTCTGTTCTGATCGAACCTTCAACACCTTGGTGATCTGAGATTGGGCAATGTCGACGGCTTGGCCAAGAAGGCTGGACATGTCCAGTACCTGCAGGATCTCGTCTTGCGCCACAATTGTTGTAGGTCCCGGGGTTGCGGCTTTGCTCGGGCCTTGCGGATTCGGGCTTGGAGGTCCAGACTTCAACCCAACCGGGGCCGGATTCTCCAGCCCACTCGCGATATCCAGAAGGACCTTGACTTGAACACTAAGTCTCCGGAGCGACTCACTGATGCCGGTGTATACGCGTGCAAGCATGTTGTATGAATCCTGGGCGTCCAAGGCACGGAGGTTCCGTGCCAGGATTGAAGACTTCTCCTGTTGACTGAGTTGCTGGGATTTTTGGGTGGATACGGATACCACCGACTCATTGTCATCGTCGCTGGAGCTAGGCATATGTTTCCGAATCAGACTCTTCATTTCTCGTAGAACCGCGGTCTTGAAAGCGGTTGCTGCAGGTGTCGTATGGCGTACACGAGCAAGTCCGGTGAGATGCAGGTGCAACCTTGACCGCAACTGATCATCAAATGCCATGTACGCCGGGGGTTGCATGGCGCCTGAGCGTTGTGCTCCACGCTGTCGCTGGAATGCAGACCCCCAGCGTTGCAGTGTTGCATCCAAAGGCACATTCTCGACATGTTGCCTCAGATCGCCCAGCAGATCGCTCAAAAAACGGCTTTCATAGCCTGTGCCGATGCGATATCTTAGATGAGCCAGATCATCAGAAGCGCCTTCCAGGGCTTTGAGCCTGCGCAAATCGATAGCCTTCCTCGGCTGATCCTGCGACTCCTTTCCGTCGGTAGAGCTGGGGGTATAGTCTCCGGCCATCAGTCTCTCCACCTCTTCTAAGCCATCTGCAGCCTCTTCAATCTTGCCGGTCTCGACTAATTCCTCGCATCGAGAGACAGATTGGACGACATCGCGAAGTTGCGACACTGCATCAGCGAGCATGCGCACATTTTCCCGCCGGCGTCGCAGATTGACAATCTTGAGACCACCCAGTGCCATTTCTCGGTCGATTTTCTGTAGATCCTTCCGCAGGATTTGAATGCGTTTCACCGAGTCAGCCGCCTCTGCATGCAGCTCCCGTAGTGACCCCAGGGCAGTGAAAAAGGACTTGGACGCAGTCGAGATCGAAGAAATAAGGTGGATTTCTACCGTGTCCATGTACCATGAAAGCTTCTCCTGTAGAATAGCATTCGTAGCGAGAGCCTTTCTACCCGTAGGAGCCGGCTCCAGAGCAGCACCATTCTCAGCTTTATCCTTGGACGGGGTCACAATTTCAGATTTTTCCGACACAACATCAAAGGTCCGCGGGTTCTCCAGGTGAAAGTCATCCTCAAAGTAGACCGTGGGAATGGTAGATAGAGGTGTGACTGCCTGGCCGCGACCGCGACCGGCATATGACCGCTTCCTGCCCCGAGTATCGTACGGAGAACTTGCCCGGGAACTGGTCGAAATCGCCGAGGGTCGCCTTTCCCGGGACATCGGGGCCAGCGAGTCCGATTCCTCTGACTTGGGGGAAGATTTGTCGCGGCCCCGCGCTAGCTGTGATTCCTGATCTCCATTGCTTTCTTTCGCTTGTTGGAAGACATCGTACAACGATCCAACCTGAGACAGGTACGCCTCGAATGCTTTTGGGTCCACATGGGGTATGTTGGTCAGCGTGACGGGAGGGATATCGCGCGTAGTCGGGGGCTTATATCCGGCGGAGGGGACGGCGGTATGGGGAACAAGACCCGTGCGGACAATGGGGGGCTGAAGCAGGGTAGAGATTGCTGCATCGAATTAGCATGGATTTAACTTCATATCCTTGTTGCACACTCCCGGGGACCGCACCATTCTGTCCGGTCTCAGCTATTGATCCATGGCGGTAGGAAGGATCCAGAATCCCCCCAATACTGGCAATCGAGCTCGCCGTCGACCCTCTCCTGAGAGGGAACCGCTGAGTGGACGCTCGAGGGGACTCGATCTGGCTCAATGAGAACTGAGACAAGGAGGGGGTCGAAGCGCCTGAGGCCAAGCTGTCAATCGACTTCCGGGGGGTTGCGGAGGACATATTGTCGATGGCGGAGTAGCGACTCCCACGGCCACCGTGCTAGTACTCGGGCGAACAACGAACAACGTTATCTACACATGACAAGAGGACGGCGGCAATTAGAAACGGGGAAGTGTAAGCAGCGTTCTGCCAATGATCCCACGCTGCCAGGGTACGAGGCCTGTGGTCCAAAGAAGAAGAGAATGAAAGCCACGCCGACGAGGCCCGCTGCAACGTCACCCTCGACCCTCTGATACGGGGGGTTTGTTCATGACAGCTTCCCCCGATCCGGTATGGCGCCAGGCCCGAGGCCACGCCGGCTAGCCTGCTTGGGGTTCTTCGGGATACAGTATTTCCGGCTTCCGCCCCGTGCTCTATGCAGCCTCAGGCCACAACAAAAACCACTTAACGCGTGGATAGACGCGACGCGTTCCGCTCGTGTTGCCGCCGCAGAAGTTATTTGCAGGCCTTTTGCCCTGGCAATGGGATGGATCCGAAATCAACACACCTCATCACCACCTCCCCGCAGCCCGCCCTGCTGTCTACGCCATGGACAGACGCACCCCCTACACTCTGAGTGTTCTCGCTCCTAGCGTTGATGGTGTGGAAGACTCCCGTTCTCAGATTCAGGCCAAATTGAAGGAGTTTGTGCTGGAGTTTCAGCTCGATAATGCATTCATCTACCGGTATGTTATGTTTTGGCCGTGTGACGGGTATTTGTGGAGGAAGAAAAAACATAAGCTAAGGTACATGGTAGCGACCAACTTCGACAAAATGTTTTGGTTAAGCAATACTATTGCGACATTGATATCGCACACTTGATTTCATACAATGAAGAGCTGGCACACAAGCTCACCACAGAGCCTGCCGATCTCATTCCCCTGGTGAGCATCTTCTCCCGTCCCCTCGAGTCACTACCTAATCAGAATCGTCACTGGCTAGTTTGAAGGGGCGCTTCAAGATTGCACTCGCCGCATCGTATACCCCTCTCAGAGAGACATCGTGCTGCCGACCCACCAGCTTCTGCTTCACTCCTCGGCTACTCATATCTCCATCCGTGACCTCAATGCCACCAATATCTCACACCTCGTCCGTATCCCGGGTATCGTGATCGGCGCTTCAACAATATCTTCCAAGGCAACGGTGATGCACATTCGCTGCAAGAACTGTGGCCACACTGAAAATCTTCCAGTCGAGGGTGGTTTCTCGGGTCTTCAGCTGCCCAGAAGGTGTGGTCGTCAGCAACAACCCGGCGACAATCAATCAGAACCGTGCCCGCTGGACCCATATGTTGTGTCTCACGAAAAATGCCAATTTGTCGACCAGCAGGTTCTCAAGCTTCAAGAGGCACCTGATCAAGTGCCGGTGGGTGAACTTCCCAGGCATGTTCTGATTTCAGCAGACCGCTACCTGGCCAACCGGGTTGTGCCCGGCTCTCGTTGCACCGTGATGGGAATTTTCTCGATCTATCAGTCCTCCAAGGGTGGCAAGAAGGATGGTGCCGTGGCTATTCGCAACCCGTATTTGCGGGCAGTGGGTATCAGCTCCGACCTGGATCATACCGCCAAGGGTAGCGCTGTCTTCTCCGAAGAAGAAGAGCAAGAGTTCCTGGAACTTAGTCGCCGTCCTGACCTGTATGAGGCTCTTGCTAAGAGTATAGCCCCGTCTATCTATGGAAATCTGGACATCAAGAAGGCCATCGTCTGCCTGCTCATGGGTGGTTCCAAGAAACTCCTTCCCGACGGAATGAAGCTGCGTGGTGATATCAACGTGCTTCTTCTTGGTGACCCTGGTACAGCCAAGTCTCAGCTGCTCAAGTTCACGGAGAAGGTTTCCCCCATTGCGATCTATACGTCTGGTAAGGGTTCCTCGGCAGCGGGTTTAACGGCATCGGTCCAGCGCGACCACGCCACGCGCGAGTTCTACCTGGAAGGTGGTGCAATGGTGCTTGCAGATGGCGGTGTTGTGTGTATTGATGAGTTCGATAAGATGAGAGACGAGGACCGAGTCGCTATCCACGAAGCCATGGAACAGCAGACCATCTCCATTGCCAAGGCTGGAATCACCACCATCCTCAACTCACGGACGTCTGTTCTGGCTGCAGCCAACCCTATCTTCGGTCGTTACGATGATCTGAAGACTCCTGGTGAGAACATCGACTTCCAGACCACCATTCTGTCGCGTTTCGATATGATTTTCATTGTTCGCGATGACCATGAACGCAGTCGTGACGAAAACATTGCGAGACACGTTATGGGGGTACACATGGGCGGTCGAGGTGTCGAGGAGCAGGTTGAGGCTGAAATCCCGTTGGACAAGATGAAGCGGTACATCAGCTACTGTCGCACGTAAGTTGCTCCTTCTCGTTATCATTGCCCCACGCTAATATACTGTCAAGACGTTGCGCGCCCCGTCTCTCTGATGAAGCTGCCGAAAAGCTGTCGTCACACTTCGTCACCATCAGAAAGCAAGTCCACCGTGCTGAACTTGATGCCAATACCCGATCCTCCATTCCCATCACGGTTCGTCAACTTGAGGCTATTGTCCGTATCACCGAGTCGTTGGCCAAGTTAAGTCTGTCGCCAGTGGCCACTGAAGCCCATGTGGACGAAGCCATCCGTCTTTTCTTGGCCTCGACCATGGATGCTGTCACTCAAGGTGAAGGCCAGGGTAGCAAGGAGATGATGGAAGAGGCGAGCAAGATCGAAGACGAACTGAAGCGCCGTCTGCCCATCGGATGGAGCACCAGCCTGGCGACGCTGCGGCGCGAATTTGTTGACGGAAGGGGCTACACGGAACAAGCTCTAAATCGGGCATTGGTGGTGATGCAACGGCGAGACACCGTTCAAATCCGGTCGGGTGGCTCACAGGTTTACCGACACGGTGTATAGTACTGCTTTTCTCTGCTTTTGATTGACAGCATGCGATATGGTCGGGAATGATCCTTCAATGTTGGTTGGCTGGAACGACGCTATGTATCAATTGGGCTCGGGCACAACAGGGATGAAACGGTGTACGGCGTTGCTTTGGTCTTGTGACCGACTGATAGTTACTAGATGAGCGAACTTTATGAAGCAATATAACAACAATAATCATGAGATCCTAGCAATTTATATACAGACACCTTTGCGTATCATCAGTCAGGCGCGAGAGATCCCATCGTCGTCACTGCTCTAGAAAGCTGCAGTCGACACAGACTGCCGGCAACTGATCGAGCCTATCGCCCAACCCAGTGTCACGGATTTGGTGAGTGACCTCGACAACCCATCGACTCGTTTAGATCCTCCCTCTTCTCGTGCCCCGAAACCCACTCAATCTCAACCTTAACTGCGGCCTTCAGTCCGGCCCGGATGGCAAACAGCTCAGCTAGCTGGTTGAGACGGACTTCATCGATGCAGTACATCTCACTGGCGAAGTCATGGCTCTCCGGTTTGTTCTATATGATTGCAACTCCCACGCGGCCACATGGTTGGTAGCTGTTGATCCGTCCACTCAGAAGATATGTCGGTCGTTTGAGGATCGTATATTCATGGCATTTGTTGGTGCGTCTGCACGGGGACGCGCAAGTAAGACTCTGTCAAGTCGATTGTCTTGGATGTTTTGGTAGAAGGTTGACTGCTGTTGCTGTTGCTGTTGCTGTTGCTGTTGCTGTTGCTGTGCTATTGCAGCAGCAGCTGGCACCTCTAGCCTCAAATTTCGAGGGACTAAAGGATCGATAGGCTACACTTTCATGGTTTGTATTCACACTGAGAATCAGAGTCAAGGGGATTCTTACCCGCTAAATGATGAGGGAAACGCGGTGAAAAATGATATGGAGACGCCTCTGAAAGGCGCTCGAAGATGACATTTTCAAGGGACTGGTGGTCATGGTGGAGAGTGAAGATTGAGAAGTGGATGGTGCTGAGGGAAATAGAGGGAAGACCTACTTCTGACTCACACTACACGACACTACACAAGCCTTACGTCAAAGCGATGGCTCGGATGCAAAATAGTGACGATATGCCAAGTAACCATTGGAAGATTACCAAAGGGCCGGGGGTATCGAAACGCGCAAACGAGTACAACCCAGATCTGCCTACTGGGTCTACCAGATACTACTCCAGCCCCCTTCAATGGGATGCAATCGATGTCTTTCAAGTTGTATCAGCGAGTACATGTTTCTTTGGGGTGATAGCCACTAGATCCTGCATTCCAGCGCCAGGTAGCCTGTCGCATCAGAGAATACGAACATCACTTCCGTAAGTAAACGGTGAAAGACTGGTTCGGCTCGCTTGAGCGATCCTATATGGATGACAATAAGCGAAACCTAGCAGCGAGGATCAGCTAACGAGGATCGTATGGACGAGCTCCCAGAACTATAGCCTGGCTTCGCTTGATCCTGCATGCTGCGAGGTGATCAAATGTCCCTACAGACAGATACCTATTAGATCAAGCCCTCCTTTCTAGTCTCCCGACTCTTTAAAGATAATGTGATGCTTGACCTTGATCCTCTTTCTCAACTTCAACGTAATAGCTGTCCAGCCCTCAATGACCCAGAGCGAAGATTCCCCGACTTGACGAGGCCTAAAGCGGAGTAGAGCGTAACGTAGTATTTAGTTCCTGCAAGGCGTTTCAGGCTTCTACCTTACGAGACTTCTTCCACACGAGATCGAGCTCCTCTAGTAACTTGCATACATCGCAACCACCTAGTTCTTTATATCTCCATCCTTTTTACTAGCATCGTACCGGTAAGATATTCAATTCTCGTGACGAGAGTCTATTCAATATCTTGTCCCTGAGCCCATATAACTCAACTCGCTTATCTATTGTAGACGCTTAGGCACATAAGTACTGACTCCCAGTAATCGACCCAAGGCAGGCAAGCCATCACATGACTCCCTCCAGGGGAATTATCTTTCTGTGGTCAAACTTTAACAGAAACGTCAATCTCTGCACTACATGTGAAACGGACAGGTTTATATACGGAGTACTCGTCGAGTGAGTAGTCTTTACAGGGAATTCTTTCAAGTACATTTTCTGCAATGATGGCACTGCACTAAGTCGGTACGGTACGTTGGGAGGTGAGCAGGACTTGTAATATATATGTTACTGCTTTTAATTGCAGTGTGCTGCTCTTGTCACTGATCGAATGGATAGTGGCTTTTTCTTTGAATCATTGGGCTCTCCCTTATAGGTCATTTCTATGCTATCTATCCTTGCTATCTTGAAGTATAAGTTAGTCCTCGATCCGATAATTGAGGCAACTCTACGGAGTATATGGAGTACACGAATTCAATATGTTAAGCTCGCAGGCATCTTTCTACCTTACCACCAGTGCTACTTCCATAGTGAAAATGTCAATTCACGAAATGGCAATAGCATGTCTACGTTAGCTGGGAAAAAATTCAACCCAGTATCCAATAGCAAGACATGACACGAAGTTCAAGTGCAAGGTCGGGAGGCAACCTTGGGCTCCACACCCGCGTCGATATACTATGTCAAGACTGTTTACATGGCTCCATCGGGCCTGCCCGAACCATGGGTGCAAGGGGGGAAACGTCCCGCAACCTCTTGATGCACCCTCGTCGGGGCGATTGAAATTTTTCCTTGGGTGTGGACAGGGGCAGGGTGTCGTATCCGGCTCTGGATATGAATGGCTCTGAGAATTGGTTGAAGGAGGAATATCTATTCTTTGTAGCTGTTGGCAGCATTGGCTATATTCGAGCGCTTACCAACCTCTGGTTTAGTGTCAGCAGCGGACGGCACCGAGGAAACCAAACCCAATGGTGAGAGATATGTACGAGGCTTCGCAGCAACCGTGGCCCGGGTGATGGCATTCTTTTGTAGGAAAGTATCCGACAGCATTCCTCGAGACTAAACGAGAAGCCAAGCGGGTCTGAATAGCTGACGCGCCGCGCGTGGGAAAGAGGCCGACAGAGCGGGTCAGAAGACAGCCCTGACATGCCAAAACTAAAAGGTTAACAAAGATTAACTCTGCTGGTCCGTGGCAGAAAAAAACCGGAGCATGTCATCGATTACGATCCTTGGGTCGTCCATCGACTGGACGCGAAGAATGGGACCAGCGTGTCACTTGAGCTCTGGGACATCCAGACCCTCGCCATTTCCGGCGCGTAACGTGCATAGCCCCTGGCGCTGGTCCAGACCAGAGACTGTCCACCTCGAGACATACGAGATGATGGTCTGGAGTAACTGCTGTCGGTTGGGAATAAGTGCAGCGAGTAAGGACGCTGGGGCTTCAGCTAACCTCACCTTCCAGGTTTGTGTTTCAGATTGATGCAGCCGTGCCAGAGACATGGGCTGGGAAGCGCCGAGGGACGACGGTGAGGAACCTAAATTAGAGTCTTCTTGCTGGCGGGAGATAATTATATCAGGATCGATTGATCTAGACTGGATTTAGTTCAGGTGTATGCTGCCGTTACACCATGGTGCAGTCCAACAACATCATAGGAAGACCGCCGTAGCGCCGTCAATCGCGCCGACCCCCCAGGGGTGCAGTGGTGAAACATGGGAGGGGCCTACGTGGTCGACGCTGGCCATGATGGACACGCGCGATGGAGCGACGGCGCGCCATGCACTCTGGATGAGGAAGGGACTCGACAGTCTGGTTGGTGAAGAGGTCAAGCGGAAGAAAGGGTCGTGATGGGAACGCGTTGAAAGGGGGGTACATGAGTGGGGTGGGGGACAGACACGGTCAGCCATGGATCCTTGAGTTCAATGGATTGAGAGAAGCCGTAGCTAGTCAAGAGGACCAAGTGAGTAGCATTCCTCTAGTCAAGAAGACCGAGTAGATGATATCATCAGGTGAATCTCCACGATTGGCGACTGGATCTTGCATCTCTCCATCCGCATTGGGGATGGGGCGGGAAAGCCCTGATCGTCGGTCGAGCGCGACGCGCCTCGAGGGCGACGTGATGAGCAATTGGGAAGAATGAACATTGTATTCGTGGGAGCAGCCAATAATCGATCAATAATGAGCGTCTCAGCCTTGCATCGCACCATTTGAACGCCGAGAGTGGATTTAGCCTCCGTCTGGAATTCGGTTCCCTGGCCATCTGGCGGCCATTCCGGGCAACGCCATTGAGACACGAACTCGACGCGCTCGCCCCGAATTCCCCATCGTTACTTATACACGCTTCTCCTCTCTCACTCTTACTCTTCAGAGCCTTCCCACTTCTTCCCGTGCATAGCCTTTCAGCCCTTGCCCGTTGAAACCGCTTGTCTGCATGTTTCGTCTCTTGGTGCCGAAGCCTGGAATGAGCGTTGAATGACCAGCACCCTCGATTTTTTAGGCATTCTCGGTCGACGTTGCCTACCACGCTGCCTGCACCCTTGCCTCTATCGCCTCATATATCTCCTCGTCCAGCTCGCTCGTTCTCTTCTTGTGTCACTTCCCATCTCGCTGTCTGTCGTGGACAATCAATCTTATCATCAACATCAACATCTTTATCCCATCCCATCGTTCCTCCCTGTCGGATCCTAACCGTCGATCGCCTCAGACCGCCAATCAACCCCACTCCGACGCGACCAAAACATCCCGTCTCCAACCCGGCCTCGCTGCCGGTTGATATCCATTCCATTCCACCCATCCGTTCCATCTCATCAATTCCTCGTCGGTTCATCACAATCGGTCGACAGGATGGCCGCCCTCACGATGACTCCTACCACCATACGTCAACCTTTCGCCAGCTTGGATGCGCCACGCATGCGTTCCTTGCTCAGGAACAAGATGAACCTGAAGAACAAACAGGATGGTATGTCATGCAACGCCTCTTCACTTCTCCCCACGTGCCATCAAGCTAATAGAAATCACCCCAGGTGCCATTCTATTGGGAAAGAAGCAGTCCTTGTCGGATGTTGACTCGGAAAATATTGACCCAACCACTCTCAAACACTCAACTAAGCGCAAGCGTGGTGCGGAGGATGACGGCCTGGAGCCTGCCGAGGAACCATGCAAGCCATTCAAGACCTCGCGCATGGTTTTGACCACCGTGGAGACCATTGTGACTCCTCGCAAGCCTACAACCCCTACAAAACCCACCCTGTCTACCCCCAAGTCCGCTCCCATCCTCCGACCTGCCGGACGCTCACCACCACCCAAGTCGTGCAAGTCATTCTCTCGTCGCTCTACTATTGCCAAAGGCCGTCTCGAGTCGGCGAGTCGGAAGACTGTCCACCGCCCATTCTCACTGGCCACCGCTCTGTCTGGCAAGAAGGCCAAGACCCATTCCAGCCCCAAAGCTCCTGCTTCCTGGTCCTTCGATATCCATGTGGACAACGAACAGGACGAGATGACCAACCTCATGCAACATTCCACCTGTGTCCTAGACATTAGCGACCAGGAAGGGAAAGTGGAAACCTCGGGACGCGGCAAGGAGAACGTCCCTCCCGCCGAGCTGGGCATTGACCTTCCTCGTTCCCGTCAGCGCGAGTCCCCTGCTGCCGCGGCTCGCAAGTCTGTCATGCTTGAGGAATCTCGGGAGCCCCTGGGTGACCTCAGCCCCGCTGACTACTACGGTGACGATTGCCATGCTTTCTCGTATGCTATTGTGTACGATGACGAGACCGAGGAAAATGCCAAGGCACCTTTATCCTCTCTATCGCGCCCAAGCCCCAACCGCAGCAAACTTTCTACAGTTTCTTCCATCTCTGCCTTAGTGGAAGCGACCACCCCCGCGAAGCCTATCCTTGACCAGAATGCCGAACCTTCGGAGGCTGAAATCGAAATCTGGGAGAGCGCAAGTGCTGCCGAGGAAGCGGCCGATGCTGTCAGCGCTTGATAGGCTTTCGCGTACCTTGTCACTTTCGTCCATACCATACCAACCAGAGCTCTATTACCACGGCGTTTGGATTCCTTTTAGGGGCTGTACAGAATCGTTCTTGGATACCCTACTGATACCGTCTTTTTGATTTCGTTTGAAGCCCCGTTGAACCGACCAGTGCCGTCACGACATGAATTTTCTTGCGTCTTCCCTACCTGACTATCACGATCCACACTACCAGCGCACTACCATACTATCCCTGGTCTACATGCAGACCAACTACCCTGGCATGCTCGCCTATCCTTGGCCTCTCCGTATAATGGCCCCTGTCACCTCATTCCTTTGATGCCCATGTCTGCATGTACCCACTAATGACCTGAGAATGTGTCACGTTACCTAATGTCCTGTATGAAATACATACCCTTGGCTTAGTCCAACAAAAAAAATTAAGAATCTCGATGCAACGAACTTGCTCATTGGTAATCTGCAAAGTACATTTAAGCTCTCCGCCGTGTAGCTCTCTTGGTCTCGGCGCCAAGCATATCCGTATCCTCATCGTCATCCTCGGATTGTTCTTCATCGCTCTCGTCTTCCTCATCCTCATCCTCATCTTCCCCCTGCTCCTCATCTTCAGCAACTGACGCTGCGGCCGCTGCCTCCGCCGCCGCCTCCGCCAGCTCTTCCTGCTCATACGCCTCTTCCTCACCTTCACTCAATTCCTCACCCCCCTCCTCACCACCCACCACATCCTCCTGAAACTGTACCCGACGCACTGCCCTCTTCCCCTTCGACCGCGCCGTCCCCTCCTCCTGTTCCTCCTCCCTCACCACTCCCCGCCCACGCTTCTCCCCCGCCGCCTTCTCCTTCCACGCCGGCGCGCCCTTAATCATCGCCCTCAACTCCGTCGCCATCATCATCTCCCTCTGCGACGCGACACTCGGATCCAACCAAAAGTCCACCATGACAGACTCCGGCGTCGCATGATCCGGCAACGTCAGGATATTCGCAAACTCCTCATCATTTGTGACCTTATCGTCCAGCAAGGAGAGGATCTTCGCGCGCATAATCGTTTTCGTTTTCGCGAGTGTCCCGTTCCCGAACCACCCGTCTGTGACGATGTCGCATGTTTCCCGGAGGAAGGTTGTCGGTGGGTTTGGTGGGAAGAGGATGCTTCGGAGGGTCGGATCCGTCACGTCGCAGAACATCCACATGCGGCCGTCGCGCGGGAGGGGTAGTTCCCCTGTGAAGAGGTGGGAGTCGGTCGGGAGTTGCGAGTCGATGTGGTCGAGGGGAACTTCGTTGGGACGGGCGGCGGCGTGTCGGCGACCCGTGTAGCCGTCTCGGGCGACTTCGGCGTCGCGCGGCAGGATGCGGAACATGGCGGTTTGGTAGATTCGGTAGGATGGGGAGGTGCGTGGGTCGTGGCCGTATTTGACGATGGCGTCGCGCCAGGGTCCCGAGCGGAAGATGTAGCCTACGTAGGGGATGGCGTGGCGGAGGGCGTAGCGCTGTTCGAGGGTGGGGAGGGAGTTGCGCAGGCCGCGACGGGTCCAGGCGGGACGTTGAGAGAAGAGGGATTCCACGGTCGCGATGGTTTCTTGGAGGATTTTGTCCAGGGTGGCGATGGGGGGACAGCTGTCGCGGGGTTTGTCGGGGACGGTGGCTACGTCGTAGGATACGAGGTGCGTGAGTACTTTGACGACGCGTTGGGTGTTGACGGTCGTGATGTTGCCGGAGGTGTCGATGGATTGGCGCACCGTGGGGTTTTGGCGATAGCTGGGGTTGTTAGTGGGCGATGAAGTGGTATAAGGGATGGGCTTACATGTAGTTGAAGGGGATGTCGCCGAAACTGAAGGATGGTGGTGGGATCAGATCCACGTTGGAGATGGCTCCTTTGGTCATATCAAGGTCGAATTGTTTCATTTTCTCATCTGGTCTGATTAGTATCCATGGAATGAATGTATATAGACAAGAGGATCGTACAGTCGAATGGCAATATCTGCTCCCGGAAACGGTTGGCGAAGGAACTAGATGTCGTGGAGAAGACATAGTCCGGCATGCCTGCTCATATCAGCATCCTGTACGCAATTGATGTGATATATTTGAGAACGCACCTCGAAACACATGTGTCCGGCTGATAGAGCCCACCGGCTCAACTTGATATCTTCCGACATTATCACCCAGAGTCCGCAGCAGTTCTCGTGCGCTGCGCCGTTGCGGCTCCGTGGGAATCGTCGAGACAGCAACGCCGGTGAAGGGCTCGTTTGATCCCTTCTTGCGCTTGCGACCTGTTCTCTTTGGAACAGTCACCTTGAGGAGGATGTTGTTGGACGTCGAGCTGGTCGACTGAAGCGGCCGGGACATGGCATCCTCCGGACGGAGGAGCAGATGGGCCGGGCTGTCTGGCTTGGGTGGGTGCAAGATCTAGATTGTCGTTAGATCGTTTGAATGATAATCAAGGGGCGGGGGGTTGTACTCTGGTGATCCCCGCATCACCTTTCAGCGTGTCGACGGCCTTGTCGAGGTTTCTGATGATGGCAGGATGCTCCACACTGACGATGCGACGAGAGGGGATATGGTAGAACGGGGCCGTTCTCGACCCATACTGATCGGCCATTCTGTCCTGCTGGGCTGGAAACCCGGGTCTAGCCAATGGGACCTCGATTCAAGTGGTGAAGAGGAGGCTGGTGGCCTAGACCGAAGCTATATAAATGCGGATAAGTCTGCACGGATATTGAACCAGGATTGACGTCAACGGTCATCCAGGGGCTCGAACTTAATTTATCCTACACTGGACGAGCTCGCGAGTGGGCTCACTGATTCGACCCGACACCAGGGATTTCCCGCGTCCGCATTACAGCCTCGACCCGACCCTGCCTGCCCGCCAGGCCTAGAGGATAGATGTTGAAGCTAGAAATCTGCCAGTCACATGACCGGGCCGGGCTGCCACACCACCGGACCTCCCCAAAATCGAATGGGAAAAAAAAGCCGCGACTGAGACACGCGGAGAGGCTGGATGCGATTCCCGGTGGTGGCTAATTTGGCTCCTTTAATGTAATATGATGCGGTTGCTTTTTTTATCTTCTCGGTGGTTCTTACGGAGGGAATGTGCTGTCGGCCCCTTGCCTGTAGGGGAAGTAAGCTGGAAACACAGCACCAAGAAAAGTGGGAAGGATGCCGTAGAGATGAGTGTACATAGTAATAGGATGATCCCGGTAGCTGTATATATTTCGTAATGTTGAGGCCCCATCGTCCCATTCATCTGGTTCTCAAAACCGGTTGATCCCAGATTCACATCGTGCTGGTACCCGGTCGATAGGTACGATAGTTAAGTTGGTTAAGGGACCCAACCAGGCCCACGACTGTCCTGCACCACCACGTCCGAGCGCTTCTCTTAGCCATAGCCTGTCCGCCCTTCGAGTCGCCGCCCCCCCTCCCCGACCTTGATACCACGAACGACTGCTATCTACTGCTCAACCATCATCGCGGAACAGCTCACCCTGACGACCCTTCCTTGTCGGTTCCCGACGATTCGACCTGTTGACGAGTGTTCCCCGTCCGCAACCGTGTCCCTCGTGGGTTGCGACCGTGCTGGACTGCCTGCGAGGCAATTCTCCCCCCGGGGCTCAGTATTGCACCCCGCTTCCCGGCCAGCCGCTAAGCGACACGGAAAGACGATCGCCTCCAGCAGACCAGACCGACTGACTTACCGTTGGCTGCTCCCTATACCGCTCCGTTCTCCGTTCGCGCCAAAGAAGTGAGCGTGCCTGTCTGAGAGATCCTCCTCCCTCCCACTCCCACTCCCCCCAATCGTCTCGACCTGAACTTCTCTTGAGGTAAGTCCTCCTGCAGCTATAGTTTCCTGTTCCTCTTGCGCTTCTGGAACCGTTCTTGTTTTTGGCTTCGCCCCTCCCCTCGTCCTCCCTGAACCCCCTTCTGGTGGTACACTTCCCATCCGCTTGGTCTTTTGGGACCTCCTACCGCCTCCCCCCGGTGCTGGTGTTGGCTGGTTTCCACCATTCCCACCCCTCTTATTCTCTCGTCTTTAATTTGGTTATATCCCGCCCCTGCGATTTTCGAGGCAAGGCCTACCCCTGGATCTACCTGTCTTCCATCAATCCGACCCGAGCGCTATGCTAGGCTGTGGTGTGGTGGGAAATGCTCATGTGGTCATTTCCAGGCCGACATAAACAAATCCCGACGTGGCTCTCCTGAGCTGCCCCCCGCGCTGTCCAACTCCCCATCCCTCCTGCTAGTGTGCGGCAGCCTGCTGCACTGGCATCGAGATCCCAGACCGAGTACATGTGGCTGTTCGATTTGTCGCGACAATGAAGGGTTTCAGACAGAGAGTGGTGAGTTCCCTATCGACTTCCGCCCCCTACCCTTTTCCCCGCCTTCTCCAGCGGATGATCAGCTCTCTTCGACCACGGCGCCCCCCTCCTCGCCCCTGAACGCTGGCTGATTTCCCTAGCATGAGCAGTTGTCGAGGGCCAAAGAAGCCAATAAATCCTCGAAAAAGAAAGACTCGGCACAATCCCAAAATCATACCGCCCTCGGAGTCAATCATGGACAGCAGTCCTCGTCCCCTAACCAGGGCACCCCGACCTCGTCTACCACGTCCGTGAATGATACTAGAGGGAAGTCTCCGGACAATGGCTTGCAGGCGGGAATGTATCCTCCTGGTCAGTACTATATTCCGCAGGGCGGTGGCATGGTTGGTCAGCCCGTGAGTAACGGTGGACCAGGAACTCCTACCAAGCAGGGACAGCCGATGGCCCCGAGCGTGGTTATCAGTCCAAGCGCACCGGTGAGTTTTTCAGCCCTTATGGAAGCGACCATGTTCTGGATCCTCCAAATCGGGCCTGGTGATAGCTTTCGGTCTTCTGATCGATGTTGACTCTTGTTTCTCGATAGCATGTCCCTCCCCCTGGAGCCGCCGAGACGATGCCAGGAGACCTGGCCCCTCCCCGGAAGTCCCATGTCTTCGATCGCCTGCAAACAACTCCCAAGGATATGTCCGAAGGAATCCGAACCCCTAAGCGCCAGCATTCGTCGCGATTCGATATTTCCGACCAGCGCCAGAGAGAGTTGGAGAAGCTGGAAAGTTTCCACGAGGTCCCTCCCCATCGTCGCCAATCCCTCTTCATGCAGAAGATCGACCAATGCAATATTATCTTCGACTTCAATGACCCCACTGCCGATATGAAGTCCAAGGAGATCAAGAGACTGGCCCTCCACGAGCTTCTAGACTACATCGCCAACAACCGCTCGGTGATCACGGAACCCATGTATCCTCGGGTAGTCGAGATGTTCGCTAAGAATCTTTTCCGACCAATTCCGCCCCCGGTGACTCCCCAAGGCGAGGCGTTTGACCCTGAGGAGGACGAACCGGTGTTGGAAGTCGCATGGCCCCATATCCAGGTGGTATACGAGTTCTTTCTACGCTTCATCGAGAGCCAAGACTTCAACACGAACATCGCCAAGGCGTATATCGACCATCACTTTGTGCTTCAGGTATGCTATTCTGCCAGCACTTGACCGGAGGAAGAGGCGCAGGACCGTGTGACTGACCGCGCAACAGTTGTTGGAGCTGTTTGACTCTGAAGACCCCCGGGAGCGCGATTTCCTCAAGACCACCTTGCACCGTATCTATGGGAAATTCTTGAACTTGCGATCATATATTCGCAGATCTATCAACAACGTTTTCTTCCAGTTCACGTACGAGACTGAGCGATTTAATGGAATTGCGGAGCTGTTGGAAATCCTGGGCTCTATCATCAACGGCTTTGCTCTTCCTTTGAAGGAAGAACACAAGCTTTTCCTGACCCGTGTCCTGCTTCCCTTACATAAGGTCAAAAGCTTGAGCATGTATCACCCGCAGTTGGCCTACTGTATCGTTCAGTTCCTCGAGAAAGACTCGACGTTGACGGAAGATGTGAGACTTGACCCGAATTTTGCTTTCGCGTGACTCAATGGCATTTCTGACTTGGATTAGGTGGTTCTTGGTCTGCTGCGCTACTGGCCCAAGACAAACAGCACGAAGGAGGTCATGTACTTGAATGAGGTGGAAGACATCTTCGAGGTCATGGACCCGGCCGAGTTCGCCAAGGTCCAGGTGCCTCTGTTCCAGCAACTCGCGAAATCAGTCGCCAGCCCACATTTCCAGGTTTGTCCCAACCCCGATCCAGGATTCACTGTTGAAGCGCTAAGCGTTTGTCAAGGTCGCGGAGCGTGCCCTCTACTTCTGGAACAACGAATACTTCTGTAACCTGGTCAGCGACAATGTGGAGATCATTTTGCCGATCATGTTCCCTCCGTTGTACGAGAACTCCAAAGGACACTGGAATCGGTACGTCAACTGGAGTTTGGGCTCTCCTCCACGGTGACTAACTGCTCCTAGAACGATTCATAGCATGGTCTACAACGCCATGAAGATGTTTATGGAGATCAACCCACAGCTGTTCGACGAATGCTCCCATGATTACAATGAAAGGCAGAACAGTGCCGAGGAGCGGGAGATTGGTCGACAGAACCGGTGGGAGAAGGTGTTGGAACGAGCCAAGGAGAGGAAGAATGGAGTTACTGTGCCCCCGCAATGCCAGGTCGCCGAAATTCCAGTCCACTTAGACGATATCGATACGATCACCCGCGACAGTCAGCAGCGTCTTCATGCGCTGAGATTGGATGACTCGGGTGCAGGGACGGAGCGACGACCTCGAGAAAGCACGGCATCTTCGGTTAGTATTCAGGTCCCCGAATAGCTTGTGTGGTCATGTTCTGCCCATGACGTTGTCGCACTTGACCCGCCAATCCCCTACAATTTTGCTTTGTCGTTGTCTTTGCTAAGAATTCGCCGATTTCCATCGTACAGCAAGCGTGATTCTAACGTTGGAACGTCCGTTTTATCCAGAGACGGCGCCGCGGCTCCTCTGATGATACTCGAAGGCGAAGAAGTGGTAGCGCTAGTGAGATTCGACCGCGTGTAGATCGACGACGGTCGGCTGGTGCTGGCGTTACTGTATCGATCTTGTCCCGAAGCAACTCTACAAAGTAACGGTTGGCTTGATGACATCTATTCCGTTAGATTTTCACCCTCAATGATGGCATAGCGACTACGAGCTGCGATGAAGTGTATTCGTTTTCATTTGGTTTTCACATGCGGCCAGAACCCTCGTCTTCGTCCCCCGATCAATTCTCCCGCGTCTTATTGTCTCTTTCCCCTTTCTCTTTTACTTCTACTACTACTTTGTGTACATGGCCTTCAATATTCTTGTGTCTGCCCGAGCGCGTGGCTCGTGGAGCCCGTGCATCGGAATGGACGTTCGAGTTTGGACTTTTAGAACTGTGTTCGGGTCTGGAAAACGGGTGCGAATGGCGTTTCCCTCCGTCGACCTTGAGGTCGACGTACTCTTGAGATTACAACATGAAGTATTTATGGCTTGGCCGTGAACCCGATTCCTGTCCTTCTAGAACCCCCACCTCGAGTAATTCGCTCTGCGAGTAGCAGAGACCGCTGTGTACCTGTCACCACGTGCCTCCTGGAACGAACCCCTGAGCCAATGGTCCGTGATACGTCAACAGCCGCTGGGTCGCATCGTAGGCGCGCGTGTGCCGGCTTGGAGAAACAAAGTCCCGTTTTTGCCTATTTCGGCCTAGTGTTTCGTTCGGGGTCTCTGCGATACCCGCGTTCTGCTCTGCTGCTTTCTGTTCCTGTCGGTTTGCAGGCCGTCAGTTTGCGCTCATTTACTCTTTGCTTGATTGTCTCCATTTCCCTTTCCTTCCTTTGACCGATCGCTAATTAGGACCCCTCTTCCCCCCCTCCTCTCCTCCATTCCTCCATCTCCTCTCCTCGACCCACCGAGCTCGCTTCATGACTTGACGACCTCGACTGTACCACTTTCCAATCTTATGAGGCGCCTTCCGTCGCTGCTGAGCCCTTCGAGATAGCTCCACCACCACCAACCCGCATATGAATCCGACATAAGAGCAGCTTGTGCCGGCTTCTAGATTCAGGCCGGCCTCGCGGCCTGGCGATTCATCAATCCCATTAGCTTAATATGTCCTCCGCTGAGGGCCCCCGAGGCAACATGGAGCGGAACGCGGAGCGAAATATTGATATCTACAGCACCAAGCTGGGCGACGACAAGATTGGTGCGTTTCGGTCTTTGCTCATTCATGCGGAGATAGGTGCCTCAGCTTTGGATCGGGCTCTTCCAGACCTATCTGACTGCGAGCATGGGCTGACGCTTTCTCGCACATAGATATTAAAATTAGAGCGAATGTTGCTGTCGAATTACGAGATAATATAGAACCTCTATGCTCCGGCGCAAGCTACCCAATCTTCTTGTCGAAGCTATGGCCGGTGTTCAAGCACATCCTGAAGGGCGAGCCCGTGTTCACGAACTTGTCCTTCGAGCAGGTGAGTCAAGGATCGTGACTGGTTCAGATCCTGGTTGTTGGAATGGGGACTCATGCATAGGTCTGTCGCCAGAAACTACGAAATTGTATCCTCGAGACACTGCATCGATTGCCAATGGCATCCCCGGACGTGGAGCCCTACGCCGCCGACATGGTCGACCTGCTGATGGATCTGGTACGGATTGAAAACGAGGAAAACGCGGTGCTGTGTATGAAGACCATCATGGACCTCGAGCGCAACCAAGCCAAAGCTACCGCCGCGCGCGTGCAACCGTTCCTCGCGCTCATCCAGGAGATGTTCCAGATGATGGAGCAGGTGGTTCGGGACACTTTCGACACTCCCAGTCAAGCTACCCCGTCGGGGATGCCTTCAACGCCCAGTGCTACGGCCCAGACCTTCCAATCCCCCCGACCGAGCTCGCCGGCCACATCTGTTTCGGATCTCGCCCCGGATCAACAACAGGCCAACAATGTGCTACTCAAGGGCATGCAGTCGTTCAAGGTCCTCGCGGAGTGTCCGATCATTGTGGTATCCATCTTCCAGACTCACCGGGCGGCTGTCGCGGGGAATGTGAAGCTCTTTGTGCCACTGATCAAGAGTATTCTTCTGCTTCAAGCTAAGCCCCAGGAGAAGGCACACGCGGATGCTGCAGCTCAAGGCACGATATTCACTGGCGTATGCAAGGAAATTAAGAATAGAGCTGCTTTCGGCGAATTCATTACAGCGCAAGTGAAGACGATGAGCTTCTTGGCCTATCTTCTTCGTATGTACGCACAACAACTGCAGGACTTCCTCCCCACACTTCCCTCGGTCGTTGTCCGTCTTCTGCAAGACTGCCCCCGCGAAAAGTCCGGCGCTAGGAAGGAGCTCCTGGTTGCCATCCGCCACATAATCAACTTCAACTACCGGAAGATTTTCCTCGAGAAGATCGACGAGCTTCTCGACGAGAGGACCCTGATTGGTGATGGCCTTACCGTCTACGAGACCATGAGACCTTTGGCCTACAGCATGCTTGCCGACCTCATCCATCACGTACGGGACCATTTGACGCGTGACCAGATTCGCCGGACTGTCGAGGTGTACACCAAGAACCTTCACGATGACTTCCCTGGAACGAGCTTTCAGACTATGAGTGCAAAGTTGCTCCTCAACATGGCAGAGAGAATATCCCGGCTGGACGATAAACGCGAGGGTCGCTACTTCTTGATCATGATTCTAGATGCGATTGGTGACAAGTTCGCGTCGATGAACTACCAGTTTGACAATGCGGTCAAGGTTTCGAAAGCATATAAGGCCACCAGAAAGGACCTCGAACCTTCTTCAGAGCGGTATCTCGCAGAAAGGGAGCATCCGCCTGACTGGGACGAAATCGACATTTTCTCCGCATCTCCCATCAAGACTTCCAACCCTCGTGATCGCGGCGGAGATCCGGTCTCAGACAACATCTTCCTCTTCAAGAACCTCATCAATGGGTTGAAGAACATCTTCCACCAGCTCAAGAACTGCAATCCGGATCACATCCAAATCGATCCGGCCAGTGTGCCCATCAATTGGTCGGAAGTCTCTTATGGCTACAATGCTGAGGAAGTCCGCGTTATCAAGAAGTTGTTCCACGAAGGAGCCCGGGTTTTCAAGTACTACGGGGTGGACCAGTCTCCTCCGGAGGTAAACTACTCCTCTCCCTTTGACTTTCTTGCTGGCCAGTACACCGCGCCTATGTCACGCGAAGAGAAGGAGCTCCTGGAGAGCTTCGGAACCGTGTTTCATTGCATTGATACCGCTACCTTTCATGAAGTCTTCCACTCTGAGATACCCTACCTTCACGAGCTTATGTTTGAACACGGCGCCCTCCTTCACCTACCTCAGTTCTTCCTGGCCAGCGAAGCCACTTCCCCGGCATTCTCCGGGATGGTATTGCAGTACCTTATGGACCGGATCCATGAAGTGGGCACTTCCGAGATGACGAAAGCAAAGATCCTGCTGAGGATGTTCAAGCTGTCGTTCATGGCCGTGACACTATTCTCCGTCCAGAATGAGCAAGTTCTACACCCTCATGTTACCAAGATCGTCACCAAGTGTATAGAGCTTTCGGTGACTGCTGAGGAGCCCATGAACTATTTCCTCCTCCTGCGCTCCCTTTTCCGCAGCATTGGTGGCGGCCGCTTCGAACTCCTATACAAGGAAATCTTGCCCTTGCTAGAAATGCTTCTAGAAACCTTTAATAACCTGTTACTTGCTGCCCGGAAACCACAAGAGCGGGACCTCTATGTCGAGCTTACACTCACAGTTCCGGCTCGCCTGAGCCATTTACTGCCGCATCTCAGCTACCTCATGCGCCCTATTGTAGTAGCCTTGCGTGCAGACTCGGACCTTGTAGGTCAGGGTCTGCGGACTCTTGAGCTCTGTGTCGACAACCTCACAGCCGACTATCTGGACCCGATTATGGCACCCATTATGGATGAGTTGATGACGGCTCTGTGGGACCATCTGCGGCCGCATCCCTACAACCATTTCCACGCTCATACGACCATGAGGATCCTGGGCAAGCTTGGTGGTCGCAACAGAAAGTTCCTTAACCACCCCCCTGACCTTTCCTTTGAACAGTTCGCCGATGATACGCCGAGTTTCGATATCAAGCTTATCGGCCCAAGCGAGAAACGGCCTTTCCCTGTTGAAATCGGCGTCGACTTGGCAATCGGGAAGCTGATGGAGGCTCCCAAGACACCCGCGGCTAAAGCATCGGACATTTACTACAAGCAACAGGCATTCCGCATGCTTTCATCGCAGCTGAAGCTCTACATCGGATACGAGAATCTTCCGGAGGACCTGGCTTCCCTCATTCGTCTGCATGCGAACGATCTTTTCGAGAGCAAGACCACGGCAATGCCCGACATCCTCGAGAGATCGGAGCGGTCTAGTTCCATCACCAAGAAGCTGACCCAGGAGGGCTCAATGAAGAAGCTCCTCAAAGCTTGTATCTTCGCGACCACTATCCCGGAACTTGAGCAGACCGCAACTGCTTTCGTGGCTGATGTGTGTAAACACTTTGCTGTTGTGGAAGTCGGACGTGCTCTTGCCCAAGCGAGGCACACTCGCCGGCCTTTCGACGTCACCAATGGTGAAGGCCCTGTGTATCTTGACTCCCGGGTCCTGGCCGAAGCTGTGGTGGAATCTCTGTCATCTGATAACGCCGAAGTCCGTGATGGTGCTCAGGCAGCAATGCAGGTCATGAAGGATGCAGCCTGTATCATCTTCGGAGCCCCAGAGCGTGTCGCAAAGCTACCATTCTTCCAGCATCTTGGTCGTGTCTTCTGCCACAGCTGTCATAGCGAAGAGTGGTTTACTAAGGCTGGGGGTAGCCTTGGTATCCATATCTTCGCGACGAAGCTGGATCTGGGCGATTCATGGCTTCTGGACAAGCAAGTTGAATTCGTCAGAGCTTTGATGTATGTCATCAAGGATACGCCCTGTGACTTGCCGGCCAGCACGCGAATAAGGGCGCAGGAGACGCTGGATCTGATCCTCCGCCGATGCTGCAAG